GTTAATATCCGATTACAGACATTCCGCTCGCGCTTTAGAAAGATCTCTCCCTTCAGTCGAGGATCTAATTAATTTACTGTATTTCGAGGAACGCGATGTCGCAAGCAGGGTAACTGCGAGATATCGCTGTTTGAGATTAATTCCTCATCATGTTCCGCGATCTCGCGCGATCTTGCGCAACGCGAGCTGTTGTGCATTTATTTCTACGTCGCCTCTTCGTTTCTCAAAGCGGCGTGTCAATGTTCGAAATCTCTTCTCCCACCCCGCGACTCATCAAGAAGCTTCAATATGTACGTGTAAATTCAACCGAGTCAACATACAGCTATCACTCAACACTTGTTACACCGACATTCACCAGTCTCTCTCTAATTTGTTTCCATCGCGTATCTGGAGATGGTATATATCCAGTTGCGAGGCCAACGGTTAGAAAGACTAGTGAGTTCCGGTCTGACAAATATTTTTTGCTGCGCAGAAGAAAAAAGTATACGCGGTAGTTCATCGTCCCGTTTACTCGGCGAATCGAAAACGCTCGCGCGTGCCGTCGTCAAGATCGAAGCCGTTCGATGTCGTGTTATTAATTACTCCTCGCTCCGTATACCTATCTTTAAGGTTGCTTTTTATTAGATTACGGCAGCAAGAACGCCTCGTGAGAGCTGACGCTGCGGGCGCGCCGAATAGGGACTATCGCTGTTTTCGTCGGTTGAAGCACTTCCCGTGTGGGAATATGGATTTCCGATATGAAACTTTTCAATCCGTTCCCGGGCGATAAGAACACGCCGAACTTACATCGCCGCGCGCGCCGCCGATCATTTGAAGAATATATTTCGCCTGGGTCAATACGACGACGCGCTCGCGACCTCCTTCGGTCACGTCGGGTCCATATGCATCGCGATAAGTTCCATGCAAATTTTACTTATGCGCTGCTCGCGTTCTGCAAGAAAAGCGCGTGTTAGCGCGCGTTTCCAGCCACGAGCAGCCTGCGTTCGTGCCCGAAATCGACGACCACGAAATTGTCATAATTCGTAGCGTTTTCCATTCCGAAGCGAGCTTTCGCCCGAGCTTTCTCGTCTTGTCTGCCGCGATTTCTACGAAACGCGCGTGGATTCGTTCGCGAAATCATATTTCCGAGAAAACAGAAACAGAGACGAAAGAATTTTTGTTGCAAATGAGCGCGATGAACGATTTGCCTTATTCCGAGAGCGATTAATTGTTTATTGGCCTTCAAGATCATATTTAGCTTTTTAACCGACAGAATAATTGCGATAACTTCGTCGCGATTTATTAAAATTGCACCATATTGGAATTGTGCTCTCGTGTCAATTAATTTTCAGTTCATTATTAATGGACTCGGTGATAAAAGAGAGAAAGAAAGAGAGAGAGAGAGAGAGAGAGAGAGAGAGAGAGCAAATGGAGGTAAAAGGATCGCTGATTCATTCTAGAGATACTTTAAAGAATTAATTTAAATGTCAAATCTCGCGTTATGAATCTTTTGTTGTCGCGAAAAAGATCGATCGTTCTTCGTTCTTCGTCGGCCGGCGACTCGTCCGGCTCCGTCGAAATTGCCCCGTCGATTATATTAATATCGGGACACGCGTATTTATGTAACGACGCGTCACAAGATGATAACGCGATAATGCCGTATTAGCCATATGCGACACGTTGACACCGCGCGATGTTTAATCGTAACTAACCAATCCGTGAAGATTCACGAAGCCAGTCGCAGATGATGCAAGCGAATGGCGATAACAACCGAACTCGATGACGTAAATCGCGGCCGACGGCTCTCAACAGTTGTGTGTATAATAATTATTACGGGCCACATGCCGCTCCATTGAACATAAATCTTGCCCTTCTACTTTGATTTATACAGGAGAGAATCAGGAATTTTTGCTCGTTTATTTAAAGATCTTTCACGAGGAGGAAGATTGCCCTGTTATAACGACGTAGTAATGAATAATCGGAGAAGAGCGTGAGTTCTAGAAATAATTGCGTGTTAACACACAGGCACAATGACCAATCGAAGAAAGATAAGAATAAAACTCAATAATAAGTGCGATCTTATTGCGATGTGAGTGAATGGTCGCTCCCTCGGTGTCATTTCACTCTGGCGAGAACGTAGAATGGTATTCCTTCCGCGGAAACGCTCTGTACCACGAATCTCAATGCTATATACTATATCTCTATACTATATCTTGATCGAGAAGTACGTTTGGTCGTTTGTTCAGTCGTGTATGTTGGTGCGATATCCGATCTCGTCAAATGCAGAGGCACTAGCCGAAGAGTTATTGTATTAGATATTGAGATGTATTGAAAGAGTTGATGGTTTCAAAATGAAACCATCTATATACACGTGTATATATATATATTTATTATATATATATTATTTAAAAAATTATATATATATATATAATTTTTTCTCTCTTTCTCCTAAACGATGTGCCTCATATAAATTTGTGCCCGACGCACGAAGGAAAATGCATTATGTATCCGTACGTTCGTGGACGATGTCCTCAGGGGGGTTATTCAGTACATCCTTGAATTTTGCGGAGCTCTCAAAATTGCGGTCCCACCTCGTCGTGGATATTTATTTATCCCTCGAAATAAGATAAGGCTCGTGGCGGTGAGAGTAGCCGGTAGCGGTGTCGTAATCAGTTTGCACGCCATGGAAAATCGAAGCGGATACCTGGCGCACAGGATGTGCGGCGCTTTTTCTTCTTTTTCTATCAAGGAGACGAGGAAATTCGCACTCGCGCACAGACGACAAAGAAGCGTACGCGAATAATTCCTAGCGCAATTTTACACGCGTTTAAATATCGCCGTTTAAGTATTTAATAACGTTTCGTTCTCCCTTTTTCCCCTTCTTCGTCTCGTCCGGACGATTCGCGAGAATAACATTTGGCGCCGCCGCTAATCAGCGCTTGCATTGTTGTCGGAATATTGATGCGCCAATTGATCCTGCAAACGTGCACCTTACAAACATGGATTTGATATATTTCAGCGGGACGGATTTTTGACGGAGAGATTCGTGGAAAAATGGGATTAACGTCGATCTCTCAGTTTTTCTATCCTTGAGCTTTATTTATGTATGTATATTTGTCTTCGCTAATAACGACTGGTGTTCGCTCAAACAATGAGCTTATCGATCTTTTCCGCGAATATTCGGAAGAAATAAATATTTGCTGCCTTAGAGAGTTATTTATAACTCAACCCGTACACACGTATAATACGTCCTGTTGACGCACGTTTACGTATATCATACATAAACATATACACACACACACACGGTATGCTGTTTGCGGGATACAAAAATTATGACGGAAACGCTCGTGGAATTTTGTCGAGTTGGAAAAAAAAAGGAAACACGGCGTGTGCACGCTTCTTGCGTCGATCCGAGTTGCGTAATTATTAACCGCCAGTAACGTCGAAAATAAAATAATGGGGTTTGTATTCTCTCCCAGACGCGTACCCTTTCTCCTAGACAGACATGAGCGAGATTGGAATGCCTCGTTGTACAAAGAGGTATTTCATGAATAGCTGAGGGCAACCTGCCATCCGTGGAATGAAAACATTTTTGTCGAGCTGCTATAACGAGGGCCACTGGGTGAACTCGTTATTTCGACGAGCATGGAACTCGCGAGGAAAATAATACGATTCCTTGCCGAAATTCCTGCGCGAAAAGCTGAGAAAGAGAGCGAGGGCGGGAGAGAGAGCGAGAGAGAGAGAGAGAGAGAGAGAGGGGGAGAGAGAGAGAGAAAGGGTGAGAAAGAGCGCCGTTCGATCGTTTTACACCTCACCGATCGCATCGTTTGTACTTGACCTGACTTTGCGGAGAGTTAACAATCGAGGTCGATAAAAACCAGCGAAGGGGTTGGAACTTCGTTATTATTCTCCAAAGATATTTTACAAGTAACCTTTGCCGGCACTGAATAAATTTCATGGTTTTGTTCTTGTAAATATTCCTTGAATATTGAATATCATTCTTATCGCACTGAAAAACATGAAAAATGGCCATTCCGAACGCTCGCGACGTCTTCAGCATACGAAGCGTCTCTTCAGATCTCTGAGACAGATCGCCCGTCTTTTCTCAGCGATCGATTTTTCTTCTCATGACGCTGACGTTAGACACTGTGGAATTTAAAATTCAAGCAACGCTGTCCACTTTTGCCTGCACATTTGGTTTTTCAGTTGGTAAGAGGTGATCGCGAAGAGTCGCGTAATGCTCGAAAAATTTCGGAAGAAACGTTCCGGGAAGATGAATTTTCATACGCGGGATTGAAACGCCTCGGGTCTCGGGTTCGGATGCATTCGGGAAATTTCGAGGATGGAGGAAAATATTTCGCGCCCCTGGAGAATTAAGTTTGAGATTTATGACTTATCGCGAAACAGACGGAGTCTATGCTAAACCATTCATCCCTTTAACCCCCGAGCGAAAATCGCTCGAACTTTGAAATTTCTCTACCGGTATCAGGGGAAAAGAACTAGCTTGCGGCCTCCCCTTTGACGGTGATGATTTTGCACCATTTTGCATGATGTCGAGCTATAAATTATATTAATAGACTGAACGTTTTATTCGAACGTTCAAATTGAATTGTTTGTTCATTACCTCTCTCTCTCTCTCTCTCTCTCTCTCTCTCTCTCTCTCTTTTTTTCTTCTCTTCTCTCTCTCTCTCTCTGACATAGATATTTTCTTCTATTTTGTAAATTGCACACCATTTTTCTCGACGCAGAGAGATTTTTCTCTTTGTGTATAAAGTGTACTTCTCAGTCTCTTTGAAGAGGTCATATGTGAAGAAAAATATCAAGGACCGAAATTTTGTTTAGAAGATAAATTGCTACAAGTATATCTTGCGCATGTGGGCATAAAGAAAGACGCGCACGATTAATCTCCGTATTTATGACTCGGGTCGCCTCGGAGCACATAATCACCAACATCTACAGTTACCAGCACTCGCAACTGGACTAACAACGCTGTACGTTGTGCATCTGTCGTTTGCTTCTAGGTTGTTCGAGGAGAACGCGGAATTGTTAAACATGTTTACAAAGTTTCGGGATATGAAGACGAAAGAACAGCAGTCGTCGAGCATGGAATTGGCCGAGCACGCGAAGACGGTCATGTCCACCCTCGACGAAGGGATTAAAAGCCTGGATGACATGGACACGTTCCTGACGTACCTCCATGAGGTCGGGGCCTCGCATACGAAGATCCCCGGCTTCAATCGGCAATATTTTTGGGTAAGTCGTACCCAAGAACACACGTTCGCGTAAAACACGCTCGCTTCCTGATGTATCATCAGCGTTACCGATGACATGAAACCAACTATTTAATAGTCGGACATGTTCCAATTTTGGTAGCCGCTGACGTGAACATGTCTCTTATTAATCATTAAGCTTATTAATCATTAAGCAAAATTCGAGAATAATCAGTCTACCATATAAGAAAGAAAAATTGTATACGGAATATGTTAATACGGTATATGTCAATGAAAGAAAGCTTCAACGATTGATTCGAAAAAGTTATTAAAAACTTATTAAAAAAAGTTTATTAAAAAATTATTAAAAAAAAAGGAAACGAGATAAATTTTTATAAATATGCATATCCTCTGTTCGATTTTGTTCCTCGAATTATAGCGAGTTTTACGCTTCAGTAATTTTCGTGCAGAAGTTAAAATGCTAAAATTTATTTCACATTGGACTGCTTAAAATGAACGTTTCGGAATATCCGGAACATATCGAGAGAATACGGTGGAAAAGGATAAAAGGATCGAGAACTCGACGTTACATATGCATAAAAGAGAACTGTACGTGCTCGTAAAATTTTCTTCTACTATAAGGGGGGAGAGAGAGAGAGAGAGAGAGAGAGAGAGAGAGAGAGAGAGAGAGAGAGAGAGAGAGAGAGAGAGAGAGAGAGAGAGAGAGAGAGAGAGAGATGTCGACTAAATTGCGAATATTGCCTCAGAACACCCGAGAATATCGGTAGCTTACTGTACGATATAGCAGAAAACGCGGAGAAATTCTCGCTCGCCGAGAAACGTTGTCGGCTCGCATGTCTCTTAGATGATGAACATTTCTCCTTTGTAACGCGCTTATCTCTCGCGGCGTGTAAATCAAGGGGAGTAAACTCTCGTAAGGTATTGTGAATACTATTTTCAGGTTCCTGTCTCAAGCAGGAAATTCACGCACGATTAAGAGTATAATTGCGCGATAAATATTGCACAAATTTTCGCTACGCTATTTCATCATAAAATATAAAGGAACCTTCGGCTTTCCTCGTTGCACGTTCAGACGGTTTAACTGACTAAATAATTAATCGTGCGAGATTACAATGACGCCGTTACGCCGTCGAACTACATCTTACAATCGTGAAATTGAGAAAAAAAGTACAGTAAACTTCGGGTTACTTTCGCGTGACGAGTAGTCAGCGAATTTGTCGGCGGGGAGAAAGAATATCTGTCGCAAGTTTGTTCTTGCCGGATAATCGCCTGAATCGCTGTGAAGCTCATACGTCTGATCGGGGATTAAGAGGGTGATCCTAACTCTATGCAATTTCTCAACGGTTTCTCGACGTTTCACCGTATGTTCTGCATTTTTTCGTGAAATTCCCGACGTTTCCTTGGCGGAGAAGAAAATTTCACGGCGTGTCGAGTTGAATAACAAATATCGGGACTTCACCTCGACGAAACCGCGGTATTTCGTTCTCTCACGGATCTTTATAATCCTTCGCACAGTTGGTACACGCTATTTGTTTATTTCGTATTACGGCCCTGCACGACGCTTAATGTGTAAGCGATTATTTCTTTTTGTTCTTTCTTCAGAACGTTTTTTACACGAAGGTGGCTGGTAATACGAACTATTCTACTCATTAAACACCTCGCGTGTTTCATTCGACAAATTCTGAATTATTCAACGGACTGATATTTCATATTTGCTCGAGCGCGCAGTGCCCGACTCTTTTCTCGCAAAGTTGATTCTACATGCTCAGTGGCTAGACGCGTGTCGTGTTTCCTCTATCAAAATCCTTATAAGGAAATACGAGACTACACTCGCGAGAGATTGCAAATCCTCGGGATAATATCGTGACATTTTGCGATTCGCGCATTTCATTCGCGCGAACTTATACGGAGAGCCTACGACGACGACGACGACAACAGCTCTCGCTCATAGGACTTGTAAATATTCTACAATCCTATTTACACGACCGTGTCAGTCGAAAATACTTCGAATGCGGAACACGAAAACCGATGCGATAAAACGCCTACGGCGCTCGACTCGACTCAGCTGTAACGCGAATGTATAAATCGGCACGCCGCCAGGCGAATAACGGAGGAATTAAACAGCCGGCAGTGAAAACGCAGTTTTTTCCCGAGAAAGACCGAAGGTGGGGAAACTCGTGGAACATCACGTTTATATTTCGACGTCGAATTGATTGTGTGCGAATACGTTGAGCAACGGCCGGAAAAGCGCTCGAACGAGACTCATCGTCGTCGTTCACGCTCGAATAGCCGTCAGGTTCGATGAATAATTCAGAATTCGTCAAATAGATGACGCGACACAACGCGTCAAATTTGGTCCGAGTGGGGTCGATCATTTAGCGGAGATCGTTAAGTCATTTAGCGGCTTGTTTTACTTTATTTGCGCAATTTTGTCAATCGCCCCGACGTCGCATTTTCTCGAAGCTCTCGTTCGACCAAGAGTTTAGCCGTGGCCGAGAGTGCACCGGAAGACCCGTCGTTGAAAAAGCGAAAAAATTCGAGCCATTCGAGCATTACGGGATTCCGGCAAGACGCGAACGTTACGTCGCGCGCTGAAAGCGGCAAAATGCGACGGCGATAAAAATTAATAATTCATAGCGGCGCGCTTTGAAAGCAAGAGGTGTCGTTAAAAAAAAAAAGAAGAGGAAACTTTGCGACGCAGGAATACGGAGCGCGCGCGCGCGCGCGCGCGAGTGCAAGCATTTCCCGGCATTTCTGTGCACGCGCAGCGTGCCAGCTTCCTTTGTTATTTTCCGTGGTTATCGCGGAGGAACTCTTCCATGCGCGCGTTTCTATGAAAAGACCCAGCCGCCGCCGCCGCGGTGGCTGGGCCCTTTTCGCGTCATTTGATCGTTTCGCGAAAGAAAGCGGAATTTCGAACTGGAGTTCCGACCTCGATCCGCGAGGGCATCCCGAGAACAGCCCGAGCTCGACTGCGTTATGCGATTCCCCTTCCGGAACTCGGTACGAACCCTTCGAGAATCGGGTCGTCGTGTACTTTGCGCGTGCGTATGTTTCCCTATTTTTATTTTCCGCCGAACGTATGCTGTGATCGGGTTAGCCTCACGACGGAAGAGTTGGAAAGGGATCAGCAGGCAGCGTCGCGTGTTGCGTTCCCGGTACGAAGCACTCCGCTGCTTCACGCTCGCAATCCTCCGGCGTGAAATCTGATCAAGACGGAGTTGGCGCAGGCCCTTGGACGCCGATGGCCGACAGGACACTGGGTATATAGGACACGATAATTCCTCTCTGGCTACAATGCTGCGTCCAGGGGCATTGTGAGTCGCGGACACAATCGATTCGGCGATCGTCGATTTCATCGCGCCCGTCCTTCGCGCTGTTGATCGCCCCCCTGCTGTGCTGTGTGGAAATGAATCGAGATTTAAACGCCGGCTTCTCCGGCGTTATCCTCTGCGACGGTTCAGGAGCAATCGGGAGGGCTGCAATTTCGTCGTCGGTATTGAAAAACAAGAGCCGCAAGCGAATGCGAATGCGAAACGGACGGTGAGCTGTTTCGCCGAAGGACAGACAATCGTCGATCGAACTCGTGGAGAATTTATAAGTAGCGATATTTAGCGCGCTCTGTCGCTCCTTTATTTTTACGCTGAAGGTTGCAAAAGTTGCGAAACTGGTATGCGTTTGCCGGGTCGTCGATAATTCCGACCTCGGCTCGAATGATAAGTCATTTCGCGGGCGTTGAATCGGGCAATTTGCTGAGAGCCGGGTGGAAAAGTGATGAATAACTGATGGCTCCGTTGTCATTAATATAGAAAATGTAATTAAAAATCCGTTCCTGCAAGCCACCGACAGATATCGAATCATTCGGTCGATCGCGCAGCGTTCCTGGCGAAAAACGTCACAAACACACAGTCACGAGTTAGTTCAATCTGGCATTAAGCCGAGCGTAATCCGAAACACAACTCTCTCTCTCTCTCTCTCTCTCTCTCTCTCTCGCGGTCTCTCCAAGAGAACGTATTCTGCAACCTCGATCCATCCTCGGCGAATCTTGTGACACAAATCCAAAATCCTCGCAGCCCAGCGTCCACAACAGTATGCTCTTAAACCACACCGAACATGCATGTCCACTCCGACTTTTCTAAAAAAAAAAGAGAAAAAACGAAACGCCTGTCGGTAGGAGAGTAGACTGTTCTCATGTCATGCGACCGTACATTGTGTTCCGCTTGCAGAAAATCGAGAAACCATTTCTGGACGCGGTGGAGCGCACGCTGGACGATCGGTACTCGGAGAACGTGGAGAACATCTACAAGCTGACGATCAAGTTCATCATCGAGACGCTGATCGACGGCTTCGACAAGGCACAGAGCGACAAGGCCAAGTCCTAGTCGTCCTAGTCCCGAGGCGTCCGGCACGCTCGATCCTACGAGACGTTGACCGCTCTCCCCGGCTTCGCTCGGTTCCCCTCCCCCCCCCGATGCCTGGAAGGGAAAGGACAGGAAGGAAACGAAGAGAGAAGCAGGAAGAAGCCGGCCGCCGATTCGCGAGGACGACGAAGGGACAGTCGTCATCCTCGGTCCTGTGCTTGCCCGAGAAGCGAGCGTACGCGCGTCTCACGTACATCACCGTGTATACGCGCGTCCGATGTTCGCCCGGCCTGAGCTCTTTTGTCCCCCCTGCGATAGGGGGGGTCACGCCGTTTCAAACGGATATTAATAACGGCCCCATCGAGTCGCGCGGTCCTTAGGGACTCGCTTACGAAAACGCGCCGAACGAACTGTGCGCGCGGTCTCTCTCGAAAGGTCGAAGGGTGCTCGACGCGAGCGCGATCGCTCGAACTTGACGATTCCTGCTCGGCCGGTCGCATTGTTACGCTACAGAACGAACAGAGCATGATTTCCAGCCGAGTTGAGGCGTGCGAAGTCGTGCAGGAGGCTGGAGTCCAGGAGTTCCTGGCTGGGACGTATCTCTCGGGCGTCTTCGCGGCGTCCATCATGACGTCGATTTCACAGCGATTTCAGCGCGAAAATGCAGCGGGACTGACGCGAGGCACACGAAGCGCGAGTGTACGAGGCGTTTGAAATTGTTGTCCTGCGTCAAGATTTATGGTCCCTGAAGGAAAATGAGTCGAATAAGAGCTCCACGGTTTCAAGGATCCCGCAGTGTCCACCACACTTCTCGATGACCTCACTTTAATACTTTTATACTCACGCGGAGGCTGACGAGAGGAATACATTTGTGTAAGGAAGGTAACGTGTCTCCGCTGAAGAAGGGGGGCCGAAAAGTTCGCCTCCGAATCTCTGAAACGCCTTCACCTGGGAAAATTTCGTTCGGTCCATCTTGCATCCTCTTTAAAACCGTGGAACTCTTACTCGACTCATTGTTCTCCAGAGATGACACAGAGATGAGCGACGTAAAACGATGGCGGCGATTTCAAGTGCCTCGCTCTACCTTCCACTTTCTCACGCCTGTAACATCGGATCCGCCGATTCGAAGATCCCCCTTTTTTGTATAATTGATTGATCGTTGCTGTAAACATCGATTGATTCTGATTGGAGTCGGGCGGGTTCTCCGTGTCCTTTTTAACGCCAGTTCCGGAAGGTAGCTAAGAGGCAGCTGCTAAGCGCTGCGGTTAAAGTTCACCGGGAGCGCCGCTCGAGTTCTGTAATTTCAAGTTTATCCGGAATTTAGCGAACATGATTGATCGAGATCCCATGGACGGCGCCGAGGTACTCACAGGGAAAGTTTAAAGGCGCAACAAGATCAATCGCTCGAAACTTTTGCTTCGGCGATTTGTACGTTTTTCTCTCTGGGGGAGATGCTGTCCACGAGTGGACAAACCGAGTAGCGATCGGTGGAAACCTCCGTCGGGTCGCATGCTTCCGCGTGAGTTTTGCCTTGATTTTTCCCCTCCGAAAGGGAGGACTTCGAAGGAGGAGATACTTTGACTTGTTTCCTAGTTTGTTCTGTTGCTCGAGCAGGGGAACGTCAGCATTAAAATTTATTTGTCTTCCTCTTGGGGGAGAGAGCCCCATCTTCCGGAAGCTACATGAGCTTAACATGAACGTATGGCTTTCCTCGTCTAATCGCGTTCATGTGGATATCGGTTATCCGCTGTTTCCGGTTACGAAGACAATACACTTAACGGAAATGGAGCGGAAAGTGATGCACGTCGTTATTGATCAGACGTAAGACTACAAAGGGAGGAGGTGTAGGAGAGTAAAGAGAGAAAGAGAGGGGGGGGGAGAGAGAGAGAGAGAGAGAGAGAGAGAGTGAGTGTGAGGAAAGCCTCTCTTCTCCAGCAGAAAACGGTTTTCTTAACGTCACATTAGACGTCATTTCGGTCAATATTGCGATATCCCTCGCTGCGAGTAGTCGGATAAGCTGAGATGAAGGTCCTTATTACGATACCATACCGTTGTTACGAGCCAAGTGAGAAATTCGCTCAACCCTCGATGTTCGCCGCGCGCGGGGCCGGTTTGAAAGGCCTATCAAAAGACACGAGAACTCTCCACCACACAAGTCCTCTACACAAGGCAAATTCTAAAATCCATCTGATGCGCGCGGGTAATAACGACTCCCCCGACGCGTTTATCGCGCGAGTATCGCGCGATTTCCGCCATTTCGTTAATTACAACTTTCGCGCGACGTTAAAACTCGGAGGCGACACTGCCGGCCTCTAGCCGGCCGGTTTTTGCCGTGTATTTTTCACGTCATGAGAGACTCTTACAGAGAGCGATTTTTCATTTCGCTAATTACGTTAATTTACTCTCACTCTGGTCGAGTGGTAATATCACTCCTACACCCCCTCGCGATGTTTCGTAAATTAATCGAGTACAAAGTTCGCGCTCTCGCGTGCACTACCGCCGTCAACTGATCCGTGCCTGAAAAATTTTTCCTCGTTAGCACAGAGAACGCGTGAAACGTATCAATTATTATTCAATTGCCCTTATGACGTCCAAGAGAGCGGTGGCGATAAAAACAAGATGAAGCGGGCGAGTATAAAAGAGTCGTTGGAGCAAAGCCAACGCGATAACTGTGAACTAATGACGGCTTAAATATTATTTAGCATCATTCGATCAGTACTTTGATTTCAGTATCAGTATCAATAACTCGTAACTCGAAGAAACTTGTCTCATGTGTGACAGTCAGATTTAAGTCTACGGAGATGTGAGTTTCTTCGATTGAATCTTGACGGCAAATGTGTCACGCGCGTCATATGACTCAGCGAAGGAACTCAAATCTAACTCTAAATTCAGATCACAGGATGAACAACTATTCATACGTACTTCAGAGTGTTGTTCATCGTCCGATCTTAAGTATAAGATCGGAGGAGGAGGAGGAGTACCGTCCTCTCATGTTTTCTGACAAACAGAGTCCGATGCCGTTAGCTGCCGTTAGGTGAAATCGACATTAAACGGATATCACAAAGTACCGACTCCGTGTCAGTTGTGAGATTTTAATAATATCAGCCAATTCTCTGGCCGAGGATCGTGCGCCGTTGGCAGCGGTTCAGAGACACTGGTCAATTTTAGAATCTCATGCATCTTAATTCCGCGCTCTCGCGCGCGCGCGCGCGTGAGCCTCTACTTTCCGGCTCTCGATAATCGATAGAAAAGAAAACGCGACGGTCTCGACCGGCGCCGTCTAGCGCCTTCGGTCGCCGGCACTTTTGGATTACACATAAGTCACGCGGGACGTGAGGCTGAATGCGGCGGAATGCAAATGCGCGCATTGTCGCGAAATGGGGTCGCGCGAGATTTAATCGCGGGAACAACGTGGATTTAAACGTGTACGAGAGGCGCGCCGCCTTGCACTTCGCCCGTGTTATCGCGCGTCGCCGGTTGGAACTATCGCGGCTCTTGCGCGCGTACGAGAATTAGGAGAAGAGAGAGAGAGAGAGAGAGAGAGAGAGAGAGAGACTCGTCGCGATCCGGAAAAAGCGTTTTGGAAAATTTCCTGCGGAAGCGTGGACAACGCGTCGTGTATAGAGACGCATTCGAATCCACCGCGTGGATTCAGCGTAGGATGCAGCGATTGACGCTTTAATCAAATCACCGTGGAGGTTGACATTTCACGTTATTTTGTTGTTGCAACGCTTTTTTCTTCTTTAACAGCTGCGGCAGTTGCGTCGGTGGGCATGGCGGTGCGACGCTAAAGTGCCGTGTTGATTTACCTAGAAAATGCAACTGGATTTGTATCGAACAGATTTGCATCGAACTGGCCGATATAAAATTGTATTTGTCAGAGATTATGATTAAGGCAATTACGGTTGTTTACCTGCCGCCTGTGTGTTCTTCTTATAATTTTGCAAAATTCATGCAAATTTAATGCAATGCGTTGAATGTCACCGGTGACCGATACTGTGACACTGCCGCGTCTCACTGAATTACGTGTAATTGATTTTCCCTAAACATCGGTTCGTGCGAACAGATGAAACTAGTTGCAAAAAATACGCACCTCGAATTACGTTCGTTTATCATATCTTTGGTAATTTGATTATCGGTATCAGCTTTTGCGCAATCAGTGGGTATCAACGCGGCAATCAAAGTGTTAAAACGATACCTGACACCTGCAGCGACCTTTATAAATTCGTTCGAAACGATAACTTTCGCAGTTAAAGCGGTAACTTTTGCAGGCGTTCGCTGATAACGTGCGTCGAGGGACGCGTATTGTTTACACGAATATTCTCACGCAACATTGAAACAATGACGCTTCGTTTCTTTTCCCTCTCTTAGTTTTTCTTTTTCATTGCGCCACGCTCTGCGAATGAGAAACGGCTGATCGAAAACGCGGTGTCGTTGTCCGAGAATTTTTTACGTGATCAGCTGTGAAATACATATCGCATTGTTGCGATATTCGCGAGCTACTCCCAAGTCCCTCCGTCTCTCCGTTTGTCTCGCCGTGAAGCAACGATGCATTAATGTGAAAGCATAGCGCACGGTGCCGTATCGCTCGTCGGTGTCGTCCTTTCGTCATACCGAGAGCGATCGGAGGAGCGATGGACGCGTGAATGAAGCTACGCGAGTGGAAATTATTGATACGCCGCGGATCGATCATCGGTTTTTCGACGTCGGGCCGGACGAACAGCAAAATCGCTTCTAAATCTCCGGCGATTTCTTCGCGCCGCTCAGCTCTTTCCGTCTCGGATCTCGTTGTGCTCGCGAAAACCGATCGATATATAACGTGGCTGTCATCGTAACCGTTTACATCCGCCGCCCTGTGATTTTTAATCTTTTCGGGAAAGTTCTCGCTTTGCAAGCCCTCACTTTACGCTTCGCACTGTTCGACATCCACCAACTTTTGTTCATGACGGAACGTACTTGTAACGAAGTTAACGGTGTTAAAGTGGAAGGCCGCGAAGTTCCGCGCGATTTTCGAGCGGCAGACATTGGCTCGTTCTCCGGGCAGACTCGACCTAATTTCAATTTTTCGCGACGTCGTCGAAACCGACGAAAATAGCAGACAGGACCCTTCGACCGTCGATAAGAGAGAGAGAGAGAGAGAGAGAGAGAGAGAGAGAGAAAGAAAGAAAGAAAGAGAAAAAGAGAGAAAGAGAGAGAGAGAGAAAGGGAAAGAGAGAGAGAGAAAGAGAGATTGTATAAATTTTTATTCGTACCGTAAGGTAAGAACAAGTGTGGATTCTAGGGTAACTGGCCCTTCACGCAATGTCAATTTCCTAGGAGGTCTCGAGAAGGCACAGAGGGCCTCTCTCCGTCTCTGTATCTTCCTCGCTGTCTTTATCTATCTCAATTTCTCTCTGAGGCCGATTCGCCTACATCGCTCGCATATATCCACGTGAGGTCCGGCGAGTCGTTCATAATAGCCTGTTGAAAAGGCTGTAATACGGACGACTGCGCGAAACAAACGCGCGGGGCTCGTGAGAGAGCACTTTCCGAAGAAAACAAGCGCGCGCGGCGCACATCGTGCTTTCTCGTCGCATGTTGCGCGACTGCTCTGCTCTTTTCTTCTGGATATCTATTGACGAAATTAATTACGGCCGTTTGGTGCGGCAGGGGAAGAGAGAGAGAGAGAGAGAGAGAGAGAGAGAGGGGGGGGGGGAGGAAAGTAATGGCGATCAAACTCCGTTAAAGAGAAGATAAGAGAAAAAGAGAAGAACGTGCGCGATCCGCTTGAACGAGGAATGAATCGATGATATGATTTAATGCTAAGGTGATTGTCTCGCATTCGAACGAGTGACTCTTGTATGCCGAGGTGCGTAATGGAGACAAACTCAATCGACAGTTTGCCCAGGGAAGAGAAATTGATCAATTTAATTAAAAATAACACAATTCATTACGATTAAATGCGATCCTTACTCAAGGAAGTAAATAAGTTCAATTAACACATGATACGTTTTTATATATAAATATATATTGTACGTTCTGTTGGAATCGCTCGGCTTCTCTCAATCTTGTGCGACTAAATTTCTCGATAATATCGTCGCGAGGCAACCACCTTAGCTCTGTACGTCCGTACGATTTCATCGCGTCGAGGAAGATATCATTTCCACGTATCGCTGACTGCTGTCGCGATCTAAATCGCGTGTTAAAATAGCGACGCGATCACACTCCGTGCACAGCTGGAGATTCTGGGATATTTAAAAATCAGTTACTCAGTAGATCGCCTTGCAACCGTCACCGATATCGGAGCGAATTAGTTCGTTGGATCCGTTGGAAAACTTGGTCGCGGGTTTGGTTTTGCGCGAGAGATAGGAGACTAAGAATAACGTCCTATTTGTCGGAAAAAGGGGTTATCCGCTTGCTTCTCCTCCGCCCCCTCCTCCTATTCCTAATCGAGCATGATCGTTAATTCTTCACGACGACAAAGACAGATCTCGCGTCAGCGAGGAAGAAACGACGATAAAAATCGTTTTAGTTCTTTTCTCGGCGACGAGCGTTTTCACAGCAGCTTGGCGGCTCGCCCTTTCGGTCTCTCTCTCTCTCTCTCTCTCTCTCTAGCTTTCCCTCGGAAAGCGAGCGACGACGCATTGCGGCTCGCGCGCGCGCGTGCTATCAGTCATTAACTTCGTTAACTGGTCCCGACCACGAATAATCGAACTAAAACATTGTTTGTGCGCAGACGAAGCGAGGAGCTCCGTTCGTACGCGAGACGAACAACGTACGAGAGATGAACAACGTAAATAAGCCGTGAGAGCGCCGCGAAATCGATTTTCCGAGGAAAACGCGACATGCGATCGCGCGCGTTCGTCGTACGTTGTGTGCTGCGCTTCATCATTTTACGTGCGCGATATTAGCGGCGTCGGCCGTGTATACCATATACGAAACGCGCTATCGCGAATGCGCTCTCGCAGAATCTCGCTCTGAACGCTGAGACGCCGTGTGCGTTTCGGCGCGAACAACCAGTAACCGCGAAGCAGTAACGGCAATTCTCATCTCGGCTTAACGTCGTTACTCGCCCGACGCGCACGACTCCGCGCAACGTTAGTAGCGCGCTTAACGCGCTCGCGGCACGCTATCGCGCAGAAAAATATGTGAATGTGCGACGGGGTCTCTTTCGTCGCGTCACATCGCGCAGTCGTTCCCCGCTCACCGGCTCAACGGCGAATGCGTTCCCTCGGAGAGAAAGAGTGCGTGTTCAATAGGCAAAAAACAGAGGATATAAGGATAAAATCGCGCGTGCGCGCGATGGTCTTCGCGATGCAGGAGCGAGCGGCTACATTTGTTAAAATAGAAGGAAGCACGGAGAAGAGAAACAAAAAGTCGCAACTGACCACGCGAGCGAGCGTACACGCGCGCACGGTGTGAGCGCACCCTTATTCAAGCAAGACTAAAAATCGATCGACAAATTAGATAAGGTAATAGCGTACTCGCGGTTCGCGACATTCCACGAGTCGACGAGAAACTCGCCCAAACTTTCAAGCGTGATTATTCAATGGATTATCTCGCGGCAGGAGCGAAGCCTTGACGAGGATTTCAGGTCTCGTTCGAACTGGTTGAACTTGCGGCGCGAGTGATACGACTAATTCATCCGCTTGCGGTACGATCATGTACGATTAACGACTGTTCACCGTTGAATAATCACTGAATCTATACGCGTTCGCGATGAAACGAGCCCGTTGTCTTTTTTTTAGAGCGAGCGAGAACGTAAAACGTTGGCGCCGACAATCGGGTATTTGAAAATTGGCCGAATTGGGATAAGCCTGTCAGGTCTTATGAAAATTTCGAGCAAAATTGAAGAGAGATCGAGTCAGCTGAGCAACTGACGTGAAAGTTGGAACTGCGAAATTCAATCGTCAACGTGATTGTTCCACGAGACTAACAAATTGATGAAATTATGCAACCTTAAAATTGAGTCTGTTCAACACAATTGTTCAGAGCATTATTCTCGCTCAAGGGAAGGATCGGTCGCAATGTTGTTTCATAGGCGATCTCATTTAATATTTATTGCGTTTATCCCACTGTTTGCATTTTCGGCTTTTACTATTTTACTTGGCACGTACAAGCGGATATTCGCGAAATCAACCAGGAGCGGCGAGTTCTCCTTAGCGAACCGCGATTGCGCCGCGATAAATGTTGCATGAAATGAATATTAAGAGTCTGTATAAAGCCGTCGTCGCACGAGAGGATCGCGGACCATACTGAGCGCCTTTTCCGTTCACTCCTCCAACGCCAGAATGTAACTCGAGGACTCTGCCGGACGCCAATCCCCGAGACAAACAAAGATATTATCGATCCCTTAAAGTATCAAACCGCCGCTTAAGGTATCGCCGGAATATTGAAAGATACCTGCGATTGAGCCATAGCTCATTAATGATAAAGCGGCGAAATCTACCTAAAATAGCAGAATCGAACAATAATTCGAAGACATTAGTGAGAAGAAAATTACAATCGCGTTAATTAAACTTAATTTGGTTATTGAGCAAGTTTATGTTCAATATATAGTTGTGTCTAAAGTGAAATTATATCGCATTGTGGATTTAATTTAGTTTCTTGCTCTCTAAATTCTTTGCGGGAATGGATGATGCAACAGTATGTAATGTTGTAGAACAGTATATTGCCTGTCCTAAAAACATTATTTTAACCTATTAAAGGCTTTAATTAATTGACAAACATTTTCAATCAAAGAGTTAGTATTTTCTCTACACTGTGAGGAGTCTCAGATTTTAGAATTAATTAAAATTAATTTCATTAAAGGCATAATCGGAGATGAGGAATACTGAAATTATAAAAATAAGAAATTATATATTGACCAGGTAATTTTATTGAATAAAAAGAGGCGTCCCACAAGTAAAAATACAATTAGACATAAGATGAAATGAACGTGGGAAAAAATTCGAAATTATCTTTTTTGTTAACTTGATATTCTGCAGTATATTAATTATTTTTTTATCATTATTACATTTTATTTATTCACTTTTCGTTTTACAGTGAATGAATAAGTGATATACTATCAGAAGATCGGAAGTTCTGATTCACACGAGTGAGCTGGAAATGCCTCGACCAAAAAGCCGAAAGAGATCTATGGAAAACCGCGTGTGTAAAGAAACAATGTTTTTCCTCTTCTTCTTTTCTTCTGATGTTTTCCGTCGGAAGATCTTAAGATCGGGTCATCGGGTCATGGGTTTAATGGAGAAATTTATCGCTCCGTCAGAGTTCTCGGAGGATATTTCGGGTATTTCATCCCAAAGTTATTTAAGGGCTGCCAAGAAGTAAAACGTGCGACGCGACGCACCTGCACACACTCGCACCCGGTGTGCGACGGAGCTTGAAACGAAAAGAGAAAAAACATAATAAAATATAAAAAAAAAACCAAAGAGAGGAAGCGGAGAAGTAGAAAAATTTAAGAAGAAAAAACAAAGAAATAGAGAAAAAAAAAACAATTTCGTACGGAACAAAAAATGCACAAAACGAGCTGTACCTTTTTTTCTCTCGCGAAAGATCTATCCAACCGAAAGTCTTCATGGAACGCGCAAAGAGAACACACAAGCGAGAAATATATTATTATATAAATATATATGAGATATATGTATGTATATATATATATATATATATAAATTTAATATATATACATATATATAAAATTGCTAGAGTATACCTTGCAGTTATGCGAATGTTGCATTGTCTATCTGTTTGTTCCATACAGATCCAGATGTATTATTGTATCCGAGAGAGATGGCGTATTATATATCAAAATATATAATATATATCTATATATACAAATGTACATATATATTTTATGCATCACGTTGTGGTCGCCCATTTTCCTCCCACTTCCCACTTTATCAAAAGTGACTTATCAAAAGTTCAATTTTTCTACCATTAACACTCGTTTCTGCGGTTAATTTAACCAGCTTATTATTAGCTGCTGGTTATTCTATCGAAATTGACCAATCGCATTTCAATTCTGATTAACGACAGATGTGATTACAATTCCATTGTAATAACCGATCGATTAAGTTACCCGAGGTTGCAAGGAAGAAATGGGCATGAATCGTATATTATATTTGAGAATGAAAAGAGCCCATTGAATCATACAACTCAGGAACGAAAATGTCTTTTGGCTTGTGCCGTTGTGCCGTAAAACTTGAAAGTCAAAATACCTGACCTATCGTTGAAGTTATACAAGAGAGAAGCCTCTGGAAAGCGCGCGACTATCGGACCGCGGAGTCCACAGGCACGCATTTTTCGACGTACCTCTTGAGAAAGTGAACTACGTTCGTCCCGATGGTAACAGTAAAGTGCACAGGGTTCTCGTTCGCTCTACTTTCAGACAAAGATAGCAAGTTAGAAAAATACAACCGAGAGACCAATTGTTCTGTCCTTGCCTCACTACCGATGTGAACGGACCACTCGACGGTAAGCAAGAAGCGAGTCAGCGGCGATCTTTTGCCGCTAAGCAAGCATCCTCTCGTCCTGCTTCTTCCCCATCTCATCTTTCACACAATTCGGGAAAAAATATTTCGAGGCCACTTTTACCGGATAACTTTTAGCAATGACGCACAATAACGCCAATGTGTGAACATTTTTTATAATTTTGCAACACTTTGCCGTTACCACCGGGATACAGTTCGTATGAACATTTTCAGGGGACGCGTTGAAAAATGCGTGCCCTGCTCAAATCCAGCTCAATGGTCCCTCTCATGCTTCCCTCTGGTACCAGAGATTGACAATTATGTCCACGTAGCCGTCACGTAGTTCTGTCACCTAGCCCCATCTTTTTCACCCCCCGGGGCTCACCAGCTTCGCCAGCGGCCGCGTCGCCGTCGGTCGGCAATGAACCGGCTGCATGCAGTCGTTGCCGCGTCGTCGTCGTCCAGCTGTAGAAAAGAAAGTAGCTTCGTTCGTGATCAGTACTTTCTCTACAGAAATTTCTCTGGTACGCTAAATCCCGTAGAGGCTAACAGTCTTTATTTATAGTTTCTCGTCGGTGCTGGAGCTCTTAGTCAAGACTCAAACCGATTAGGTGTGGTTCAAAATTCTCTCCACAATTTCCCTAGGTGGCGCCAGACAATCCGTTTAGTTTCAGTGGAATCGACTTCTTTGTGAGACCGTTATCTAAAGGTTCACTTCCCTAGGGGGAAAATACTTTGGCCTCTGTCAACGTAACATATAATTTTGGAGCAATAAAACAAAATAATATTACTAACAAAAAATATAGATATTAAGTCAAATTTTTAAGATTAAATACGAACTTTCTCATTTGTATATTTTTATATCTATCATATATTTTTCCATTGAATGAGCCGAACGAGCCTTATATCTTTCGTTTGGTCAAATTTTATATTACATTACATTGTAATAATGTTATTCTAACTTAAATTTAAACTTCGGTTCTTTCTTTCGGAAACGGTTCTTTCTTTCAATAATATCCACATATATTTATCCTCTCTTCTGGGTTCCTTTTGTTTAATTTCGTTAATTTCGTGGTGAATAGATATTTATCAAATTATTCGTTCATTCATTCCGAGATATTAAGCGAATTTTTGAGCAAATTATTTTCTTCTCTGTTAATGTTGAATTTTAATAGATAGCTATCCGTTGTAAATTTCGTTGCTTTCATCCTCCGACGCAAGTTATATTTTGCGGGCAACTTGATCTCGAGCCCAACGCCATCTTCAGTGTCTTCTCTCAGTTAAGAAAACAATAAAGCCATTACGAACACTTGTTCTCTCACCACTCGTCATTCGTAAGGCCATCACACACAACGAACTTAAGCAGTAAGCAAATCGACCAATCACAATCGAAATTTAAGGAGGCCATTTTAAAACTTACGAAAATAATAGATTGTGATTGGTCAGTTTCTTCACCGCTTACGTCTTACATTTGTGTGTGATGGCCTTTATATTTACGTAATCTTGCCTGAAGTCGCTCACATCGGGGATACGCGCTTTGCGTCGCTTGCGTGATGGAGTGGCGAACGGTGGTGGTGATAGTGCTGGTAGTGAGCCTCTGTTTTTTTATGGTACCGATAAGAGTGGGGCCTGACAAAAATGCCGAGGACATCAAACTGTTCGTCGATTACGTTGCCCGATACAATAAATCTTACCGGCACGATCCGCCCGAATATAATGAGCGATTCGACCGCTTTCAGGTGAACGATAAGTCGATCTATATCTCAAGCCGATTGTAGCGTAATCGCGCGAGGCGCAAGCGTGTGACTGGTTCAAACGATCGCGCGATAACGATACTGCAGTTCCATTATTGCTCTTACTGTTTTGTTCCGTCGTCCATCATCCATGTCGTCGTTATCAGTGTAATACACTGATGCCCAGGCAGTTTTCACATCGCTTATCGAGATAACTAAAGACGCTCCGATTCAAGGTGGATGCAAACGCGTGAGTCATTAGCCCCGCTGGCTAATGTATGACATACCTAATTAACTATCAGGATTACGAACTTGTAGGGATTACGTTCTCCGGTATTGGATATACCGACTTGCGACGTAGCGTAACAGTAATATTACTTTTTCACGTTGTTCCGCGCTTGGGAAGATCTTAATGTAGGTTGCCGAATGCTATTCTACGATCAATTCCGTTGAATTGCTCCTCCGTGTGCGCATCCGATACTGCATATAAATGCAACATTTTTTACGCATTGTGGATTGGAAGAAGGTAAAACTTAATTGCAGAGATCACTACGACATATCGAGAGGATGAACGGCTTTCGGTCGTCGCAAGAAAGCGCGTATTACGGACTGACGGAATTTTCCGACTTATCCGAGGATGAATTCGTGCAACGGACTCTGCTTCCTGACTTATCCTCACGAGGTAAGGTCCGAAGAGCAAAGTGTGACGTAGAATTTTCCAATATAAGATATTGGAATGTTCGTTATGTGGAATATTTAAAAAATCTCAAGCGAAACGTCCTTGAGGAAGACCCTGAGGTTAAATATGAATATAACGCGTTCTAACTTCTCGTTAACCTATCGCTGATATGTTTCGACTATGTTGCCAATTAGGCCAGATGCACAAGGCAGCATCGTATTATCATCGGCACACCAAGAACACGAATAATCGCTCGGAGAGGGAGACAAACGTACCTCCGAAGATAGACTGGCGTGACAAAGGGGTGGTGGGGCCGATTCAAAGTCAAGAGATTTGCGGCGCGTGCTGGGCGTTCAGCACGATCGGGGTGGCCGAATCGATGTACGCCATGAAAAACGGAACTTTGTATCCCTTTAGCGTGCAGGAAGTAGGTCGTTCTATCCCCGGCACGCCTGTACTTCGCTAATGACGCGACCGCCGGAGCAAGGCCGCGTCCTGTGCGAGGCGCGGTACTTTTTGCGTCCGTTGCCTCCGTTTCTTCGTGTCTCTAATCAAGGATTCTCACACGCTCGCGTTAGCTAGCATTCTCGGAGTCAACCGCGCGATGCACTTGCTCCAGCGGTTCCTTCAACCTTCCGATTTTTTGCGATTTTCGTTACTCATGTTAATTCGCCGCCGCTGAATGTTTAATCTCCCCGTGTCACGTGGGGCACGTGGCGTGCACAGATGATCGACTGTATGCCAGGCGACTTTGGCTGCCAAGGTGGTGACATATGCAGTCTGCTGTCGTGGCTACTGACGTCAAAGACCAAAATCATTCCCGAGAGCGCGTACCCTCTCACACGGCGAGACGACCAGTGCAAATTGCTCAAGTAGGTGTGCGAGGTTCGGCGGAGAGATGCTCGTTCGGCGATATAGAGAAACACTCGCGTGCTTACAGACAAGCGCAATCTCACGATCTGACTAACTATTTCAGGCTTTCGGCGAAGACGTCGGGTGTTGGCATAACGGACTTCACATGTGACAGGTAGCTAATTTTCGTTCGCGTATTTTAGTCCCCGGTTTATAGAGAAAAGAAACCAATCCCTTTTTTCTTTTTCTTCATTTCTTCACACACACACACACACACAGTTTCCCTTCGCCAATTCGTAGAACTCGACTCGATATTATGATTGACCAAACCGCCCTTCTTCTTCCAACGATACAGACTAGTGGTACTCAATAGTGGACACGCTTCTCTTTTTGTGCACGTAAACAGCGAATAATGATATCTCTTCGTTCTTGTTGCTGTTTCACGCGTATCAATCACATAAACGCTAAATGAAGCAACATCGGCGGAAACCGCTCATGAAGCCGCTCTCGCTCATTATGCCGTACCGACTGCGTGCGCATCGATTCTCGATCGACTAATCGAGCCTGTTCCAGCTTTGCGGACGCGGAAGATGAACTTCTGGCATTACTCGCCAGTCACGGACCCGTGGCGGCCGCCGTGAACGCCATATCTTGGCAGAATTACTTGGGCGGTGTGATCCAGTATCACTGCGACGGCTCGTTCAGTAGCTTGAATCACGCGGTGCAGATCGTGGGATACGATCTGTCAGCGGGAATACCGCATTACATCGTCAAGAACTCGTGGGGGACGGCCTTCGGCGACAAGGGCTACCTTTATATCTCTATCGGCAGCAACTTATGCGGTAAGATCATTCGTGAAACGGCGATAATTGCGTTAATTGACTTGGCGCATTGCCTGTTTTGGAAGATGAAAAGGAGAGAAATTTCAACACGTGTTATCGCAGGCATAGCCAATCAAATATCGTCGGCTGAGGTCGACTAATCGATGGCGACGGCCTCGTTTGCGTTCCAGCGAGAGGCAAATCGTGCAACCGTGGGACAAACGTGTGTTTGACGGTTTAATGTGAGACCTGTATGTTCAGTATCTCTCTGTAAAGATACAACGCTGCACGCGGAGGTGTTGAAAGACTGCGAATTTAATAATAACACACTTAGGAATAAAAACACTTGGTTAAACGTGTATGCTAATATAATGTCATGTATCCTTCATACTGTTAATTGTCATTTTCCTTCTCGAGCCGTTACTAGCGTTACTCGACCGGCTACTTTGACGTTATTAAGCTTGACGTTAAAACACTCGCCTCGCGTTAAGATTATGCGAATCTACGCCCCTACTTGGACTGCTCGATGCGTTACGGGGATAAGAATCGTCAGTTGCGCTTTTGTGAGATTTGTCGTGGTTAGTACGATGGTTAGAGTACTGGCGTCGAGGTGTTCGGTTCAGGAGCTGCCCGGAGAGTTTGCCGGATTATCTTGACTATCGTCCGCGCTCCAGCCGTTCGAGGCGATCGACAGTTTCGTCTTCATCTGCTTCGTCAGTGACGGGATCATGTGGCGCGGTATCAGGAAGGTCGACAAGTTGAACAGATCCAGAAAGACCTTGTATCGATCACTGCCGATTCGTTGAAATGCATGAAACAAGCGAAGCGTTTGTTGTGTTAAAAATACGTTATTTGCGTAATCAGCTAACGCGGATATCGAAGGCGCGTTCCGCGGAGCATGATTTTCTCTCCCCGTCCCCTACCCCTCTCATTTTTATACAAAACGATACGCTGTTTTGACTTTTGACATTGCAAAGTATTTCTGCGTCATATCATTCGATGATAAGACCCTGTGATAAGCGCGAGGAACGTTACGCCACGAAGACTCGGTTGCATTTGCAACGCTATCTATGCCAATGTCACTTACGAATTACGCTTTTCTTTCGAGTAAAAGTTCGACACGCGCTTACAGTCTTGCGTGACTTAAATACCTTAGCGTCGATTTTAAATATTGATAGCCGGAGGAGCCGCCGGTGCCGAGCTGCTGAGACCCGATCATCCTTTGTACCATGATAACGTGATTATCTAAATAACAGAAAAGATAGATGGATAGAAGTAGAATAACGAAAGAGAATCTCTATTCTCAGCTTCTGCGTCAGTTGCAAACATATGAGATTACGAACGTTGAACGATATGACGCAGATACGCAGGCTGTATAAATCTGTAAATAACTTTTAGCGCGAGCTCGTGTTGCAGCGGTTAATTGTCGCAAGACTGGACAATATAATCTCAGACCCGCAGGTCCGTCCGCAGACGTCCGCGATGAAACGAAGTAGCGGGGTGAGGGGGGGGGGGAGGGCGAGGGGAACAACAACGAAGCGCGACGACGCGTGCAGGGAGGTAGACACGGGAAACGACGACGGGCGAGTCGACAAGTGCTCTCTCACATCTCCACTTCGTGATCAGAGAATCGATGTCCATCAACGCCATGAGGATCTGGTGCGGCTGGCTGAATCGCGGCTCGTCCCGGTACAGGGTGATCATAATCGCTCCCTGAAGAGCGCCGTGCGAAAATCTACGCTCGCCGCGCGACACAAGGGCGTTGTGCAGGGACTCGCTCATGATGGTTTCGAAAACAGCTCGCCTCGAGCTGACGTTGGCCAGCAGGTGCTCCCTGACCTCTGGCTCCGTAGGCGCTTTCTGAAATGTCACAGTGAGTTTCGAATGACCACTGCGTCGTGTCTAGCGACGTAGCGATACGTAGCGATACGCATTTGCTACTCGCACACTCGCGAGCGAATCGACAGGCTCTTGGAAAGTTTAGATTTACGTGTGCGGCTTGCTCCTGCTCGGCCAGCATCGTCTCCACCGAGCGTTTGTACTTTCCCCAGAAGTCAAAGTCGTCGGTCTCGAGGCCCGGCGTTCTGCTCAACCATCTCTGCACCAGACCACTGAGACTGTACTCTTCCTCGGACCGCTTGATCGCCTCGATCGCCGCGGGATCCCTGCCGAAGACCCTCATGTAACTCTGATTATATTTCACCCTGTGCTCCTGCTTCACGCCCAGCTTATTCTCCAGCAGGCGGAATTGCAGCGACTGGAAGCCCGAAGCCGGGCACAGGTAGTCCCGAAACGCCATGAAGTCCAGCGGCGTCATCGTTTCCAGGATCGTCACTTGATCCACCAACAGCTGGAAGTGATAACACTCAGCGTCAGCGAGAGAGAGAGAGAGAGAGAGAGAGAGAGAGAGAGAGTTGCGAGAAACGACGCGACGCTAATTCCACGCCACGTTACTCTCGTCGATTCTCTCGCGCGGTATCTATCGGCGCGCGAAATCTCGCAATCGGGCCCGATTAAGTGAGATTACCGGTTCAATAAGATATAAAGCGCGGTATTGGGCGATCGGGTCGGGAGAACGCAGCGGTACAAAGGTACACGCGCGTAAAACACTCTCATCGATTGTTCAGCCCGACTGCACTCGCATTTCTATGGGTGCCGCCGTGAACAAAGGGTGCGCGAGCACACACACAGGGCGCGGGCGCGGTGCGTTAATATTGCAGCGTGTCGTGGCATTATACAGGATGCACTGGAAAATCCGGCCGAGTACCGCGCGAATAATAGAGCGCGATCGCAGGCGAGCGCGCGGAGATGACTTCTTCCCGGGGCAAATCCTACCGGCGGACGGCCGCTGGGTGGATCGCGCATTTCGTAAATTTTCCACATCGACCACGCTATTCTCTCGTCCGAGAGTGGCTGCACTTTCCACACACACACACACACACACACACACCCTCGCCCCGTCATCGACGGCGGACAAGCGGGACGATGTTGACGACTGGCATTATCTAGATCTGCAAGCGCGCGCTGATCTCATATCAATTGTAATTCCGTAATTTCAAGGCACTCTCGCGATATATCATATTGCCGTGAGTACTCGGAATGCAGCGCGTCGCGGGGAGATGTTTCGTCGAGTCGGAATAAGGGAAGGTGCGACCGCACCTCCGCTCTCTGCGGTATCGAAGTGAGGAACAACGGGTTCGTTACGTAACGTAACTGCGAGTCAGTGGTCGGGTGTCGCGTATCGCCTAAAGGTATTATCTTACTCAGCCGTCAGCGATATTTCTGTGGTTCCCACAAGCCTCTACCTGTCCTGATGACGAGAGACATCGTCTCTCGCCTAAATCGGGAGATAAAAGTGTCGAAGCGCGTCATGTCACGCGTATCCCGCGTATCAACAACCGGGCGATATCGCTATCGATCCGGTTTGTCGCGAGGACGAGGGAAACCGCGGCTGCCGCGTGTCGTGTGAGCTTTTATCTCTTTCTCCTGCTTCACACGCATGCATTTACATTGAGATAAAAATCAATTCGCTTCTCAAGTCACCTTGTCGCGTGACGTGACCAACTGCCGCAACAGGTTAAACCGCGAGAAGTCATTACGTCCCGCTTGGAATTTAGAAGAGACCACACGTGTGTGTGTGTGTGTGCGCGCGTACTTCTAGCCGTGTATTTTTCCACAACTCTTAAGACGATACGAGCCCGCGCCGCGGCTCAAGCAGGGTCCGCAGCTCTGTCTGGTGAGACAGAAAACTTCGATCAGATCGATACCGAAGGGACGGACCACGCGGTCCGTCACGGGCTAATCGGCTTGCGATCAAGGGCCGTTCACCTCTCACATTCATCATCAGTCAGAGGGGAAGACCAAGTTCCTTAACTCTTTCTCTATCTTCTCCTATCTTCGCGAAACGCTTAGCTAATACGGTTCCCGTTTCCCTGGCTACATCTCGCTATTTCGGAGGAGAACCTTTCGAAAAACCCCCGATCCGAGAAACGATCGCTCTCGAGGATAACTACTTTGAGGAAAAGAGAAGAGACGTACTTTCAGAATGAGTACGATGCGATTTAGTCGCTTGAGGATCTCCAATGTTTTCGACTCGTTCAAAACGTGAGAGACCCCGTTATCCCGCTTGGCCGAGTGGTCGTTGGAAGAGCCGTTGCACGTTGCACTGTTTTCGGAGCTGAAGAGCGCCCGGACGGAGTCCAGCTCGAAAATAATCTGTTTGAACCAGAGCTCGTAGGCTGCGACAATCGAAACACATGCGCTCATGTGCAGTTGAACGGAAGTATCCGGTCAGTCTCGCAACATTCGTGTTACTCGCGTTACTTTGTAAGATAATTGTTCGCTCGTCAATTCGCGTGTTAAGGACGGGCTGTCTGTCGATACCTTGGTGGGTGACGATGAAGAGATGCTCGTCGTGAACCTCGTTGCTGTACTCGGCGCTGAGGAGCCTCTGCGCGGACAGGATCTTGTCCAGGCGCAGATACTCTCCGTAAAGCAATCCCGGTCCTGTCATCATCTGCTCCTCGTTCTGACCGTGCTTCTCTCTTTAACGGACGAGATCGCACGTTATCGCTTTTCGTGCTTGCGTACAGTCGCTCGCGTCGCTCGAAAAGAGGTTGGAATTATTTCAGTTGCGAGCACATTGCGAAATCGTCGAGATATTGTCCGGTGTAATCTTGTATCTGCGGCCGTCGCGCGAGGTCGTCTCTGTCGCGTCCGAAGGCGTAGATCAAAATGTTGGGAGTAACGCGTTGGAAATACGTGCGCGCTATGCCAATGCGCGATGTCTCTGATCATACCACAACGTATCATGCGGTGCAACTAATTTATCCGCCGTTCGCCGTTCAACGCCGGTTCAACCGTCGGTACGCAAAGTATCGAGGCTCAAGAATTGGAGGAGATTCAAAAGCGAGCGCGCGTCTCTGATATTAATTCTCTTCGCGACCGCTTCGCAACGGTTTCTTATCGAGAAAATCCCTCCTTCTGAGAAAAATTTCAACTATCCGATTTGAAATTCGACGTTATGTTACTTACGCGATTCCGCCTGATACTGGGCAAGCCATAGCTTGAAACGTACGACTCCTTACTTTGGTGCGAGGAATAAATTGGTAACAGTCCGAGATCTTCAGTGACCCTTTCGCCTAGTACAAATCGAGCGATCGACCGAGTCGTCGATGATCCGTCGGTTGAAGGGTTGAGTTGAAGTTACAGACGGCGCGTGATGGCGGAGGATTCGATCTCGACGGATCGACACGTCGAGATTCTTTGTCGAATCGCAACTCGTGGAACGACTGTACTCGCGTGCGATGACCACACGCGCGACGCGTGCTGCCGAAGAGGTGGATGGCGCGCAACTAAGCCATGATCGGCGGCTGAGGCTGTTAACAACGAGCAGTCTCGTAAATGAACTCTGTTGTGTGCGCGAGCGATCGCAACGAAAAAGTTCGCGGTGTGAACGTGGTTGGTGGTGCAGAAAGGAACGAGGCAAAGGAGAAATGTCCGTCAAGCAGCGTGCGATAAAGAAAATTTTACAATGATGAAACAAATTAACAAGAGAAAACCGGTACAGAATGAAACGCGTGCTAGACGTGCGACTTTTGCGCACGTCTAGCGAGACTAATAATTCGTAGATAGAGAGAAACGGGACAAGATAAGGTCTTCTCACAGCCGCCATTTTCGAGCCAGAGAATCACTGTGTTGGTGGTACTATGTACGTATTATGGTTTAATTGGATGAGTGAACAGAGTAAACATCAATCAATAACAGTTTAAGATGTAATCAGAAGTAATCAAAACATAATTTAAACACTGGTATTCCAAAATATCAGTGAGAATTTTCAGAAGAAAAACAATTACAATGCCGGCTTGTAGTGCCAGAAATTGCAAAACACGAAAATAATTTTTGACATGACGGTATGTGGTTAATCAGCTGAGCCACGGTCACCGCCACTTTCGAGCCAAACCGTCTGAAGTGGATGAGAAGACCTTATCTTGTCTCATTCCTCTATCTACGGACTTTGAGCGGGACAATCCGCCCGAGAACATCCAGATGGACAATCGAAAGAATTGGTACAAAGAATGGTACAAAATAGTCGGACAAAACAGCAGGACAACGGTAAAGTCTCTTAAAATAGAGACCGAACCATTGTCTTCGTAAACCAGATGGTTCTTTTCCATTGGCTCCCGTCGATTAAGTCGCCTAACGACGAACCAGAAATTGATAGCTTCGGCAATTCTATTCCTCATCATAGGTGACTTTTGTGATATCGAAGAGTCGTGACAATGCCGTGATAACGTGTGCGACATGTTTGGATCACGCACGTGCGTACGTGATCATTCAGACACGCGAAACGGCACGTGGTTCACACGTCGATTCGCGCCTTTGTCTCCGAGCAGCTGATGATCTTAAGTCTCGACGACACCGTCTCTGAGACGGAGCCGTAATGCTAGCGCCTTGTAAATTATCGCTAGAATAAAGTATTCTAGATCGCAACGACTTCATCCGGAACAAACTTTTCCTTAAAAAAAAAATGTACCAAAATCATCGAGTAAATTTACAAAATTCCTAGGATCCTTAGGATCCTTAGGATCCAGATCTGCTAGGTCTGCTTGTGAAAACAAGCAGACGTCGTGAGATTTTGGTTAAAAGCAAGTTTAAAATATAGATAAAAACAAAGCGAGAGATAATAGACAACAGATGTGATAAACGAGAAAAGCGTTGCAAAGCGGCACGTTGAACTCAGTTTCGAAGTTTTAATTTGAGTTACAAAATCACAAAAAGTCGGAGAAAGTGAAGCGAGAGTAAGTGGAAGCAATAAACGTGCATGTTGCCTTTATAAGAGAATATTTTGTCAACTCTAACGAGCACACACAAAAAAAAATATATATATATATGTATATAAATAGTATTTGTGATCATGAATTATAATATCTTTATAAAATATATTGAAACTCTCTTATATTTATGAAAATTATGTGTATAATGCGTTATATCAACAAAGAGTACATTTTAATTAAGGTAATAATTAATTGTAGATGTCTCTCTTTCGCCTTCAAGTTATTACCAACCGATGACAGATTCGTCGCGAACCTGTGGTCGATCAAGAAAATTTCTGCCAGTTTTCATTAAAATTGTTCATTGCGATGGTAGATGTCGTATCGTGTACATTTCATTTCTTTTAGAATCAGTGTTAAATGCAATTAAAAAGAAGTGTTGATAAACAAGACAAACTTGAGATTAAATTTATTCCAGATTTTACTCGTCAAATTCTTCCGCTTTATCGAAAGAATATCTCCTACGTAATAACGATAATTCCTGGTATAATTGCATACGACATTAATTATATTAACAACGTAACAGACACATAGATGTGAGTGTGAGTGATGAGAGAGTGTCGTGTTGTACTTTTATTCTTTTCTAATAGAAAACTCATCTGAGCAGCTGAGGTGAGTTGTAGCAATAACAGTTAATGAAAATGGCAGCAGCTAGTAGTAGTAGAGATCGTGGAATTAGTATAAATTTAACTCGTTTTTCGATAAATTTTCTCGGAACGTCGTTAGATGACGCCAGGCAACTTGTTAACTGTGTTTCAACGGGTCTAATGAGTCTGCGATTACTTCAAAATGTAGTTTGAAAATCTCCGCTATGAGCCACCACCGTTTATAATGAAGAATCGAGCTTGTGGTGCGACTCAACAATAAACCAGACAGAATATTTTTTTATTTTCAGACGGTAGGCTTTCAGACGATGGTCGCACGAATATTGTTCTTTCCAAATAGTATCATTCAACGTCAACATAAAAGACATTTATTTTCGAATTTTCGACTAAATGAGGTAGTCTTTTGTATTTTTAATTAATACAAACCAACGATTTTTCTGTTTTCAAATAACATGGCTAGTACAAGATGATCTTTTATTTATAATTGATACATCTTAACAACGGGTCAGATAAAATTCTATTCTGCAATTGTGCGATCAAAGACAGCGGATCGAGTAAACATTTATTTTTACATATTAATGAGGAATAAAGATAGATAGCTCTCGACGATAATTGATTAATCAATTAATTAATGTTTCAATTACTGATGAAGTAAATTAATTAAATTCTCCTGATAAATTAAACAATTAAGAAATAAAAATAACGAGGGAGAACAGGTCTCGGGGCGATTCAAATAAATTATGTATTTATACGTAATTGCAAAATGTGTGCAGAAAATTTATCGATAGAACTTGTGGTTTTTAATTGTACATACACAAAGTGTCGACATGACAATTAATAGAATATAAAAATATTGGAAAAATATACCAATATATATATATATATATAATATTGGAAATATATAATAGTGAAAAGGAGGAAGAAATAAAACGTTGGTTTTTTTTCTCCCTCGCGTTACACACATTTTTATTTCCACTATAGAAATGCAACATCCGTTACAGATGTAGGTACGTCGATCCATTTTTACTAAGTTGAATGCACGGATGTTGGATACGATTGGCGATAATAAGATTCGCGATAATTTTACAGACAGACACACATACACAGGTGTATACGCGCATAGTCACCGAATTAGTAATTTTTATCGTAACAGATACGCGACAATATATCGTGTAACATAGATTAGCAATTAGCACCCCTATTTCGTTGTCACCCCTTTATTCGTTTATATCCCCCGTTAAAACGGTGCAGCCCGCCGTTATTTCCAAAGTAATTTCTCAGTCGAATAAACCGCAGACGAGATTACCGGTGCGCGCGATGACGCGTTATAAAATCGCGCGGCGCATAATAATACGGGCCGTTCGTTATCAACCAACCCGTCTCGTAACGCGCCGTTACCTGTAAAATAATAATTATAACATCATGCCCTGCGCGCGGGATAAGATCATTCCGCGGGAATTTTGAGCGCACGGCTTCCGACACGGTGCAACTCGTCGAGAGACTCCCCCGAAGGAACAATTCCCGGGGGAAAGGGGGGACTCGATGTTTCCGGAAATATCGATGACACGCTGCACGAAATAGAAGATCACTGTTCGATAAAAATATTCGTCGAACGTCGTACATCGAAATCCACTCGCGAGCTTTGATAATCAGCCACCGGACACGTGACTTCCCGGAAGTATACGCTGATAAGCCGCGTATCACGCCGATTAAGACCTCTTCCCTTCGTTTCTCTAATGATGCTGCAATGCTGGCGGCATTATCCTCAAGATATATCACGTGCCTGCCCGTGGCAAGTCGCTTGATCGAGACAGCCGAGGTATCTTCGATTATACAGGACGCTCTTTTACGTAATAGTATTTGCCTCGTCGAAGTGTTTTATCGTAATTATACGCGCGAGTACAAAGCAGAAGGAGCAGAAGAAGAAGAAAATGAGAAGTACCACGCCGTATGCTCGCGTGTACCGAGTTTTGTATTTCCGCTAATTTCCGATGCCCCGTCTAACAATGGACTCGTCAGATTGCACTTGGCGTCGCGTAAAAACCCCGCGAAGTCGCATCGACGCTCGCACGGAAGTCCGAGCGAGCGTGCGCGATTTAATTGCCACTCATGGGGACTCATCGTCATCGTCGCCACGGTGGTTGTTGCGGGAGTTCAAACAATGTATCGGAGAACGATAATACCGGGGAAGCCGCAATCTTTTGCGTAATCATCGACATTGAACTGCACTTCGCGTCGCGTCGCGTCGCGTCGCGTCGCGTCGCGTCTCATTCCGCTTCACATTTTCTGCCTCTTCTTCTCCTTTGTTTTCCTCCCCACCGTCCTCGTCGAATTCTCTCCGCGCGCGGTTTCGCGACGCACGATAGTAGGTCTCGGCTGCAATTTGCACGAATTAATACCTCGTATCCACCGCCGGTTTTCCTGCTTAGCGCTCGTTATTACATTTTCTCCCGAGGAACGGATGGAGGTCTGCCCGTCGCGCGTAACAGTTTCCTGACAGGTAGCGGCCGTGTTGCGCTGCAGGAGGCACGGCACGGCATGCACGGGACAAAATTTTCCGCGAGGAAGGGAGAAGAAAGACAGAACGAATGTGCGAATAGCTCGCTTTCGGGATAAATGCGGCGCCGATGTAATGGCGCTGTTTACGTTTCGGGATTATACGCGGTACGTCGAAAACGAGCGCGCGCGCGCGTGTCGGCGTATCGGAAAGAAGAGAGACAGATAAAAATAAAACGTCGTTGGAGAATGATGGGCGTATGCGAAAGGAATGAACGTTAAGATCGAACGCACGCGCGCGCGCGTTCAATTATGATTCAAGGGCGGAAAAATGCCGACTCGTTCTCCGCACGACAACGTTGCTACACTCGCTCAATGATTCATTTCTTTCTTCTCGCTTTTTTCTCCTTCCCGAGGGAATGTTTGCGTAATCTTCGGAGTTCCTTCAGACGGAGTCCGTTCTGTCGCAATCGACGTAAAATGAAGATAATGCGGGCGTTGATTGCTCGCTCGCAGTTGCCGTTACGGCGGCATTTCGCTCGACAATGTTTCGCGGATCGCGAGCTGGAGAAGGTATCCTGCGCGTTCCTTTTCCTCGCGATCCCACGTTCGCTACGTCTCGACTCGCAAGCGTCTCTCCCTCTCCAGCGGCGGGTGTTCCGTGAAAACTGACAGAGCGCGATAAGCAGGATGCACCGAGTCGAAATTTGGGTGCCGCCTCAACCCTTGCAAGTCCCCTCGAGAATCGAAGAATCGACAAAGAATCCGCGAACGTAACGCGTCGCTGTGCAAGCTGTTGCACCGCCTTGATGCTACGTGATGCATGCGATATTACTCGCCGCCATGTTCGTTTCCCATGTTGTTTAAGAGAGAGAGAGAGAGGGGGAGAGGGAGAGGGAGGGAGAGAGAGAGAGAGAGAGAGAGAGAGAGAATTTTGTATATTTCAGAATTATCCCGATTATCTCGATATTCCTCTCGCGTTTAACATGTATCCCCATTCCGATAAACAATACATTTGGTTGCGCGATTTATCAAACTACAGACAGAGAGCACGCAGAGAACAAGTGAATGTTACATAATTCAATAGCAATTAACGGGTAAATATTTAATCAATTAATGCGGGGCTGGGTCAAACAATACATTTATTTGATCAGCCTGAAATCTCGGCGCGCGCTCGCTCGAAACGAGAGCGGCTCCGCGAAATCGCGTTTCGCTCGTCGCGCGATACGTAGATGCGCCTCTATGCGAGACCTCGCGCCAGCGAATTTTGTTTACGCGCCGTCGTATTTCCTATCCCAATTGCGCTCGTAATCGGCCAAGCGCGAAGGATCGATGCCCGCTATCGCGTCCCGCGCTATTGATCTACACCTCCCGATAAAATTCGCATTCGCATCGCTCGTGGTCTCTCCCCGCCTCCCCCCTCCCTCCCCTCACCCCTGTCGTCTCTCTTCGCCGGGCTACCGCGCGGCCGAAACTTTTAAATCACGGACGGTATTAACGAATATCCATAAATTCACGTATCGCAAGACATTCGGACGTCTAATGCGCGCCCGATGACATTTGTATCGGATTCTTCCTTGCTGCTCGATTTCCCCGCGCTCTTCGAGTCGCGGCTTCTCGCGGCGTCGCCACGCGAGGAGCTCGCCCAGTCTCGCCGCGCCGGGGCGAGTCACCGAAAGGTCGTATCCGAATTTCTTTCGTCGATTCCTCCTGGGATGCGTTCGAGATTATTCTCGCGTGCGAGGAGGCGATGCAGCGGTTTAGCTGACCTAACCCAAAGTTACGATGCGGAATGATCGACTGGCGGGAAAGAGATCGAGGGAAGCCTAAGATTGTTGGAAACGCGTAGAAAGCGCGTGCCGTTCTAGCGCACGGAGGATCGGCTGAGGACGCTGCGCGAGAAAGTTGCTTAAGAACTTTAAGAAGAAAAGTAAAGTAAAGTAAAAGATGAAGCGGAGGACGCTCTGATCGCGCGTCGCGATGTGACCGGGCGGTACGTCGAGACATTGGTCGCACGTACGTCCTGTACGCATGGTTCGCACGCGTCGTGATACACACGAGCGCGCACATCTGACGCCACTGCGGAAGCACGTGAGAAGTCGGTTAATGAGATACCATTCACCGCGATTATTCGTCTTATCCCACTAATATTCTCCGGCGGAGCGCGCGCGTGCGAACGTTCGCGCTGGAATCTGGGCTCGCCTTGAGACGCGATCGCAATCGGATCACTCGCTCCGGTGTTCGTGTGTAACAACGCACTTGAGTCTCAAAATATTATTATTATTATTATTATCATCACGGCAGTCATTCGCAATCGATCGTCATACTAGCATAGTTATTTCAGTCGATCGGCCGGATCCGCCGAATGATATGATATCTTCCCAGGGAGCAACCGCCGTGCCGTCGCGTCGCCGTCGCGTCGCGCGAAATCACGTAAAATCCGGGATTCATGTGCGATCGCACATGGGGAATGAAAAAAAAACACGCTCTCGCTGACGGACGCGGCTGTCTTCCGGCGAAATTTGCATATTTCGCGGGTCGCTCGATCCTTCCGTTATATACAGCGCCGGCGCGATCGGCGAATCGTCAATAATGCGCAGGATAATTATTTATTCATGTATAGAGTCGCGCGGCACCGCGCGGCACCGTAAATATTACATTTCCTCGCGGCAACTATTCCCGCGCAATAAATGGCGTGTCTCGATCACTTGATAAATTGTGTTTGCGATGTTCCCTAACAGTGTCATAATTAACGTCATGCCAATTTACACGCAAACAATTATTACGGCGGCGCGCAACAGCCGAGGATGTACGTCTGCTTGTCCAACGTTGCATACCGGGCCGCTGCGCACCCGCGCAAATATCGCGCGACAGATGCAGAAGGTGCGTGTAATGTATACAGTATGTATATTTAGCCGCGACTCTCATTTTCTGAGGAGAGCCTGGAGAGCGTCCCCGGCGTCTTCCTCGGCTCTCGGCCCTGAACGGGACGGGTTTTTGTTCGTTTGACTTCTTTTTCAAATGCCACATACGTGCCTCTCCTATTTTTAGGCTCGCCCTCGGATGTGCTCCAAAAACAGGCACGAGGATCCTTCTCTTCCTACTCTCTCCTTATCCCCCCTCAGCCCTTTTTCTCCCAAACGGACAGGTAGGACTCGGCGTTGCGTATTTCTCTCTCGTGTTGTATCGTCTGGCTTGGAGCCTTCTTAGAGACGTGTGTCTCTCTGACTGCATAGTTATTATAAATTACATCTATTTTCTCTCTCTCTCTCTCTCTTTTTTTCTCTTTCTCGCTGCTACGAGAAGCAAAATGGCTCTCTGTAATCGCTTTCTGAAGCAGTTTTTCGTATATTTGACGCAAGTTTCTGTTATTAAAAACAGCCGAGAAACATCTCAAACCTATAATATCATAAGTATTTAATATTTTACTGCGACTTTTCTTCAATATTTCGTTTCAATATTACGCAGGCAGAAGCCTATATATTATACGTTAACGCGGTACAGCTCTGAAATCTTCGCTGTTTATGATTCCCCGCCGTTTTTCCTCCGGGTCCAGAAAACTGAAGGTAAGCTGTACTTGGAGGTCGAAGAAGCCTCTCAGTAATTACTGGATTCTCATTTTAAAAGTGTCGTTCTTTGTATATGCTCGAAGGTAAGTACGTAATGCTGCGGAACAGCGACGTCGATAACGAGTATCCCGTCTATGATAGCGCGTAGTGTTGTATGAATAAACGACGTGTGAAACGATTGTTCTTGACGTTGTAATAGAAACGAGACGATAGAGAGGGAGAAAGAGAGAGAGAGAGAGAGAGAGAGAGAGAGAGAGAGAGAAGAGCAGAGAAAGAAGAAGAATAAGAAGGAGGGAGAGAGAGTTGTATCACGTCACGTAACAGTCGCCGGCAATAGCTGCGCGATAGCGAAGAAATTTAAAGAAGCGCATTTTGTCACGTATCGATAAGAAAATATCTCCGAGACGTCTTACGACTTAATTATTAATGACGCACGGTCCTTCGCGTTGCGCAACTTCCCCCGAACAATCTCGATAAGAGATTCGCGCGCATTGGCCGATGCAATTTGCGTAATTCCGATGATTTTGCGGAAAGACTCGATCGCCTCGACGGGATGGAGGTTCCGTCACAGCTGACACGCTTAATGCTTCATTTCATTACATCCCGCGTCGCGCTTCATGACTGTGCTTTAATAGGCGTCGATAAATCACGTGCAGGCCGATGGATCTAAATGCTAAATCATCGCGAATGAAAACCGGCCTGTCGGTGGAAATCGCTTTCGTTGACACGGCGAACTTCGCCTCGGCGAAGTTGAGGTCAACCGGTCGACCTCACCTCACGGTATTTATGCTCGATTGTTTGGTAAGTAGACGAAGCGATCGTTCCTCGTGATGTGTGAGTAAGTCTTCCCGCGAAACTGGACAACTCCGGCTGGTCTCATTAGCTGCTAAACAGCAACCCGACAAAGCGCGACATGCCAAAGCTCCGCTCGCTCCGATGGGCAGTTTAACGTCACGTTCGCTATAAGTTATTTGTTTTATTGCACTCTCGACGCTCCGATCTATTTATAGTTTAAACGAGATAAATTGATACCGCGCTGCAGCGAGCGCCGGCCAGTGAGCGCGGCTCGGACAGAATGCAGAATTCGCCGGCTCTTCCCTACCGCTAATTCTCGATTTTCCGCTCCGCGCGATTCCGTGCACGTACAGCGGCACCCGAAAATCCCGATCTCTCTCTCTCTCTCTCTCTCTCTCTCTCTCTCTCCTTGGGGATAACCGCGTTATCGTCGGGGGATCAACGCGAAATTTCCACGTGTGCACAGTACTCGCGTCACCTGACGCGTTCGCCTAGCCTTTGTACCGGTGTCAGGTGATACTTTGAGTCAGCGATTAATGCAATCGACGTAGGCTGTTGCTCGTAGAGTCCTCTTCTCTCATATCGAAGTCCCCCGCGATATGTCGCGATCGATCGATCGATCGATCGGCCGGCCGGCCGGCCATCGAATCGGCATAGGATTCATGAGCGCGCGATCGCACGCTCGCTCGATCGCACTCTCGCGTGTGTGAGTCTGTGCATCGCCGTAGCTACGCACACGACAGACAAGATAGTGTGTAGCACTTCGAAGGTCCACGTGGTCATGGATCATAGTGGTGGCAACAGTCGTGTCCCGGCCGTCGTTCAAGTGTGCAAGAACGCCGGTCTCCGTCGTCTCAGCCGGCCTCAGCCGTCGAGAGAGGAGAACACTTGAGAAAAAACGCGAAATAAGAAGAGGTAGAAGAGCAGGAGGAGGAAGAGGAGGAGGAGGAGGAGGAGGAGGAGGAGGAGAGGAGAAGGTGGAGGAAGAAGAAGCAGAAGAAGAGAGCAAACCGGGACGAGCTCGCTTTCGTTTGCGTTCCGCGCGTTGTCCGCGATCGGTGATTCCACGCTCACGCAGAATCGCGCGCGCGTCCTGACCGCGTCCTGATCCGAGGTTTCGTTCTCCGGTCTGCTGCTTCTCGGGGTGCGCGATGTGCTCTGACAAGGTCCGCGTGGACCACGGAACCGATCGCTGATCGCCGGCTGACGTCGCTGTTTTGCGCGTCGCTGTCAGCAACGACGCGCTTTGATCAAAACGGGATCAGGCAGGCCGACCGGCTTACTCAACTTCATTGCATATATAGACTTTATCTGCGGCAACGAGGAAGAGCCGGGGAGTGCATTGGTTGCATCAAGCTCGTGAGTATATGGTTGATTTGTAAGCCTTCAATCGCGCGTACCACAAGAACGATTGACAGAGAAAACAAAGAGTTTTAATTTTTCAAACGTTATTATTAATATTTACTTCGCTCGCTGATTATCCCGTTTTTTCCTTTCGTACGGATAATCATAACACGAAAGCTGACGTGAATTATTCATCGTTCTTGAACGTTGATATTTGCTTCCTCAAGGTCCATCGATCTAATCTCTTATTATTATTATATTCTTGTCTCGAGGCATTATTACGTCGTCTCAATTTATTCACTAGTAAGCGAGGAAAGAATACATGTTTGTTGTACTTGAAGTAAATTTCCATTTCGCGCACAAAATATTTAAGATTATTTCCTATTTTTATTTTAAATAATTTTATCCCCTTTTCATACCCATATACATACATATATACATATATACACACACACATATATATATATATATATTAATAAAATACGCATCTAAAATATTAAAAAAATGTATATCTAATTGCGTTAATACACATATCTCACACATAAAGTTAAGCGGTAATAGAATTACTTTGGAAAACAGAGTTATGATCAGACGTGGGATATTTTATGACTTCATATTTTCCAAGGCGGAAAGTGAAGAGAACCGCATCGCTTATTTGTCGATTAATTTATAATACAGATTAATTCGACGCATCCGTGAGGGATTCTCCAACTCAAGCTTGTAGAGATACTCACTGCTGTCGAATCTTCGTTTCTAACGATTCTCTCTCCGAGATACGCTTACAAAGGATGTGTGTTGCGCTCGCTCCAGCACAACAGGCATCACCTGCGTGAAGTCTCTCCCTGCTTTGAAAATTTGTAAGAAAGGTCATTTCCCTTGTCGAACAGGTATATCCATCGAAATCCTCCCTTCCTTGAACTCCCCCTCGCTTCCGCAACAACAAACACGCGCAGACCGAAATAAATGACAAAGCAAGCGGCCAACGGGTTTTACGGCAGATCGTTACGCATTGAAAATTCCTCCCGCTACATCTTCGTTTAGACTCGGTCCAGCGTCTCGAGACACGTTGAGATACGATCGGGAAACTTGCTCGACCAGCTGCCGAAGCTGCCGATGCGACCTCGCGCCGAGGTTTCTGAGAAAAGCGAAGAGACGCGCACCTCACCAAGAGTCGTCCTTTGGTGTGGTCGTCGCGTGTCCCTGAACTTCCCACCTGGTAAGACTTTCGCCATTCACGCGACGCATACGTTGCAACAGAACTCGAGCTCGACTTACGCTTGAGTTCGCACCTGTCAAGTGTGTGTGTGTGTGTGTGTGACATGTGCACACACACACGACGGCATTGCGACGAGCCGTCGATGATACTCGCTCATTCCCACCTGAGCGCGCTCATCTGATTTCTCATCTACTTTTTAGATGAGTCAAAGGTTCACCTTACGCGTTCGCATCTTCTTTCTTTTCCTCTCACTGCCGTTATCCGACTCGTAGTTTTCCGAGCCGATCTTTCAACCTTGCACCTTTTGGTGCCGCGTCCTCGCGCAAGACTCTTTCCGAGTGTTTGTTGTGATTGCTTCATTGTTCATTCTTTGATTCCGCATCTCTTGTGTTTATCAAGAAGTCCATTCTTTTTCCGCGCTCAAGAGATATAAATCTCGAGTTGCTAAAAGAAAGAGAACATAAGGTGCTTTTTTTCTCGCATTTGTCGCGTCCTCTTAGGCTTTTATGACGCACATTCGCGCGGATGAATTGTCGTTTGTACAACTGTGAAGGATTTCGCTTTGAATCGCTTCTCCTTGATGCAATCAATTCTCACTTTATTTGCAATCTCATATACTTGGACTTGTGATATTACCATTTTTTATCCGTTTAACGTGCACATGTACATAAACAAACATATTACTTTTCATTAACTGTAGTAAAATGGTCGAACCTTTTATCCTGCTTGTATAATTGCGTATATTTTACATAAAATTTCGTTGAATATTGAGTATTGATGCAGATCTTTTACAATTTCACGAAGATGCACAGTTTGTTAAGAACATTGATTTGTTAATCATTAAATTAATTGCACATGCGTTCTCGACAGCAATGTATATCATTTCATTTGTCATTGCGGAGATTTATCAACATTCATTAAAAGTGTAAAAATATAATGTAAAATTAATTAATGTAAATGTAGACGTCACGATTAAAATCGTTGCGATCTCGTTGCGTAACTCCAGTCGCTTTCTGTCTTCCATATTCATTGTATTATTTGTCGTTTAAATGCAATTGAGTGAGCACATAATTTCAGAGGCCTCCTACCGAGAAGGCAAATTTCACGTCCCGAGAAGTTGTTCTGGGATCTACCTGGGGATAAAACATGCTAATTAATTATTTATTTGTCGCGTTGTCCTAAAAAGGAGAGGCAATTTAGCGCGCTGAGTCAATCGCAGTGTCGGCGATGTCGGCGACCTTGAACTCTAAACTTTCGGCCCGAAAGTGATGTATGTTGGCAGAAGCACATATGCATTCGCATCTGACATGTTTGGACGGACATGTCAATTTGCTGACTCAGCGAGACGAAAGTCGGGGCGATTCTCCTAAAATCGCTCTCTTTGTCATCCCAAGATCAAGATTAACATTCCTATTGCGACTGATTCTTATACTTTTCTTTTATACCTTCTATAACGAAGCGTCTGTTATGCCACACGATGATGTAAGTTTTACGTTTATGTATCTGTGTTTGTGCTCCATCGTTTGCATCATTTGCTTGCGAGACGATCAGTTGTTATTCGTCCATGTGTCGATGGCTTATGAAAGACACATAGATTTTTTCACGTCGCGTATTTCGCAATTGTGTCGCAATGGCGGTCACTTTCGTGTATAATAATTACGTACCAGTGACACCGGCATATATTCGAGCACCGCGCGTCGTGTCTCACATGTTGATAAACGAGTCCCGGATCTTCAGCTGGAAAACGCGGGAAAGAGCGGCTAACGACGCGCCGCACCGCGACGCGCGAATCTAACGCAGCTCATTGTCGCGTTTTCACCCGTTTCTGTTTAATTTTACAAGAGAATGATCTCTAAGATAATCCTTATGACAGGCTCGCGCGCGCGCGCGTCGCCTCGGCGAGATCGCTCGCGACCTCATTAGCGCGATAAATTACCGTCACTGTTTGTCGGCCGTTTAATATTTCATCAATTTTGCGATTGTTGCGTCGCACAATGGACGACACGCGGGCGACAGAACCGCGGCGAAGAAATGATCCCTCGTCATCGTCGTCGTCGGGGCGACACGATGTTGTCGCCAGCTGAAGACGAGGGAAAAAGGGGGGCAGGGGCGGGGGCGGGGGGGAGAAAGGCGCTTAATGATTCTTTCGCGTTCGATCTTCCACGTGGCGCGTTCGCGGCACGGACTCGCAGCTCTCACTCGTGCTCACCCACGGCCGAAATTTATTTATAGACCGAATTTATGCTCGAACGCGTGTAAGAGCGGGCGTCGTCGAGTCTACACGTAAACGCAGCGATTGTTCTACGGCTGCCGCGTTGGGAGGGGGGGGGGGGGCGCAGTGCGGCGCGGCCGCAGTGTAGTCACGACTCGCATAACTGCACACGGATCCAGTGAAAGTGCGCGTTGTCCGTGGTGTGTTAATAAACGAAGCTCTCCGGCCGCGTAGAGCGGAATGCCACTTTTTTGCTCGACTTTCCGCGCGACCAGAAGTCCGGTCCCGCCGGCGCGGCGCGGCGGTGCGAACGACGATAACCTGCCTGCAATTCATGGTCACTGAATAAATCTGACAGTTGCAACAGCGATCTTTTCGCCCGTCGGCGGCGACCCGTCGATGTAAATTGATCTTGATTTACGACCGCGCGAGACTGTCGCGAATTATCGAAGGATGACGAGAGCTCGCATCATGATTCCCAAACGAGCTCTCTTAATCTTTTCCTCCTCGGAAGGAGAGGAGGAAACACCGGCCCGTCGATAGCACACGACTCTTATATACGTCGCGACGCGACGCGATGATCATAACAGCGACATAACAATAATAACAATAAGGACAACGCGATCGCAAGCGAGTCCGAGATCATTCGGGGACGAGAATTCTCCTCGGCGTCGATCCCCTTCCAGACGAACTTCCAGATGAGCCCGAGATCGACTTTCGAAAGTTTTAATGGGATTGGTTACAATCGGTTACACTTTTACGAACTTTTACGCGCTTCCTCGCTCTTTGCATAGACGCGCTCGTACCTTCCTGAGTACTTATAGGGCGCGTTTGCAGACGAGCGAAGGAGCGCGCGATTGTCCGGAGCACAACCGTACGAATCGCGTCGCAGCGCTATTTTGATCTTATTGATTATGTATTCGTCCGGCTCCGGCATCGGGAGTGGTCTCTCTTTGCGTTTCATTAGCGGCAAAACATTGGTTGTTTTACCCGTGGCGAGACGCGAGAATGGAGGACTTCATGTCCGGCGGAATAAGCGGACTCAGGACGACGACGCTCCTGCGTTTCGGTGTATCAATCGCGTCACGTTCACATGACGATCTTCGTAAGTGCAGCCGCGCTGTCTGTGTTTTTGCTAATAATAAGCACTCATCAGCAAGGATTTCCACATCAATAATTACTACGTCTGCGAGTATTACTACGAGTCTTCGATATCTTATGAAACTCGTATAATTGCACACATGCGACCGGTCGTCGTGTCTCCTTCCAGAAATCAAGCGAATGCCATAAATGCTGATTAATTTGGAGGTCAAACGCTCCGAAGGAATCGGCGGAGCTGTTTTCCACGGAATTACGATGTCGGATCGAATCCTGCTTCCGGTGGTCACGCGATTGTATCAACATTCTCATAACTACCGTCTTACGTGGAACTGTGCTTTAATTCTGCTCGACGCGAGTCGCGTTCGCACTTGGCACAACGAGCAACTTTTTGTTCGTCGTAAAATCTGATATTTGTGCTTTCTCTTCTTCGCTTGTATATTTGAAACCCGTAATCCGCAGAGCGATGAAGCAGCTAAACTAGTTGCAACATTAATCGTTTCCATAACAAGTAGCAAAATGACCGACGCACGCGTCGGTCCTCTGACGACATGACGTCGCGTTTGCAATGGTAATTCGAAAAAAGAACATCGGCGCGGGATGCTTACTTCTGCCGCGCGTTTTATCCTTGCGCGCGCGCGCGGGAATCGCGCCGCTCGGTTCACCGCTCCATATCTCCGTAATGCATCCTGTCGCTGCAGCACGCGACAGGACAGTATGCATTTCCGGCTGCAGCTGCATCGACGGACACGCAAATTAGTCACGCTGCTCGCTGTCGCACTTGCTCCGGCTTCCTCCCGGCCGCGGCGGATTTTATTTTCGATATCGCTCTCTCGATAAGTAATCCGTCTCCCTTCCCCTCCTCTCTGCCTGCCCCCGCGCCTCCTCGCCGATATTACACGTTCACCAGCGTTACGTTCGCCAGCGACATGGGTGCGTGAGAATGCTCCACCTCAGGCTCGCGCGAACGGATATTATCGGCGAATCGAAACAATGCGGTCTCAAATCGCCGTGACTAATGAAGCGCGCGTTTTAAATCAGCCGCTTGCAGCGTAACGGTGCGATTTGTGGACTCGCGGCCGCGGCCGCGGAATTACAGCCGCGTGTCGTGAGGCGCGCGTTTTGCACGTGTCCTCTGGATTGGAATCCTCGGTGCGTGTGCGCTAGACGAGAATCGAAGTCGTAGTTGCTCTCGTGCTCCGCGGAGAGAATTTGACTCAGAATTTGACGGCCATGAACCCTGGCGCGATTTATGTACACTCGAATACGTCTGAAAGAGCAGTCGCTCTCGTTTCCCTCCGCGTAATCGAATTCCCATGTCGTTCTCACGTGTGCACTTTTGGCAGGCTGCTGCTAGTGCAGGTATAGTCTTTCGTCGGTGTAAAACGCCATTTTCACACATTCCTCTGGCAAGTGTGTCTGACAATCTCGGCATGAAAGATTGAACACGGTTGATTCGATATCGCTGCTAAATCCACGCGTTATCACACATGTTAATCGGTGCGGTATTTGTAATGAGCGGGATACAAGTTACGCGCGGTGTGTGTGTGTGTGTGTGTGTGTGTGACTTCCATGCTTATAGAACAAAGCTTTACAAATTGCTTTACAAGTACGTTACTTTCCCTCTATCGCATTTCCAACAATTCGATCGTCGGCGTAATAATCTGGGTCTACGATGTAGCTAATCATAAAAGGAGTACCATTGGAACGAGGCGATATGTAGTTCGTGCGACGTAAGGAAACCTATTAAGCGTATGCAAAAGTTTTGTAGTTTTTTTCTTCAGTCCTCTGTATGTAACTGTTTTAAATTGAGATGTTCCACCGCCGTTTCATGTTTTTGTAAGATTGATATTGAATTCTCTAAAACGCCATTCATTATGATTCATTGGTGCACCTTTCGCATCTTACCAAATGCGCAAAAGAACCTTTTCGCTATGTATATTTAGTTTTGCCATACATAATCCATTTTTCCTTGCCGGTAACAAATTTTGACAAAAAATCTCTTTTGCGTTGTCTGGGAGGCAATGAAACGCACGTACTCAATCGGCGGTAATACGCTGCTTTGCGACAATTCATGCGGCATCCATTTCCCCAACTCCTGAATTTTTCCTATTTCACGCAGTCGCCTCGAAACTATCGCTGGATCAATTTCCGGAGCTATCCTGCAAATTCTATTTGCGTTTGGGACGGATTTTCATTCAACTTCGCTCCCAAATTGTCGGCCTCAAGCTTTCGTGGCGTTCCAAAGCGCGGACGATCACACTCGCGCCAAAATCATCGTCTTAAAGCGACGAAACCAATATTTGCACGTATATTGAGGAGAATATCGTGTGGGTCACGATATTCTCCTCAAGAACAGAGCAAATGGATTCGCATGCTTCAGCAGCATTTTTCTCTCGCTGGAATCGTATATCGAATGCAATCTACCGAGTACAAAGTTTCTCGTCGCTCATTGTATCAGTTGTTATTTTCAAAGTTATATACACTAATGAATCGTAATGAGTGCCGCTTTAGAATGTTCACACACCAACCTTACGAAAACAGAAATGGCGGGAAAATATTTCAATTTAAAATAATTACATTAGAGGACTGAAAAAAAGGACCAAAGTTTTCGCATACACCTAATACTTTTTATTTTCATCTCTGCCTCTCTCTCTCTCTCTCTCTCTCTCTCTCTCTCTCTTTCCCTCGATATAGGTGAATATCGAAAGAAACATGAAATCCGTTGAATTATCTAAACGGCGCGTCGCGACGGCGCAAGAGTGATGTCTCGATTCGTTTAATATTCTTCCGTTGTTGTGCGGTACAGCGAGCCTTAGAGCGCCGTTCATCGCGCAGTGCATTAGGCTCGAGAGTGAATTCGCAATGAAAGTGGATTCGCCGCGGTATGTACAGCTCGCACGTAATTGTACCCGTCTGACATTACGGGGATACGTAAGACGCGAGCGGCAGAACGAACGGTGAGAAATTTTCAGCTGTTTCTTCATGCCGCGATAAAATTTTCTGATAGGCCACCACTCACCGGCAGTATTTTTGCGAGTGCACTCAGTTCAAGTGGATTCCACACGTTTCGAGTACCCTAGACGGAAAAGTATACGGCTCGCGCACACGCGAGCTCGCGAAACTTTCCATTGTACCTCGCAGGTTTTCGGCTCGTGCGGCTTTCTTGTTCTTCGCTTCTTCTTGTTCTTCTTCTTCATTCGGACAGAATCTCGGCTATTCCGTAAGAATCCGCCGCGCGTAAAACGCGCTCGGTATGTGTTGTCGCAATAGCGGCTGATTTGTCGCGTGACGCGACGTCACACAGATCGTTCAACATTTTAAACGTACGTAAGACGGGAGCTTGATCGGGAAATACACTTGCAAATTTCACAATTCACTTTATTTTATAGGCAGGGACGCGCCATTTTCCAAAGCTTTGTGGTAGACATTTACTAGTATTTTCTAATCGTACGAATTACCAGACTTTCCAGGCATTAACGGAAATCGCTATCATTGTGACAAATGTACGCTCTGGCAGGATCGTTCTCTCTACCTTGAATAATAATCAATCAATCAATCAGACAATAAGTCGATTTATTGCGTAAAATTAAAAGATCCTAATAACCCACTTGTACAAAATTGTACAAGGCTATCATGCCGGTCACTGTACTATACTGTTGTACCGACATCGAAATGTCGCAGTGAGACAAACGTCGATTGGAGGATCGCGCGGCTAAACGAAAGAACATACAAATCCTTTTACGAAATCGTATCAGATCACGCACCGGAAAGGGTCAGAGAACATTGAGTGACAACTATGTTCTACCATCTCTCTAATGCCGCCGTGTATCTCCGGGGAATGTTGCAGCGTCGCGTAGTCCGCGGCTGTCATCGCGAAGATGAAAGTCGATCAGCTCGGGCTTCTTCTCTGGAAGAATTACGTTATACGCAAGCGGCAGCCGGTGAGTCGACATAACTGGACGAGATATCCGTCGTTCGTTTGGGCGGAGTTCTCCTTTCTCCTCTAGATTGTACGACCTCCATCTTATTTTAGGGAATCCTAGCCTTGGTTTTTCTCTGGCCGGTGGCGGTCTTCATGCTCCTCTACACGCTGCGCGATAACGTCGACCCGGAATATTATCCAACATGTCAATTTCCCGCAAGGTCAATGCCGCAGGACGGGCTCTTGCCTTTCGTGCAGAGTTACATATGCAGCGTCGGTAATCCCTGCGACCCGCTGGCGGAATACGAGGAAGTGCCTTCGTACAGGAACGCCACGTGAGTCCTGCGACGGTCAGATTACACCGGGTCGTTACGCTTCGCTATCTGTTCGCGTCTCTCATTAGGCGAATTAGCACGTTAACCGCGAAACCGCTCAAGTCCTCCCACGGGGTGGCGACTCATTCTCTCGTTCTCCCCTGGAAACAACAGTTTAGGCCCTTTAATGACGGATCTGCAGCCAATGCTCAATAACATGACGATTATCTCCGCCGTGGAGACGCTGCCGCAGAGTATACAGCTGCTGAAGTCGATGGCGCAGATTCTCACCAAGCCGGAGATCAAGACGTTTTTCGGTACGACACGTGATCCGGCGTGGTAATTGAACACATTTCGATACACTGGATACATGAGAACATGTTCGTATAGACAGGGGGATTCTCTTGGGCGATCTGTTCAACAATCACAAGGAGATCAAGGACCTGCTGAAATCCCAAATGCCGAACGCGAGGGAGGGATTGATTGATGGATTGTTCGAGTTGTCGGTGAAATTAATATATGTCAGTATTATGATTAACGTGATTTGTCTTCAAGATAGTGTTTGCAAGATAAAGGGAGAATGACACGCTCTTTCTCTCTCTCTCTCTCTCTCTCTCTCATCGATTCGTGTTACAGCTGATCCAAACTTTCGGCTCGTCCAACATCGACGGGGTCGTATGCTCGGCGGAGAGCTTGAAGAAATATTTGATTGTGCCCAGAGAGGAGGATTACGCGGAAATTTCAGACCTCTTGTGCAATATCGATTCCAAGGCGATCCCCGACATTCTGGAGAATCTCTCGAAGCATCTGGACTTTAGCGGCCTGCTGGAGATGGTGGACCGCGCGATGGCGCAATTTCGTCATTACAACTTCTTTCAGGATCTGAAGCGGGCGACGGAAATCATTCTGGATCTGAAAACGACCAAGAAGTACGTACCCGAGTACCTGAGACTGCGCGAGTGGCTACCAAGGATGATCCTGGCGTTCGAAAACGTAACCTTCAAGGAGATCGACCTCGGCTTGTGAGTTAGATCGGTTTTTTCCCTCAGATCGGAGGTTGCGATCTCACCGATCTCCGAATTTAATGTCTCGGATTCGGCTCGATAGCTCGACGAGGAAACGTGTGTGAACGCGCTGTTCCGATTTCAGCATCAACAAAGCCATTGTTATCTTGGACCCTGTGTTTACGCAAGAACGGGACTGGTCCACTGCCCGTGGCGGCTTTTTGAAAATAAGCAGACTGCTAAAAATGGTGAAGGAAGTTCTAAAGTACGGCAAACTCAATTCCACGGATGATTTCTTCAGCGTGATGGATCGGCTGGGAGGAGCGATAAAGACTTTCGCCTCGGACGCGGATAATTACAACAATATCACGCAGATATTGGATCTGTCCTTCTTGATCCTACAGGACGGCGTCAAGCTCACCGACAGATTGCTGGAACGCCACGTCGGCGACTTTGAGCTGTGAGCAAAGCCTTCCTCTCTTCGTACGAGATACGAAGTGACCGCGATGTTTAATCGCGCGTAATATTATATTACGCGATCCTGTGTTTAGGGCCGCCGAAGTTTTCGATGGACTCAGAAACTTCTTTCACGAGAACATAGTGAATTCGATGACGTACATTGTGTCGCTGATGGATAACATCGTGCAAATGACTCATCACGTTGCAGTTCTCCACGAAGACACTCTGAGAAGACTGTACGAGGTGTCTAGGAAACATCAGGATTTGGTTCAGCAGATCCTGACGAATTTAGACTCCAACGTGTACAGGACGATCATTCGGTCCTTCTCGCGACTGGATCTCTTGGAGGTAATATTGCGCACGGGTAATATTGGGTTCATTATGCACGTCCCGTCTCGCGCACGGGACCATTGTACCTTTTCCCAGCTGAGAGATGCCCGGACGTCTTCCGCCTTTGTTACGACGGCCGTTTAAGTCAGTTGTGATTTATTGAATATTCCTCCCGTAGCGTCTGATAGAAGATCTGCGCGAAGCGAGACCCGGCGAAGTACTCTGTCGTAGGAACGTGACGAACGAGATATTCGACAATTTCGTCGAGTTCAAAGACAAGTCCGATGAGATCGAGAGGTTACTCTGCAGCGATTCCGGAAAAGAATTGATCGCCGATGTCTACGACAGCTTCGATCTGGACAAATTCGAGAGGATCGTACGTGCAGCGACGTAAACTTATCTCTATCGCGGTCGAATAACGACGCGCTTTATTAAGCCCACTTTTCGATCGATCTTTATCGACTCCTCAGATGGGCGACACTCTATCGACCCTGGTCACTATGGCGTTCAAGCAGACCGTCAGGATCCAGAATACAAACTTAACGTCCGTCGTGAGGCACGTGAGAGAGTTCGTGGCGTATTTGGACGCGCGTAAGGTAAAATACTTGGATTGGTCCGTCTTCCGGGTCAACGACGACTGGGCTAAAGCCTTCGAGGAGACGCAAACTCAAGGCAGAGTGGATATGTGAGTACATGACACTGGTGCGCACGAGATCACGTACCATCGAGTCGCGACGATTAGCCATCGGCATCTCAGCGGAAAGCGCAATTTATCCGCGTTCTTCAGCGATCTCGATGAAGAGATTTTTTCTCTACTGCTCCCGCTTCTTACGATCTCACGTCACCCGTCTCTTTTGCCCCGCTAGTCTGGGGATTCATCTGAGCGTAGCGAAGATGGTGGGCTCTAGCAGCTTGTCCTACGTGACTATCAAACCGGACCTGGAGAAGATGAACATACTGGCGAAAGAGATCCTGCGCATGCTGCGCGTTAATTCCGCCAACTGGATCACGGAAGTGTCCCGGCACCAGGCCGAGTTGATCGAGTCGTTCTACCTCACCGTGACGGACAGACAGAAGGTCAGTTGAGAAGCGCGCTCTCTCTCTCTCTCGGGTTCTCCTGCTCGATTGCCGAACCACGCGCGCGCGCGATTGCGATGGATCGGCGTCTCTCAATGCAATGCTCTCGGTTAAACAGACACTGCAGATCCTGACGTATCCGAATTTCACCAAGACCCACTGCACGGACCCGAATCCGCCGGCTCTGTTGAACTTTCCCAAGGAATCGAACGCCACGCTCCTCAGGGGACTGGTGTGCTCCCTATCGAAATTGGTGCAGGCGGGTCTGGAGGTGAACGTGACCGACATCGCCATCGAGGAAGGAATCGCTCGCTGGAAAGGAGACGAGAAAGGGGGAGGATTTAATTGGACAGCTTTCAACGAGAAGATCATCGAGATTTACCAGTATATCGACGTGATGGTGCGTCGGGAGGACCAGCGGTACGACTCGAAGAGAATGGAAAAGTTGAAGCGGGACTTTGAGCTCGCGTGGACGAGGGACGTGACGGTGAAAGATGCGTGGGAAATCAGGTAAGAGGCGCTTCCAACGCCCTCGGCTGTCAGTCGGCAGCAGTCTTTTCCCGTTGTCGGATCGTTGATGAACATATACGCGCGAGGAACTGATCGCGCGGATGACCGCTCACGCGCATGTTTAGTCACACACTGCTATATGTCTGCAGCGTAGGTTTAATCTGCAAGCTCTTTAGCGTGATGGAGAGTCCGGTGTTTGGGATACAGAGGAGACAGCACTGGCAGGACATTTACGGGGTCGCGTGGACGATATCGGTGATCTTCGAAAAGACCGAGATGATGGTGGACGATATTCAGCAGAACCGGAACAAGGTGAATCTCAGCAGTGTGCTGCAGGACATGCCTCAAACCGAGATACTCGTCGGCACGTTCCTGAGAAATTTGCCTCCGATCATCCTCGACCTGATCGACATGATCACGCTGAAGCCGGCTATCGTAAGTAAGATGACGCGATTTCAAGTCGTTCGATAAGGGATCGGGGGATCGATCGGGGACGATATGCGTTTCCAGGTATCGGTCGTCGAGGACTATAAGTTGCGCGAACGGCTCTGGCCCTGCGTCATGAACGAGAGTGTCGGCAGCGTGCTGGAGCTGAGAAACAAGAGTCGCGAGATCGTGCGGGAGATTGAACGTATCGCTTGCAATCCGGGTCTCTTTATCAAGGAGTGGACGAAGCAGCCGGAAGTGAAGAATCTTCGAAAAGTGGTGAGTGACGCATCCTGTGAACAGAGATTAGATACATCATGTTCTGAGTTATAGCCGAGTGTAGAAATACGACGATACCGAGATAGAAATTATGTCATTCGCGTCATGCATTCAATCGAACAATTAAAGCTCGACCACGAAGAGAACGTGAATCTCCCGCCGTTCAACTGGACGATGGGCTACGGCAAATTCCGGCGGTTATTGGAGAAGCTCGACAACCTGATAAACAGCGCCAAGGAAGTCGTCCTGGCGGAAGAACCGAACTTGAAGAAATACGTCAACACAATCGTGGAAGGAGGGAACGACATAATTAATCAGAGACTGTCGTCTATCGATACGAAGTGAGTGAGTGAGTGAGTGAGATAACTTGTTGTTCTTGAAATGACACGTTCTTGAATGAATTCTACTTCTGTGATCACATCCTATTCCCAAGTCCCACTTCGAATATTCCGATTTGACGCTAGAGACTCTCTCGCGCAAAATATTATATGTACGCATACGTTATTTTATGATGGTTGATAGTTACAAGGAGTGTATTTTTTCTCGATCAAGGGGCATCCTGGATCATATCGACTCGGAGATCGACAAGACGGTCAAAGCATTCAAGAGCGATCTGTCCGCCAGTAAGATTTGGAGATCGACAGTCAACGAGACTGATCGCATGCTCATACTTCTGAAGTATGTCTCCAACTTCGTTCACAAAGGTGCGCGAGTCGCGACCAACATACTGAGTAAAGGTAAAATAATCGATGATATCGACGTGCTGTGAAGCTTAAAGAAAAACCACCTTGCCAATCGCACGATGCTGTGATGTCCTTTCTTTCACAGGCGTAGGGAAGATCAATTTGCTGTCCTTGCTGGGATTCGACAGCACAACTCCCGTCGCCATCTTCCACGATCAGCTGCCTTATATCCTGTCGACGTTGTTGAACGGAATATCCGACCCCACGATCGACGACAAAATCGTGAGTTTATTGAGGAACAACACCGCGATTACGTGCTCGACGCTGTTCGACTGGCTGTCGGACACCAGAGTCGGCTTGAGCGTGGCGGACTACAGAACTTTGAAGAATTTCACCTGCGATCTCGACCCCGAAAACTTCAACGTGTATACAGACTTCTACATGGTGGAAATGATGGTCTGGAACAAGCCCGCTAGCAGTTACCGATCTCACATAGTCTCGATGTTCGGCGACCTGTACGATTTCGCGAAAGCCATCACTCTCGCCATCAGGAATGGCGTAGTCATCGAGCCGCCCTTCTCGAAGCAATACTTGGACGATATGTTGCACAAATTAAAGGAGACGCTGGAGATCCGACATTCGAAGAGCACTTTCCACGAGGTAAACGCTCATCGCTAATTATTGTGTTCGCTATCGTTTCTCGCTTCCTCGACGAGCCGTGAGAACATTCGGTCGAGTGTCCTTGAGCAACGATCGACCGATACTTTTTTCAGGAACTGAAGCCGGACCAAGGATGGGCCAATTACAGACTGCTGCTGGAAGGTATATCGGAGACTCTGTTGCACATTAACGACGCGCTGAAAGATGAGAAGATCCGTGATGACCACAAGATCGAGACGTGGGAATTGACGCAAAACGGCGACACTCGGCAGATGCTGAAAATTCTGGAAGCTCACCCCGAAGAGACCATCGCGCTAGTCGCCAGCCTCAGTACGTTCAACCACACCACCGGCGAGTTCCTGCCATTTAAGGATATCAGGAAGACCATGTGCACTGCCCACTTTGTCTCTAATTACTGGTTCGAGCCACACAGGGTGGATTTCCTACAGAAGGTGTGCTCCTTCGATCCTTATCAGCTGTTGAGGACTGCCACAAGCGACGAATATTATGTACGTAAAGCGTGTGAACATATACAAATTAATCGATGATCTACTTCAGCCAAAAGTGCCATTAGAATCACTCGAAGATCGTAGATGCAAATTCTCTCTCCATTTGTAACGCTTCCAACAACGTAAACTCAACACTGAGAAACGTCAATGATCATTCGATAATCTGTGTGATCGGTGAATCGGTAGAAGACATCAAATCCCCTTGCATCGAGCCTTCTATATCGCATCTTCTTATTTTGCGCTAGGACGTTATCGTAGGTCAAACAAATGTCCTGAAATCGACGTCGCTGGTGATGTCGTTGACAAAGTTATTGGACACCGTGTCGAACATCACGAGAACCTCGCCGGGGCTGAGTCTCAGCTCGAACATCTTCAACGTGACGACGTGGCAGAATCTGTCCAACGAGACCTGGGCCTTAATCCTCAAGTCTGAACAATCTTGGATCCACGAGTACCAGCACTCGTCCTGGTACAGGTTCGACGTGAAGTACGACCACCACCGCTACTACATGGACGCCGGCAGGCTGTTGCAGTTACTGGAATCCGTGATCGAGCTCGCTTCCGGCGGAGACATTTGGCAGAAGCTTCGCGTCATGCACGAAAGCTCGAAGCTCAAGCCGCTGCTGAACCTCGTGGAGGATATGCCTAATCTGCTGATCACCGCCGTCGAAACCTTCGTCTCGTCCGAGCGACTGGACGATTTCTTGCAGAGGCTCTTGTCGGGTGAGCTACATCCTTGCGATATCGATCGCTATCTGATTCCACCGAGCTACATGAGGAGGAAGGGAATATTGTCCAGCATCACCAACTTCTGCCAGAAGATCGTCATGAGCGACAAGGGTCTGACGTGGACGGATATCTTGCCGTTCGATTACAAGTACAATGTAATGTCCGATCGCCGATCGCTTGGCTCATGATAACTCTCTAGATCGCGTCTAGATCGAACGTTAAAAATATCTTTACCTTCGTAGCGGAGTGACGGCCAATTTGCAACTAACACGACCGGTTCGAGCGTTTCGGGCTCGACGAGCGAAATGCAGCTGCTGCAGAAGTTGCAGGGATTCCAGACGACTTTGATCCGCGGAATCTCGTCGGAAGGTAACAGGCAACTGAAGATCCCCACGTGGTGGACGTCCTTCGAGGAGAGCACTTATAAGGACTTCGTCGCGCAATACAAAAGGAAGGTGTGTGTAACGCGTGTGTTGCGATCTTCGAGAGATGGTTTATTAAATACTTCTCTTACTTCGTGGGTTTGTTATAATCAACAATCGGCCGTCGAATGTTAGACACGGATTCGTTCACAATGTCGAAAAGTACTTATTCATTGACGATTGTAGGACATGAGAGTTTTCGCGGATTCAATGGTGAAGAAAACAATGTCGCTCTTGAAGAATATTTTGAAGACTAGTTTCGATGTCAAGTAAGTGAACACACCGTTGGGAGAAACGACGATTGACAGCATTGATAGCAGAGAAATAACAGCCGCCGTTTAATCGTGGTTTTAGAAACTGCTCGTGGTGCGTGACGCTTCCGATAGAGATTTTAAATTCGCAGTTGTCGCACCACACTCTCTACACGAAGCTCCTCTGTAAGCTGAATCGCCTGAAGATATCGGAGATAGAAAATGTCCTAACGAATGACTTCAATTGGAACAAAACGGCCACCATGGTAAGGGTACGAGCGACTGTAAATGAAACCGTGAGCGTGAAGAGCCACTTATCGATCGCTGCAAAATCTCCCATTAGGTCAAGGATTACAAATATTTGAAAAAGAATAAGACGCTGGACGAGTTTCTGGACACGCTCGAGAGCACTCTGCGCCACGTCGCCAACATTATAATCGATTTCCAAAATGAGACGTACCACGAGGAGGCGACCAAGTGCTTCGACAGATTCATCGGCAGCCCTGCGTATTCCCGACCAGGCTTGTACGTGCTCACTTGCCGTTTCCGTCGTAGCAAAGACCGTGGCAAAAATTGCTGATGAATTTTTTCGCCCTACCAATCGCTGCGTAATAATCCGTCGTTTTCCAGATACGTCATGTTGCTGCTGAGCATACTGGATATGCTGGAAAAGAACGTTTACCTCTTGGACTCGTTGGCGTATCACGAGAACATCAACGACTTGACGAGATTGGCCGAGAATCACGTGCCGATTTGGATACCATTGCGCGACGTGGTGAAGAAGTCCGACCTCGCTGAGATCGACGCTCTGTTGCCGAATGCCACAATCAACGTGAACGCGATTGTCAGCAAAGTCAACGCGAGTGCGTGTCGCACGAAGAACGACTGCCGGAACGCGAGTATCTTGTACGAATTTCTCAGCTCGAAGAGAGCGGACAAGGTTTTGCGTTACGACCCGAAGGCAGCCAACTATCCGACGGTGTCCGATATTTCGAGCCGGTTGGCCCTTAGCCTGGATGTGGAGCTCATAAGTCGGCAGCAGCCGTTTTGGCGCTCGCAGGCCTCCTGGGACCTCACCTGGCTGAAGGAAATCCTGCGTCATCTGTCCACGGTCCTCGGAGAAGGCGGCAATCTGCTGGACGTCGCCAGTAAAATAGATTTCGAGGACGTTTCCAACGTTCTCGGAGTTCCCGACCTCGCCGATGGTATAATCAACATATTGAACGATAAGACAATCGATAAGCTGTTTGACGGGTGAGTATACTTTGACCTCTTGTTTTAATTTTGCCAATCGGCCTCGTATCTTTTATGTCGAATGTGTCAGGCGATAAGCTTTTACAAAATTCAATGTCACAGTAATACGTCTATTATCGCAGTGTTATTGTACTCTTTGGTATCTCTTCCTTCTTTTCCTGTTCCTTGATAAGTGCAAAATTAGTATTTCTTCAAGAGACGCTTGATCGAGAATGCTTGCAGTTAAAGACACAGGTGTAATGTATTACTCGTAGGATGAAGGAACTCCTCGACGACATGAAGCCGCTCTTGCAGGATCAAGAAGTAATCGATGATCTGCACAGCATGATCACGGCATTGGAATCAATGGAGATTTTCAAGAACTTGGGGCTGCTGAACATGAAATGTAACGAGCCGCGCGCAAATTTCGTCAGATCGCACACTCCGCAATGTTTCCTAACTTGACTCATTTGGATCCCACAGACGTTATCAAGGAAATGTTCGACAATTGGGACGTCGTGAGGACGTTTCTAATGGACAAGATTAACGTCACCAAGGAGATTCTTCACACACTGGCCGAGGCCAAGGTAGACATGATCTCGGTCTTCATGAAGGAGCGCGGCGCAATTAGTCTGAAAGACTCCATCTGCTCGCCCGAGAAACTCGGCGATATGTTATATTTCAATAACAGCCGCGTGACTGTCGATGAAGTTAGCTCCGCACTTTGCCAATTGAACGACTCGCAAACGCAAAACATCGCCATCACGTTGCTCAAGAACCTAAACTTTGGTTACATCTTTAAAAATGTAAGTACGGCTAGCGCGGAATCGACCTCAATATGTGTCTCGGTTACGTCGGTTACGGTCGCAAAAATTGGAGAATCTTCCTTCCGTTTCACAGTTAATGAGCGCCAACGTAAAGAACATACTGGCCAACGCGAACTTAACCGAGACCGAAGGGAAAGTTGTGCTGGACAATCTCGGCGTTGCCTCGGAGTTGTTTCCATTTTTCAAAGACAAACTAACGGCAGGCTTTCCTTCCGAGACAAAGATGAAGGAAAACAACGATGAGGAAACCGAGGGGACCACCATGTCCAGTAAGTCGCATATAAATAAAGTGATACAAGGGCTTAAGACAGATATCCCGGATTAACTAAAGGATGACGGATTTTTTTAAATCATACTATATATCGCTATGTGACGCGTCACTTAAAACCCTACAACTTCTTTGTATCTAACATCTCCTTTTGCATATTTTTGCATATTTTCAAAGTTATTGCAGGTAGCCGGTCGGTCTTCAGCCGAAATTGAGCCGAACTTCTCTCGTACTCTCAATACTGTCTGTGATTCTTCTGCAGATTCGCAATTTCTCAAGGATGCCAGCGAGATGCTCTGCGGTAAGACTCTGATATCAGACAACGGACAATTTTACAAACTTATCACCAGCCTGGAGGACAGCAACAAGGCGTATGATCGGAAGGAGCTCGATTCTCTGCCAAGTAAGCGAAAGATGTGAAGACGATGTCGATTCGACACGCGTCGACTAATCGCATCGAGAGCGAAAAGAAAAACAAGTCACCGTCCTAACATAACTGTCTTCGTTGCAGATGATTTCTGCAGACAGACATACAAAGATGTGCTCGCTATGCCCGGCGGCAAGATCATCTGGTCGTACGTTAAGCCCCTGTTACGCGGCCAGATTCTTTATGCGCCCAATACTAGAGCGATCGCCGAGATAATGGCGCTGACGAATGAAACTTTCGTGCAGATGGAACACTTCAGCATGCTGATGAATAGTTTCGAGAAGACTCTCAAGTCTCTGGCCAGTCTGTCGGAGATGGGCGATAGTTTGAAGGAGTTACAGAGCATCTTGGCCTCGGACGTGATGAAAGTCGCGGTCAAGTCAATGGGAGGCGGCAATTTCGAAGGTATCGTTCACATTGTCGAGTGTCGAGTTCAGGACTTCCTGGAGTAAAATTCCAGGAAGAAGGAGAGATTCTAGAAATGTTCAAACACACATTCTTGCGATCGTTGCGCAGGCGACTTTTCGGAGCTGAATCTCAGCGAGATCGCGTGGCGGCTAAAGAGATCGACGAAGCTGATCTCGATGGTGGGCATGTTGAACGACATGATGGGTTGTGTGCTGGTGAACAGAACGATAGGATTCGCCACAGAAGCGGAACTGGAGGCGGTTGCCAGCCGCTTAACCGACACCAACGAGTTCTTGGCCGGCGTGATTTTCCTCAGCGACTCCTCGCCACGCTCCAAAAGATCCTCGGATCACCTCCTGGAGTTACCTGATAATATCACTTACAAGATCCGCATGGACGTGGACTACGTGCCGTCCACCACGCGACTAAAGAATCAATTTTGGATGCCCGGTCCAGAGAGCAGTTTCATCGAACACCTCAGGTACCTCCGTGGTTTCGTGCAACTTCAAGACTCCGTCGATCGTGCGATCATCAAGGTGAAGGCTCGTCAATATCTCAACTGGAGGACGATTACGCAACAGATGCCGTATCCTTGCTGGAAATACACACCGTGAGTAAACGAAGAAATCATTCTCAGCGGACGTCAGGTCCTCAGAATGCACAGCGGCGAGGACAGTAGCTGCTCGAAGTCTCGAGTGCTGCTCGCGGCTGAGTTTCTTGATGAAAATGAAAGATTCCGTTGGAACTTTGCAGCTTCCAAACGACGCTCTACGAGTCCCAAGGGTTGCAGGTGTGCTTCTTCTTCGCGTTAATGATATGCATTGGAGCAGCCGTCCGTCATATCGTTTGGGAGACGGAGTCGCAAAATGCTATGGTGCGATTATCATTGATGCGTAGGAAAGTAGAAACGAGTATGTTGAAATTCGTCCGTTAGTTTCTCACGGAGAAACGCCGCTCTTGTCCTCAGGTGATGAGCGTGATGGGGTTGAAGCCATGGCGAAACACCCTGGCTTGGTTCATCACGTCTTTCGTCGAGCTGTCGATCGTCATGCTGTCGATCGCCACGATTTTGCTGGCCGGCAGGATCCTGCCGCGATCGAATCCTTTGCTGATTCTCATCCTACTTTTCGACTATATCTTCTCCATAGTGACCTTCTGGTGAGTGAAGCACGATTTCTCCGCAACTTCTCGAACACGTGGCTGCGCACGCGCGATCGCGCCTCCTCCGTTCCGGGTTCGACCGTCGCTAATCTTCGCTCACTTAAATTTCAGCTACATGATCTCGACGATGTTCAGCTCCGCCAGCCTCGCCGCGGTTACCACGATCGTCATGTTCCTGTTAACGTACATGCCGTACGTCATTGTTATCGCGATGGAGGCCGTGTTCGGACTCGGATACAAACTTTTAATCGTGAGTTGAGCCCCGCCAGCTTAGTCTCCGTTTACTCCTCGGTGAGCGTGCAAAGTGCACGTGATCGATGATGGCTCGACGATGAAGCGACGCTCTCGGGCGTTTTCAGTGCCTGAGCATGTCCACCAGCTTCTGCTACGGCTGCTTGTACGTCGTGCGAAAGGAGGTTCAGGGCACCGGCCTCTCCTGGGAACACATCTGGGAAGAGTCGAGTCCTGGTGATCCGATGTCCTTGGGACTGGTGCTGCTGACCATCGCGTTCGACGGGTGCCTGTACGCTGTGATCGGCTACCTCATCAGCAGATACACCAATTCAGGTAGAGATCCGAGACGGCGACTCGCGCGCGTACTCTCTTAGAGCTCGCTCCGGAAGTGAACAGTCTGACATTTCGGCTGGTGGAGGTGTCAAGAGTAGAAACTAGGCGATACTGACGCACTGACTACTTTTCCCAGTTCAGTGTTTTTTTTTCTCTTTTATTTTTTCTTCTCGTGCGTGATATCGAACTTGCAAATGTGTCGCTGACATCATGTTGAATCATCTTGATTAACGAGACAATTTTTCACAGATTTCGCTCGATCTTTCCGGTGTAGGTGAAACTCCCTCAGAATAGCGTATCTGTCGTCTCTCTCTGTGCGTGTGTATCTCAATCCCCCATGTCTTCGTGACACAATGTTGTCTCTCGTCGATAACAATTACTAAAATTCGTACAGAGTCACGCGGTGGGATGGACGGGCTTTTCAGCCCGTCGGAGACTCCGCGAGATTCGCTCAATAATCATTCGCGCTTGAGATGCAAAAGCGATTCCGCCGCGGCATATTTCGAGAAAATCGATCCGACTCCGAGTGAAGCCCGAAGAAGCCGTTCCCCTCGCGTGGCTCTCTTTCACAGAAAAAATAACGACACCACCACGCGTACCAGCGACGGTACGCGGCACGTCACATTCTCGCGAACCCCGCACACACGTACACACACTCTCACACCCCTCCCGTATAATCACGAGATGCACCTGTGAGGAAAAAGAAAAAAAAAAAGTCCAGCGGGCGGACCCGACGAAAGCGCGTCGCTTAAGAGAATCGACGCGAAGGGACGCGACTCGGTGAGTTATCTGCGAAACGAACGGAGCATTACCGATAATTTTCCAGGCAGGTGCTTTCACGGTTTGAGGTGCCGTAGCTTGTGGTGGTCCAACACACGTTCTCTCTATGGCAGGCCGAGCTACCTCGCCTTCGTCAACAACCTCTATTTCACTAACGACGTTCTCCATCCTTCAGCCGCTTACCAAGGTATCGCAGCACTCTCCTCCGCCTCGCGTCTCGTAAGGTGCGCGCGCGCGCGCGCGCGCACCAAAGTTTTCGGCTTGCTTTTCCCGACGTGTCTCTGGCTGGCACATGAGGCGAGAGTAAGAGAGAACTCTCGTGACAGACAGACGGCAGGGTAAACCCGGTTAGAAACTTTGCTCCCTGCGCAACGAGGTCGCGGGGGAAATTATCGTCAAAAATTTCCATAGCCGCGCGCGCGCGCGCTACGACGCCGTACTTCGGCGGAACTTCGGCATTCCTAGGACGAATTTTTCATCGATTCCCGTATCCCGGCGAGATCTCGCGCCGTTCTCTCGATCTCATCGCGCGGTCGCGAGAAAACTCGTGGATAATTTTTCAGTGGGCGAGACTCGTTTTCGCGTTGTTAATTAATCTCTCGTGCAATCCCAACCTCGTAGCGTCACGTTTTGTTCTCTCAATTCTCGCCGTAAGCGCATCATCGAGCATCATGCATTTTCATATTGCGTTGTATCACGGAGCGCTTATTTTCATGTCCAATTTGACGGTGGGACTTTGGCATGTGAATGTGATATGTGTGTGTGTGTGTGTGAGCTTTCTGCGTGCTCTGCATATTTTCCCATTTTCCCTCAATTCCCCTCAATTATTTCAGAATTTTTCGATAGGACTGCCTGGCGAGAGTATTTTGCGAGAGTATCGAGCGCAGTCATCCGAGAATATCCTGTCCCAATTATTTTTTGTTGTCGATGTAGCGCAAATTTCGTACGATTTCTCTGCACTGCATGCATCGCACGGATCGCATGAAAGGCAGCTTGAGTTATGAAGGAGAGAGTGGCTTGCTTCCCCCTCGGCAAGTGACTCGTCTCGATGCGTCGGCGTCGGCATTACGTTCAGCCCAGGCTGAGATATTTGTCTATGTCGGTATGAAATTGCCTCCCCTTAGAAAACAATTTTTAACTCGCTTCCTTGAAAGTGTAGCCGTAAAATTGACAGGGTGCTTGCTTTCGATTATGCAAGCGACGTAAGAACGCTTGATACGATGTAAGAACGAGCTGTCGTTTGTTGCCGCACCCAGACGACGAGAGCGATATCAGCAGTTTGACCGTCACCGAGAAGCAGATCGGCGTGAAGTTCGAGGGCGTCAAGAAAGTTTATCGCACCGAGCAGGGTGACGTGGTCGCGGTGGACGACTTCACTTTGAAGCTCTGCGAGGGCGAAGTGACAAGTTTACTCGGCAGAAACGGCGCGGGAAAGACCACTATTATGTACGTCAAGTTTTGCAAAGCTCTCAAGTTTATTTAGGACATATTTCGGACACCCAAGAGTGATCAAGTAGTACTTGGAGGATTATCAGTTGGCTCTATCAGTTTCCGCTTGAGCTCCCCCTGGTGCATGAACCGGTAAATCTTAAGCTTTACCCAACTTATCGCGTAAAAAATAAACCTTATCTCTGCGGACAAGTTCAGGTATATTTTATACTTTGATCGCTTATGGTTATGCCTCTAATAATTCATCGGGTAACGTTACGCTCGCGTGGAATCTATTCCAGCTGTATGTGTGTACGTTACAGTTTTTTTCGTTACAGCAAGATGCTCACGGGGATGGTGGCACCGAGCGACGGTGAAATTTGCCTAAACGGCGAGGAGGGTTGTAAGCCCGACATAGGGGTGTGTCCTCAAGACAACGTGCTCATCGGCTCGCTGACGCCGAGGGAGCACATGATCTTCTACTGGAAGCTTAAGAGGCCTGCCGATGACGCCGACATGCTGAAGAACGTTAACGAGTAAGATCCGCTCCGATCCGAAGCGAAAAGTAACGCGCGAGACATAAAGAGGATAACGACGTGTAAAAAGAAACAACAGGTTTTGCTCTCTCGATCTTCCCGACGATCTACCGGACACGCGCGACCTCAAGTACTCGATTCTCTCATCCCTTCGCTCTTTAAGGATCAATCTCTCTCTCGTAGCCTCGTAGTTTCTTCCCTATCGGAATCGGGCTTTTTCACCATCGAGTCCGTTCGTTCTTTCTCGCAGCATGCTGGCATCCTTGGAGCTCGGGCGTCAAGAACTCGAGCCGGTGTCACGCTTGTCGGGCGGCACACGGCGTCGACTCTGCGTCGCTCTGGCTTTCCTCGGCTCACCACGACTGGTCATCTTGGACGAGCCCGGCGCCGGTGTGGATCCTGCGGCGAGGCGGAGGATTTGGCGGTTGATCGACCAACACAGAATCGGCAGGACCGTGATCCTGTCGACTCATCACTTGGACGAGGCGGACATGCTGAGCGACACCGTCGTGGTGATGCACAAGGGCAAGATCCTGTGCACCGGCTCGCCGTTGTCGCTGAAGATGACTCACGGCCGGGGCTACCGAATGAACGTCTCGTTCCCGGCCGATCAGCGCGAAGGCATCGGCAACGATAAGGCGCGCCTGAAGGCCCTGCGCGCCGTCGTCGAAGAGATCGTACCGAACTCCACGACGAACGAGCTCTCCGAGTCCGAATTCGTCGTCGCGCTGCCTTTCCAGGGGAAAAACGGCATGAACAATGAGTGAGTAAAGCTTCGAGGCTCATCTCGCGAGATCGGTTTACTTTGAAGCGGAGCTCCGAGTGAATTGCTGACGGGCTGATTTAACCGCGCCGCGCGCTTCGCCAGCTGCGCGTCTTTTTCGCGCGTCGGCTTGGAAAACTCGCGCTCCTCCGCGCTACCTCCCTCGCGTCGTAACACGTCTCTCTCGCGTGACGAGATACCGGGAGGAAATACGAGAGACACGATCCACTTAGCCTCGCGGTAATTCGCGCTAACGCGCACCGTCTCTGCTGCTTGCAATTCATTTCGCCCCCGCAAATATTTGAGGCTTCGAGCCCCGCGCCATAATCGTACTGGCGCGTGCTCTCGAGGTGAAATCGGTTAAACAGCGGCATCTGGCGTCTTTGGCTAAAGTCAAGGCATGTTGCAGCATCGCGCAAACGGCGAAGGCGCTGGAGGACAGCCGTAAGCTGCTGGGATTCTCGCACTTCTCGCTCGAGTGCGACACTCTCGAGAGAGTCTTCTTGGATCTGTGCGCGCGAGCAGACAGCGGATCGAGCTCTATGAAAGCGAGTCAAGACAGCGTCGTCACTCTGGAGAGCAGTCACTCAGTCGGTGAGAGGGCAGACGCGACGATAAATCTTGCTTCCCGTTAATTAAAAAAGTCGCTCCCGGGCTCGACTCGTGGATTTCAATCAGTCCGCCGTGGCCAGGTCGCGCGACGGCGCGACTGATCCTTCCGAAAGTAAACGCGCCGATTGAGAATCCCGATCGAGACGACCGACGCTTTTCACTCTGCGCAGACATCTCCACGCCGGACGACGACGTCGATCTGATCACGTCGGAGATGTTGTCCAAGCCCTCGCCGCTCCGGCAAATGAGAGCCATCATCAAGAAGAGACTGTGGCATTTCGCGAGGGACTGGAGGGCGCCGTTGGCCGCGCTTATTCTGCCGACCATGTTCGTCGCGGTCGCCATGGGGTTCTCGCTGATACGACCGCCGTCCGAGGACGAGCCAGCTCTGCTTCTGACTCCCAAGCTTTACAACACTCACCCGACCTACTTTTACAGGTAGGTAGGTAGGTAGGTAGGTAGGTAGGTAGGTAGGAGAAACGAAGACTTAATAAAACGACAGAGAACGACGCGGTCGAAACATGGCAGCCATGAGAGGGAATCGCGGGTCACCGTCAGCGCGGTCACCCGCGAACCGTCGAATCTTTCTCTTCTCTTCGCCCGAACTCCCTTTCCAGTGTTTTCTAATATAGCGCTTCTGTCTTCTTTCTGCCCGACCGCAGCATCGACGGGAGCAACGATCCGTTCCTGCAGCACGTGTCTCTGCAGTTGCACGATCGCTTCGGGGACGATTACGCTGGCGCCTGGCAAACTTTACCCAACGTAAGGAACGAAATTTAGCGCGATATGAAATTTACCGACAAGAAACGAATTCTCGCACGTTAAACGACTCTCCGCAGGACACCGGGACCTGCGAATGCGTAGACGGCCAGCAAAGCTGCCGCGGGGTCTCCAAAGCCGTCGAAGGTCTCCTTCAAACTCTACCTGGCCGACCTACTTTGGACTGGGTCGTCTCGACACATCAGGAATACATAGAGAAACGGTAAATGCCGGCTTTTCCATGTCGCTCGAATGAAACATCGACGACACCGTCCGATTCATTTGGCAAATAATTGCCCGCAGATACGGCGGCTGGTCTCTGTCGCACCACAAGGAGGATCCTCTCTTCGTCGTTTGGTATAATAACAAAGGCCATCACTCGATGCCGGCGTACTTGAACGCCCTGAACGAGGCAATCTTCCGGGCATCCGGGGTGCCCGGCCACTTAACCACCCTCAATCATCCCTTGAAGCTGTCGAGCGATCAGCTGAATCGAACGACTCTGTGAGCGTTGAGCTTAGTTTCGTTCTCGAGACGTAAATACGTAACGACGGAAAAACATCTCCGAAATAGAATATGCACTTGCTCGTCGGTTCTCGCGACTGTGTGCGCGCGCGCGCGCGCGCGTGTGTCTAGATGTACATTCAAGAATTAATTAATTATAGAATTTCGCGTAAAGGGATGCGGGCGCGGATTCGTTCAAACGGATAAGCAAAGGTGTTTGCGCGCGTACAGTCTGAAGCTTCCGAAGCGAAAGAGTCGGGGCGCGAGCGAGGCAGCTCGCACGCGCGCGCGAGTGCAGATGTTTCGTTTACTTTTAATTAACGTACCACATCATCTGGTATTCATGCCGACGGCGTGGCGCCGGTTTCAACGTTTCACCGTGGTGATCCCCGGTCGCCGTCCGTATCGTTATATATATCGCTGATGATGATACCGCTTTTATTTGCCTTTCCTGATTAATGTTAAGTGCCGCGCGCTCGTGTATTACGGATTGGGCGAAAAAGACGCGTGGACGCGTATTTCTCTCCTAGCGATTGCAGTCGACTCGAATATCGTTGCGCGGATGTTAACAATTTTATCCAGCCGCATTTGCTCTCGAGTGAGCGTTTCGTCTGTGCGTTCAGATTGCAGCACGTATCGGATGTCGGCGTGGCGCTGGTGCTCTTGATAGCGTTCAGTCTGGTCGGGGCTCAGGGAACGAAGGAGTTGGTCAGAGAACGATTATCGGAGGAAAAGAGGATACTCTATCTGGCCGGGGTTCACCCCATCACGTATTGGACGACGGTTTTAATTTGGGATTTCATAGTGAGTTATTCCAATCGCGAGAGACGGGATCTGTAAAAATGCTTTCAATCTGCTGGGAACAAGTGACCATCTAGTCCAGTCTTCTAGTTATCTCTTCGTATTCCTTCCGTATTGTTCTTCAACGATAAATAATATCTCTTTTGCGTTGACGATGCATCAATATTTTGTCTCAGGTGTATGGCTGCGCCATTTGCCTGGCGGTCGTCGTGTTCGAGATCTTCGGCCTGTCAACGTACGTGGCGAAGGATAATCTTGTCGGTGTCTGCTTGTTGCTAATTTTATTCGGGCAAGTGACGTCGCATTCAATCTCACCCTCGTTCGTTTGAATCTTGACGCGGGACGAATATCCGACGAAAGGTTCGTCAATTTTCTTCCAGGTGGGCGGCGATACCGTTCTCGCATCTCGCCGAGAAGGCGTTCGACGACTCGAGCCTGTCCAACATGGTGCTCTTCTGCGTGAACACCTTCATAGGTGTGGCTTGCTTGGCTACCATCCTCGTGCTCGATATCGTCGGCAAGACCAAAACCGCCGAAGACGCGAGGAACATTCTGCATTACATCCTGATGATCTTCCCGCAGTACGCCCTCGGCGACGCGTTGGTCGAGATAGCGAGAAACGACATCACCGCCGAGCTGCTGCAGAGGTTCCATATGGACACGTATCAGTCGCCGCTCGGCTGGAGCCTGCTCGGTGTCCACTACGTCTTCCTGCTCGTGATCGGTGGAATCCTGTTCGTGCTGAATCTGGTGATCGAGTGTCGGGTCTTTCCGGACGTGAGGAAACAGAAGGTCAGTTACGAGGTCGTTCACGAAGACGAAGACGTTGCCAGGGAGAGACTGAGGGTCGAGGCCGGCATGGTCGACGACACCCTGAAGACCCTGAAGCTGCGGAAGGAATATAGGAGCGTGTACGGGAAGAACGTCGCGGTGCAAAATTTAAGTTTCGGCGTGCAGGCAGGAAAGTGTTTCGGTCTCCTGGGGGTGAACGGCGCGGGAAAGAGCACGACCTTCAAAATGCTGACGACGGAGATCATTCCTACGGCCGGCAAGATAGTCCTGCGAGGAAGAGAGATTGGCGACAGGCCCCTGTGCAACGGCGAGGTCGGCTATTGCTCTCAGAGCGACGCTCTGGACGGGTTCCTCACTCCTTATCAATGTTTGACGATCCACGCCGAAGTTTGCGGTTTCTGTAACGTTTCCAAGGTGGGTGCAAATAGATTGGCGGAGAATAATAACGCCGAATGAGAGCGTGCTGCTGGTCGTGAGATCGATAGATTCTTAATGCGACTGTATTATCGTTAGCTCGCGACGTTCGCCGATTTAACGCGTACGTCCTCGAAGTCTCCCGCAGGTCGCCTCCTCCTCTCCGCAGTGTCGCTGCTAGTCCTGCGGCGGCAAGAGAAGGTCGCCGCCTTTTAGTGAGCGAGAGCCAAGCTCTCGCGAATACAACGTGGAATTGGAAAAATCCGAGGATTTCGTTTCTAATTTCAGGCCGTCGAGTCGACGCTGAAGAGGTTCGATCTGCTCAAGTATGCTCATCGGAGGGTCGACGGTCTCAGCGGCGGCAACAGAAGGAAGCTGTGCGCCGCTATCAGTGTCATGGCACCTGTGGCAGTGGTACTCATGGACGAGCCTACCAGGTGCTTTTCTCTCGACATTTCTGCGAACTTCTACGAACGCACGCAGGGACGTGAACTTTCGCGAAGCGAAAGCTGATTCAGGATTCGGCGGTCGTTTTGTCGCGTTCCGAACTTATGGTCGCGCGATCGCGTTATTCGATAGCGCATTGATAAAACAACTCGATCGTTCTCTTCCAGCGGAATGGACCCCGCCACGAAGAGTCTCGTGGCACGGGCGGTGCGGCAAGTGACGAGGAACCAGGGGTGCGTCATACTGACTTCGCACAGCGTCGCCGAATGCGAGGACCTGTGCAACCAAGTTGGGATCCTCGCCCGGGCCGGCCTCAGGTGTATCGGAACGCCGCAGCATTTGAAGCACAAGTGAGAGATCACATCGAACCCATCCCATCATTTCGTCTCTCGAGCGGCGCGTGTCTCTTTTAACCCTCGCAGCAGGATATTTCCCAGCAGGCACATAAACCGTGCTCGCGGAGCTGGCTCTGATTTCCCACCTTTGTCCCACCTTTGTCCGCCCTGGATAGACTCGGGAGCTTACAGATACTTACACATTGCCCGCGGCTTAACGAATTCCTCAATCAAACGCTCTTGTCTTTATACCGCTTCATCCGGTGGAATAATTTTCTTTATGGCAGAGGTGGAAGCGGAGCGATACACATAGCGAAAACGCGGAGCGTCGCGGAAAGAAGTGATGGCCGGAGTCCATTAGAGAGCGCTCCGCTGCGCGAAGAACCGCCCGATTTAAACCGGCAAATATTTTTCTCTCTTCCTCTGCTTCACCCTTTTTCTCTCTGTCTCTCTCTCTTCTTCCCAAAGAAAATTTCGCAGTCGTCATAACGCACTTTAATTTGAAACCGCTGGGCACTTTAATTAAATCTAAGTTCTTTTGACGGTAACTCTTGCGGTTAAGAGGCTCGGGGCTCTCTCTCTCTCTCTCTCTCTCTCTCTCTCTCTCTCTCTCTCTCTCTCTCTCTCTCTTTCTTTCTCTCTTGCCCTTTCTTTATATTTCTCTCGGTAGATTGGTTCACAAAAGGGGATGATAGCGCTATCGTCAAAAATTAGTCCCGCCGCACAATGGGCATGAAATCGGTGATGCGACGAGGTCGGCTCCGTCGGGCACTTTTGCCGATGGAAATCGATTATGCGCATTCGTAGAGAGAGAGAGAGAGAGAAAGAGAGAGAGAGAGAGAGAGAGAGAGAGAGAGAGAGAGAGAGAGAGAGAGAGAGAGAGAGAGAGAGAGAGAGAGAGAGAGAGAGAGAGCGAGAGAGAGAGAGAGAGAGAGAGAGAGAGATCCGTCCAGCTTCCAAACGCACGCGCGGCCTGGTCTGGACGGAATAACGCACAGGGCGCCATAAATATTTAACTGCTACATCCCGAAGTGTCTCGGAAAGTATATCCCTCTTCCACCCTCGACCTCGGCTGCCCCTTCGCGGTGTCGTCTCGCCATCGGGGGTAGAATTTACGATTTGGTCTTGGCCGTGTTAGCGGCCCATTCTACAATCCGCCCGTGTGTCGGCGACGAGTACGGGTCGAATGATAAAGAATGGCGAATGCACTTTGTTACACCGGCTACCGAGAGCATGGTAAAAGCTCATTTACCGCGTCCTTTGTCCGCGGACGAGCTTGAAATATTGATATCGCGATATCTCTCAATCTCTGATGCGCTTGACGAGAAGGCGAGCAAATCGACGGCTCAAGCGCATCGAACGGGTCGAGGGACTTTCTGTCTCCCATTTCCTTCGTGCTTCTCATCACGAGTCCCTCTCCCCCTCGGAGCTATCTTACGTCGTCGCGATTATCACGCAACGTCAGAGTCAAACGTCGTGCATCGTCGCGACGTGTTGTACCGCGCGAGCTCGCAAGTCGGAAATTCGCAAGTCTCGTTTGACTTTCAGATTCGGCGAAGGATACGTCGCCTTCCTGCGATTCAGCCAGCCCGTTACCGCCGCGGAGCTTAGGCGAGCCATCCTGAAATATCTGCCACAGGCGATGATCTCCTCGAGGCAGGCTACGGCTGCTCGACTTTTGCTGCCACGGAGCCAGGACATGGCGCTCAGCGCGAGCTTCAACATGCTGAAGCTCTTGGCCGAGGAGCTTAAGGCCACCGACTACACGCTCACACAGAGCTCGCTCGACCAGGTCAGTGAATTCAATTCAGCGATCGACGTCTCGCGGAGATTCTCATTTTCCAATTTTAGTTTCCGACCGTCCCGTCCTATGCCGCGCGCCCCTCCGTGAAACTTCGCTACGTATTATCCTGAGGACGTCCCCCCCCCCACCCCCCACGTGGAACCGTGTCGTCGATTATCTGGCCAGTTATCGCGAACCGATATACACCGAATATCGCGGAACTCAGTGCGTGTCATTTCCCGCCCACCGACGAGGTCGAAAGAGAAACGAGTGAATTCTCCACATTTCCTCTCGCTGCCTCGCTTAATCGCGGTCGGAATTAACGGCGGTGCTGATTTTCGCGACGGGGCGATATTTGGCGAAGGATCGATCGATTGTGCGTGCTCGGGTGGCGCGCGCGCGATATTCCAAGGCCCTTGTCTTCCGCAGATGATGCACCGCCTATACGCCGGTACACGGCGCCTGCCCTTGTCGCCGACGAAGACGATCCGCGCGCGCGTTTTCGTCCCTCCTTCCGAACCGAGCCTGACGGATATTAATGGGTCCGCCCCATCTCGTAGCTCACTTACATAGCAGCTCCGATGCTTTACAAGCTGCCGAGCGGGGCCGGCGACTCAGCCCCGCGCTCACCGGCTGCCTCTCTAAGCTCGCCTAAATGCTTTCCGAGTAGCTGGAACGCGCGCGCGACCCTTTCCGACCGCCCCAATCCCCCTCCCCCGCGCCCTTTTCCTCGCGGAAAACTGCTGTTAATTAACCGCTTACTTCCTCTTCCTCTCTTCCTTTTCCTCTTTCTCTCCCTCTCTCCCTTTCTCTTGAAGCAATTCACCGTTCGGGTAATGAAGCTCGAATCTATTCGGAACTGCCGAGTGTAAATCTTACGCATATGATACGCGCTCCCCCCCCCCCTCCTTGCTGTGAGCGCTCCTCTCTCGCGCCGCGAGGGTGATTGTCTTTCAGGTCGCTCGATGAGAGCGCATTACGCGCATTGTCGGCAAATGCATATTGTCGGCAAATGCAAGTCAGCAGCGCGCGAGTCGGAGCGCGAAGCCAAAGCCTCCCGCCGAGAGAACCGCGCGCGTTTAACGAAATTACGCGCCATGAATGCAGGCAATTAAAACTGCACGTCGATAACTACGCGTTAACGTAGCGCAACTCACGGCACGCTCGATGTGCCTCGTCTTCGTTTTCATCCTTTTGCAGTCAATCAGTATCTCCCAGTCGGTTTCTTCATCGCCCCGGTCGCCGCGGACGCGCTCTTCTCCGCTTTTGTTAATAGCTTACGTCGCTTTGTCCGCGACATCGTCAGCGTCAAGCTGCGGGGAAAAGTCGCGTGTGCTGCGGGAACTCGCTGGTACGCGCGATCCTGCACCGGGAGTAAACAAACATTTCGAGAAACAACGCTCGAGTGTCGCGCAATGAATCGCCGTCCCCGCTGCCGTTTAAGCGGAACGTTTCGCTGCGGTCCGCCGCGAGAGAACGCGACGACGCGCCGGAAGAAGATGCACACGCGTGCGGTCGTCGCCGTTGTCGCCGTTGGGCGAAATTTGCATCTCGCGCTCGCTCGCGGCCCCTTTCTTATTGCCGAACTTCCGAGCGCGCGCGCGCGCGCGCGCTTGCGACTCTTCTCCGGGTGAAATTTACCGCGCGACTGACACGAAAAGTGCCGGCCATCCGGCGTCATTTGCATAAGCCGGTTAATAAAGAAATTTTAATTTTGAGATTAATTAAAAAACTTTTGAAATTTTCATATACCAGGCCGAGGCGAAGACGTTGATTTTAATTAACACGTTCTCGAACGTGCGCGCGCGCGTATACGCGGCGCGGTATCGCGTTATTAATTATTTTCACGATGCGGAGGCGCACGGCGACGAAATCTGAAAATGCGGAAAATTCAGTCGCGTCGCACAAAGAGAATACGCGCTACCGCGCGATATTAGCTCAAAAAATGGCCATTACTACGCCGCATAAAGCTTGATGCAATCTCTATGCTTTTTTTATTTATTCCTTCGCTTTTTTATTTTCCTCTTCATTCCCTCCCTTTTATCCTTTTTTCTTCCTTACGCAGGACGCTGTCTAGCCGAGGATAATGAAACGAAATTAGAATTAAACCGCGCTTTACAGCGCAAGCGCTTTTTTTCTGCATTTACGCCGTAAAACCAACCATATTTGTCTTCTATTTGTTTCAATTTGTTCGCTTGAAACCCCCGACCGATATCTATTTCGCGTTAATCTGTCCAGTCAGATTGTCGCGCGAGAAAAAAGGGGGAACAGATTTTTTTATCGATATATGCGTGCCGCAATATACGCAGGTTAAGAATTTATTGCGTCATCGACCGAAAAATATTCTCCGCGCAGTCGCGAAATGAAGATAAAAGTCATCATACCGGAATTAAGAGGTCGGGAACTTTTTTTCTTCGTATTTGGCAGCCTATTTTCCCGGCGATACATCAATCAGAGTTGTGCGATTTATTTGCGCGTATAGATCGTAAATCACGCGTCGTGAGCCGTCGAGCGACAGCGAGATTACCGGTGTGGGCATGTAGATTCTACGGCCCGAAAAGTGTGCGCGCAACTCACTGCCGACTATTCTTCGTGATTCTACACAGCGTTCGGGAACTCGAAGGAGAACCGGCCGGAATGAATCGTCGTCGTCGTCGTCGTCGTAGCCGTCGCTCGAGGAAAGGAAGGCGGGAATTGAAATCGTCGCGCGCGAGTGATCGATCGACTGTGGATCAAGGGAGTGCGATCTGATTCTCGCGAGACGGGAAAGCGCGGCGGTAAACAGCGATCTTCATTTTATTTCGCAGATGCGAACGTTATGAAAAACCGCGCGGGGAAATTCGATCGTAAAAGCGGCCGTCGTAAATCTACATCAGAACCCATTAAAAAGCGAGCGACGCGAGCGCACGCTGGAGAAAAAAATATCAATTCACCGGCAGGGCAGAGTAGAGTGGAGAGAGAGCGAGAGCGAGAGAGAGAGAGAGAGAGAGAGAGAGAGAAAGGGAGAGAGAGGAAGGGAGAGACAGGGCGAAAGAGAAGTGAACTAAAAACGTGCGAGGAATTTGAGAGTGGAGCGTTATCGAGCGCGATAAATTATGGAAGCTTAATTGATCACTTATAAGGCGGCGATGTGGCGGAGAGTAAGAAAAATTCAGTATTTGAAACGAGAAGCGGATCGCGCCAGACGGCTCTTATGAGACCTTTTTGTCATCGGAAGTAGAATCGTTCCTCGACAAACAATACGCTCGATCTATCAACTCTCGCGACGTTTTGCAATTTCCACGTTAATGCTTTTGCTTCATAGCTATGAAAGTAATGACGCCTCCCCGGGCGTTTAAGGCGCGCGATCGTGATCGTCTCGATCGACTTCGGCGGCATTGTCCAGCCGCTAGTTGTCATTGAGAGGAGGCAAGCAATTTATGCGTAATATACTTTGGAAAACGTCCCTCCTCCCCCACCCCTCCCTCTTGTGTGCCACTCCCCGCCCCGACGTCGTATTTAAATCGTCGTAAATAGAAACTTGCGTCACACGTATTCATCCCTCCGCTTCGACGAAACTTAGTTGCGAGCGAACATTAAGGGTCCGCCATGAACCCTCCCTCCTTGTTTTGTAAGCTCCTGCAGTAACGACAATAGCAACAGCTCAAGTTAGCAAAGCTCGGAATATAAATTAAGTTTTAAGTACAGTAGTAAACTGGATCGAATCGAATCCAAGAAGTTTCCGGATTGCTGCAATGCACCGGTCGCAACTCGGAGTCTCTCTCTCTCTCTCTCTCTCTCTCTCTCTCTCTCTCTCTCTCTCTCTCTCTCTCTCTCTCTCTCTCTCTCGGAGTTTTCGCGCGCAAACGCGTTCGTCCTTCGCCAATCCGATGCGTGCAATGTGCGCGTGTACTCGAGGCCGCAAAAGATTCAACCCTCCGTCCCCCACAGTCGCGATGTTTTTCATCCCTGAATGGTCGCGATGCGACCTCGCAGATACCTCGCTTCTTGAAGCAATTTTTCTTTCATCAGCACTCGGCTGATAGACGCTAAAACACGCAAAAGACGCAATGACGAACAAATCGGCAAGTATTAGCATGGGTAGGAAACCTCCAGGCCGTGGAGCAATAGCGATGCATCGCAGCTCGAACGTGTGTATCATCTATTGGATATCGCGCGGTGACGGAGGGTTCGGAAAACCGAGAGCTTGCCGTAACGCCGCAATCAAACGAAGAAAATATTATTGTTCACTCATCCCCCCGACGAAGGATCCGGCCATGACTCCATCTCGCAAGATGAGCGCGCTCGCGATCGCGTGTTCCATCGGCGACGAGCGTTTCCCTCCGTTATACATGAGGTGTTTGGTAACTCATGTAGCCATAGCCAGTGGAGGTATAGAACTCTGGATCAAGACGAACATAAAAGTCCCGCACCATTTTGCGATATTGGCAATAATTGTCGAGTTATTAATTATAGAAATCAAGAGCGCGACTCAGTCGATCCTGCAACTGTTGCCGCGAAGGGCGCGCGCGGTGAGCGGTAAAGACAAGACAGGCGTCGTTATTCGGCTAGTCTTATTTCGCCTCTTATTTCTACGTCTCTCCGCGCGCCGATGACAGTTGCTGGATCAACCGGGTGGCTGTAATGCTCCTGCAATCGTCTATCTCGACGCGTGCTCACCCGTCAGATTTCTATAATTAATAACTCGAAAATTAGTGTGAATAGCGCAAAACGTATGGTACGGTTTGCGTTTGTTTTAATCAGTTTTACGCCTCCATTGACTGTGGTTACATGGGTTACCAAACACTCTGTACATAACCTGTACTAACGATCCTACCTCATAGTCATCGTTCCAGCGCTCGGCCTTTCCCGCACAATTAATCGGCCGATCGCAGCGCAACAACGTGATTAGCCGCGCGATGGTATTTGGACGTCTAGTCGAGCGGAGCCACGGAGCCGAGAAAGCCGCGCTTCGCTGAAGAGATTCATTGCGAACGGTCGGCCCGCAACGTCGCGCAGCATTATGTAAATGCGCCCGTTCGTCGCGGCGACGCGAAGACCACGGCTACGATCTCGCGAACAAAGTGGCGAATTTTTTGCAGTGTATGCCGGCGCTGTGTGTACGTAAACCGGGCGAACTTGGCCGGCCGGGCGGAAGTTTGGAGATTTTTATGGGACTTGCTCTTGCGAGAGGAAAGCCCTTCTTCGTCGTGCAACTCCTCCGCCGCCTCCCTTCGCGGACTGTGCTTCAACGCAAAGCACGCGCGGAAGTGCCACGAGCGGAAGTGCTACGAGCGAAAGTTTGCGCTTAGTCCTGCAGTCTCGCGGCGCAAGACTTACTACAGTCGTGATAATTACGAGCGCGAGCTCGTTATTACGACTTACTTATCGGCGGCACGGGATTGCGCGCAGTCTTTACAGAATCGTTTCTTCCGCCGTTGACGCGGTGTCGCGCGGTTCGCGCGTGTTGACGTGTCGACGCGGCAAGAGATTGATATTCATTCGACGTTGGAAATTCAATTGTTTCATATTGCGGAACGCGCGACCAAGTCCTCTCGTAGCGGCCGGGCGGCAGTTTTTTCTCACTTCTTAGCTCGTGCAATAATGAAATGCGCAGGTCCTGGTGAATTTCTCGGAGGAGCTGGACGACGAGGTCGTCGACGTGACTGTGTTCGGCCAAGCCAGCAGGAACAGTGTGCCCAACATGTACACCAGTATGGACACCATTCACATGGACACGTTCTGAGCGCATTCGCTCGGCCCTTCCCGCTGGAGAACCGGAGGAGCAATTGGGATTAGCCTAAGTTTCATGTCCTCGGCGAAGCCTCTGCTGCTCCCTCAGAGCTCTTACGGCTCGCGAGCGCGAGCACGCGGCGATTTTCGTAGCAATTGCTGTGACAGTTTGCCTTTTCGTTCGTTCGTTGTCACGACGAAACGCGCAATATGAGCTTAAGCGAATGGACAGAGGGGGAGAAAGGATGCGCTTTGTGGTCCTCGCACGGCTTTCCCGGGGAGATTTTAGACGTCCACTCACCCGTGGGCGACATGAATTCAGATTTGGACCAGCTTCCTCAGAGGAGCAGATTTTAGAAATGCGCAGCGAGGCGCGAAACGCAACTCGACGCGGCCTCGGATCTGTAAATACTTTTTGCGGAGACTTTAATTTAGCAAGGATTCCAGAGAGTTTACTAGTATTCGTAGCGTAGAGTCTCGTCTCGGTTAGTCCGTGCGGTTTTTAGAATTATGGAATTAAGGGAGGTATACGTATATATATTTCTTTCTCTTGTTATTTCTTTCTTTTTTTCTTAATAAATGCGAGACGAAAACGCGATCCTCGCTCCATTAGTCGATTGTGAGCTCGTGATCGAAATGAGTACGCGATCGATTCAGAGCGATGCACGCTCACTAATAGGCCTTCGAACGAAAATATCCCGCGAGGTTAACCGAGCGGGGAGTCAAAACTCCCGGTTTTTGCCACCGGATGATTGCTCAATCGATTACGATCCTGTTTCAGCAAACAGGATAATATTATTCCCTCGCGCGTCCGCTAAATATCTGACACGTGCGTGTATGTCTCTCGCTCCCTACAACCTCGTACCTACATATCTCGTATGTTTTTGTGCGTGTATGCGTGTCGATTGTGTATAGTATCGTAGTAGAAATCGATGAAGTATAAAACCTTTTTTTGATTTAGCCAATAACAGCAGTCGATCTCCACTTCTGTCTCAGGACATCGTGTTTATTAATTTAAACATTAACTTAATTATTAAATTAAACCTCGACGACGTCATTCATGAGCACGAGTATGACAAAACTCGACATGTCGGTTGTTACTTTATATCACTGATCCTACACATTCCGTCAGATTTGAGAGACCAGTAAGGAACTTCGAGGTGTGTGAACATGACACAGGTTATCAATTTTTGACGCTACGAATGGTCAAACTGCTAAGTGTCGTTTTGATGAGACTTACAAAAGAACTTATTTAGGAATTACTTTTAATATTTTCAACCCCTTGTCTACATTTAATTTTCTTCCTTCTTAATTTTTAATTTCAGTATGTAGAATGTTAGATATGTAACAAACTCAACTGTAGAGAGAGAGAGAGAGAGAGAGAAAAAGAGAGATAGAGTATTATATGTATTGTGATGAACAAATATTGAATAATCTAATAAAAATTAACAGACAAATGGGTAAAAAGATCAAACAACATTATTTTTTACTAAAATTACAAACTCCTACGCCAGGAATTTGGCGGCTCAAAAGACTGCCGCCGCCGCCTTCGAGTCAACTCCAGATTGATGACAATTCAATAATTGCGATGATAACTTGGACCCGGAATATTTTATACTGATCGCTATAATCTCTCAGCAACCACAGAATATGTTTGTCATTGATTGGCGACCAGCGAGAGGTGATGACTTCACCTTTCCAAAGGTGCCCGTTGTTTTCGTATTGTCGCGCGTCACGTACCATTTCGTGACTGAGTTGTCACTTGTTGAGCCAACGAGTGATGCAAATACCACGCACGGATCATACTGCTGAGTCTTTCGCGATTCTCGTCAGATGATGAAAATATTTCGTCGACTACTTTGAACTCGTTATTTAATCGATCTCTCGTCGACATCGAGTTCGTTATCGCACGACACGCGCCCAGTGTCCTGGGATCGCGGAACGATCAAGAGCGATATATTGAATAGGAAACTGACGATATGTACAAATTATTATACGGAACGCTTCCGGTTGCAACAGACGTTCGACGAGCTCGCTGAAAATAAGGAGAGAGAGAGAGAGAGAGAGAGAGAGAGAGATATCCGAGCGAAAATTAAAAATTCGCTCGATAACCGGATACGTATAGAGTCCGCCCGTCATTATCTGACAAATAAACATAACTCGATGAATTTTTAATAATTCGTTAACTCGTAACATTTTTCTTTCCCGTGCAACGAAATATATGAATACAAACAACGGAACAATCGCCTGAAGGAATCCGAATAATTTATAACCACGGGGCTGTAAATAATTTATAAGCAGCCCCCTCTGCCCGCACAATTAGATCCTGAAATTAGCCGTTGGCCCTTCAAGTTCCACGGACATTGCGGGATTAACGCGGAGCCAAAATTTCGAATCGCGCTGACGTGGCCGCGTCGGTGGTCCGTGCCTCGCGCGATCGGCGCGTCGACGGTGCGATTTTCGCAAACGGGCGGCTCCCACGTGGGCCGCGGACACTTGCCTCTGCCCATCAATTTCCACCGCGGGCGATTATCGACGAGTACGCTTGACACAGCGCCGAGCGACTGGTTAAATATCGCGCCGCGAGAAACATATGTGCGCGGGTTAAGCGCGGAAGAAGAGCAGGATCGCCCGGGGCTTTTACTTATTTGTCCCGGACGACGACGCGAGGCGTCGATTCACGCGGAGAAACACGAAAATCGAGGTTGTCGCGTCGCGAACGGCGCGAAATTGAAAGGAGACGCGGCGATAAAGCGCGCGACGGCAGTATTTATTGCCGCGGTCGGTATAAACCGAGCACCCCGCGGAGGAGAGAAAGGATAAAAGGACACGCTCTTCTCCGGGCTGAGCTGCGTAGCAGAGTATATCGGGTGTCTTCTCGGGTTCGCGCGTCGCGCGAGCACGAGGATGTCAGACTTTATCCGTGAGCTTTTTCAGCATCGCGGTTGAGCCGTCGTCGCGGCTTCGCGCCGCGCACGAACGAGCTCGCCGAGTGGGGAATCGCGGGGAAAATCGACTTCGGCTCGTCGAGCTCGCGCGAAAAGAAAAGAAGTCCGGCCAATTTCCGGACACCCGTGTTTTCCGCCCTTTCCCCCTCGTCGAGTCACCGCTCTCGCTTATCTCTCTCTATCGCGCTGCACGGCCCTTCGACATCGCTGAACTTTCCCGTCTGTCGCGTCCTCGCGGCGAAACTTGCGCGCGGAATGTACGCGGCTGCACGGTAATAAGGAGCGTAAGAAAATTTCGACGTTGCAGATTATGGCGCCAGGGCGAGAGAACGTGTTATCTCCCCCGCGCAGGGAAATTCTCCTCGCGCTCTTCGTCGCCGTAGTCGCCGTAGTCGCGATGGTCGTCGTGTAACACCCGACCGCTTGTTTCCCGCCCGAGTCTGCGGCAACGACTTGGCCGCTGTAAAAAGCAACGGAAGAAGCGCAAACGCGCGAAGGTGCATTTCGCGGACCGCGTCCGGACGAGTCGCGCACGAGTCGACCGCTTTTATTCTCACGTGGTCGGAAAGCGAAGGACCAAATCCACCGAAATTCCGCCGCTTGCCGCGCGCTTGATTGTCCTCCAGCTCGCCGAGAGAAAGAGAGAGAGAGAGAGAGAGCGCGGGGGGGAGAGAGAGAGAGAGAGAGAGAGAGCGCGACATTTCGCACGAATCGGACACGTGTACAATTACAACAAAAGCGTTGCGGGAAAAAAGCGCGTTCAGGAAAACGCGTTAAGGAGAAGTTTAGCCGGATCGTCTACGTGCCGGGAATAACCGCGGGCTGCCGGCCGGCGATCGAGGGACGGCGCAGGGCGGGAAGAAAGAAATAAAGGGAAAGATTAAGCCGCCGTAATTCTGCCCGATACGACGGCATTTAGGCTCTCCGTCCCTCCGGGGCGGGATCAGAGGACGCCGAGGAAACGAAGCGCGGTCGATTATTCTCGGACGAGGAGCGGCCGTATCTCCGACGACGACGTCCTGGAGTTTGGCGTCGCGCAAGAAACGCCGCGTCTCACGCAGCATGCCGTCCGAGAGAGAGAGAGAGAGACGGAGGCGGGAAGACGGGAAGCAAGGGGAGAAGAAATTTTTCATCTTCCCCGTCTTTCTCCAGAAGAGCGACTCTGCGCAGAATGGCCGTTCTAAAGCGCGACTTGTAAATCAGCGTAAACAGACTAGAGACAGCGAGGAGGGCGAGGCAAAAGAATGAGGGGTAACGTCGCCTCGATAGCTCGCTCGCGCATTCAGGTAGCTATCGGCGATAAATTTCGAACTTTCCGCCGTCGCGCAGCCTCGATTTCTATACTCTGCCTCGCGATTTCAGCGAAAGGCGCGGCAAATTTCACCACCGCCGCGTCAGCCGATTCGCACATCGATTTCCGCCGAATCGCGACCGTCATCGCCGCGGATCGGCGTCTCATCGCTCGGTGTTTCTCTCGTCCCAAGTTTATCCCCGTGCCGCGTCGTCGTAAAATTTTAACGCCGCGCACGGTGCATGTATTTCCGCCTCGGCTGCCTTTGCCTTTGCTCTCAAGCCGCAGCATCGGCATAATAATGGAATAAATTGAAGTAACGAAGGCGCGCACGCGCGTGCGCTCGTTCTCGCCGCTCACGTGTGCCGCTCGCGAGACCGGGTCGTCGTCGGCTTTGCGAATACGTGGCGATTACCGTCTCGCCTGGCTGTTCCTCGAGAACGCGGCCAGACGACGGGCCGAATTAAGAGGCCGAATACGTTCCGCAGCTTCGGATAAACTTGGAAACAACTGCTGTCATTCGCAGATGCGCTCGCGCGGCCGCGCGCCGACGACGACGTCGGTGGAATATGCACGCTTACTTTACTTCAGCTACGAGCGTAGCGAAGGGATAGCAGGCAAGTGGTAGGTTGGAAGGTAAGGAAGAATGCCAGCGATACCTGTGTCTATGCGCGTGCGTGTATGTATGCAGACATACCGAAAATCTTTTGTGAGACACGGAGAATTCGCCGACTGCGCGCGACTCCACGAGGATTAAACGGCGCTGCTTATGCACCCGCCGCCGTCTGTTACCAGCACACGCTCTCGCTCTCGCTCGCCGCTCGGCGTAATTATTATACATATCCTAGCCGGAAACACACACGCACGCGTCCGCACGTCCGTTTCGCGCCGCCTCGCGCGCGTTAAGCAACCGTCTACAATGGCAGTGAGCAGTAAGAAGTAAGCAGTGAACAGTAAGAAATGGACGAAGCACAGTTGATTATTTTTGTCATAATCGACTGTGTTTGCTTTATTTCTTACCGCTTATTACGCTTACTTCTTACTGCTTACTGCCATTGTAGACGATTGGCTTTATACGCCAAGAGAGGCGGCGGCAGCGGCGCCTCTCGCGCGAGCGCGCGGATCCTTCCAGCGACGCGCGACTCGTTAAATTTTCAATCTCGGGAGCGTAAAACAGCCCGTAATTGAATCGGACAGTTTGCGCGAATCTGCCGGGCGGAAGCGATCGTTGTACAATTGGCCCGATTATATCCGGTCGCCGGTGATCGGCCGGTCGTGTCGCAGCGGACTCTTCTCCCCATTTATTCCGGTATACCGGCGTTAATTACGCGCCATTTTGTCCCGCAATAACCGTGCCGCCGCGGCGCCGCGCGCTCGCGGACGCGCGCCCCGGGATCTCTGGAATATATCTGGAATTCAGCGAGAGAGATAAATGACGAAGCGCGCGCGAGACGCGCGTCTCGCGACGCGACGAGCCGACGTTGAGAGGAGGACGCTGCGCGCCCTTCTCTTCAGCCCCGCAGCAGCCGCTCGTGTAGTCGTCGGGCGCACAATGCGCACAATTGCGCATTCACGGGGACGCGAGCGAGACAGTCGGGGCCGGCTCGAGCCTGCGCTACGTGCCAGTCCGTCTTGGTGAATGGAGATCCTTTATCAGCATCGCGTCTCTCAAGTGTCCTCCTCGCGAGACGGAGATTCCTCCCGGCGACGGCGACGGCGGCGGGCGGACGGGCGAACGAGCGAGCGAGCAAGTTAGATCGCTCGAAATAAGTCGAGAGGGTTAATCTCCCGGAGGGTGCTTTCTCGTGCGGCGCGCGATACCGCCGCGCGATCGCCGCGCGCGACGCCCGGATTCAGCCGGTATGGAGATTCGGGATCAATCGTCGGCGAAATTAAGCCCTCCGAACTCCTCCGAATCGGATAATACGATAGTCGAGCGGGCGAGCGGGATAGTTTTTGTATCCCGATGAGCTCGGCAGGAGATAGGAATACGAGATAGCGGTACACACACGCGCACGCACACACACACACATACACGTCCAGAGTTACTTTGGCTCTGCGGAATAACCACAAAAGGCTTATTAACCCCGCCGTTAGAGCCGGCTTTGCTCGACCCGTCCTGATCCCCAAAATGCGATCGCTCCGACATTTTTCAGCTCCGCGACATCGTCGGTTTCCCCGCCGCTTCGAAGGACGAACGTGCGCCCAAACGAAGAACGCGGCGGGGGGCGCAAGTCGCGTTTCAGCTCGAACGCGGTGCACGGAGAGTGCGCGGAGGAGGACGAGTCGCAAGCATCGAGAGAGCCGGGGGATCTTACTTGTTAATTTATAGTACTTTCCGCGAGAAGTCGAGCGGTCTTGGGAGTTTCCAGCTGCTGAGTTACAACAGTTCTCTGCGAGACGCTCGGCAGTCCTGCGGTCCGCCGCAGGCGCACGGTAATAACGATAAACCAAAAAGTTGTCCGATACAGCGCACTTTTTGTCCTTGAACGATAGTCACGCGGTAAAAAAAGCCCGCTCGCCCGCGGCAACGCGTGCGAATATACGAGTTCAGCATTCCCGGGATCATTACACGGACGAACGAGGTAACGCGTGGCGCAGCGGGGAGTCGCTCTTTTAATAACGCACTCCTTTTAGACGGCTCGCGTTCGCCGGGGCCGTTATTTTTGTTAGCGAGGTATTCCCTCCGGCGCGCACGCGTGCGAGAGAGAGAGAGAGAGAGAGAGAGAGAGAGAGAGAGAGAGAGAGAGAGGAGGGTCGCGCGGGCGCAGGACGCGGGGAAACGGGCGAGGGCTTTATCGCGTGGAAAATTCGAGGATACGCGATTAAATTCGTTCGCGTGTGCCGTCGAGCTTACATACAGCCCGAGCGGCAAGATAACGATAACACCATCGGCCGCGGGTATACTCCCGCGTCATTAGCAATGGAAATTTCGAGTTTCCTGTTTTTTGACTCATCGGGCCATAATATCGAGCGCGCGTGGCAGTAATGAGCGCGAAAAAGGAAAAAGGGATGCAGGTATTGAGGATGGCGGCGGCGGCGGCGGCGGTGGCGCAGGCGGTGATGCGATGCGTTGCGTTGCGTTGAGTTACGTTGCCGTTGCGGTGCGCGATGCGATACGATGCGGCCGCGCCGGGAATAAACAATAATTATACATCCCGTAGATTTCTGTTTACGGTGCATGCGAGCCGCATTAATCGCGTGAGTATCGATTTATCGTTTTAGCGCTGACGAACGCGAAGAAGCGACGTCGGCCGCGAAATACGAGCACGCGATCGGACGAATCGTTAAGCGACATAATATAAACGACGAAAGCCTTTCTCTGTCGCTCTCTCTCTCTCTCTCTCTCTCTCTCTGTGTGTGTGTGTGTGTGTGTGTGTGTGTGTCTCTAGGTGACGAGCGAGCAATGTTTTGGTAGATGTGGCGTATCGAACGCGCGCAATGCGGATCTGTAAGCGTCGATTCAATTAAGGCGAATGCTCGTTCGGTGTCTCGTAGCGATTGATGGAGGCGTGTCTAATTAGATCGATTCTCGCTACTGAATCCGCCGTGGGATAATACAAGCAGACACGGCGGCAATCCATCTTGCGCGAGTCTAAGTTACGTAACTTTATGTAACTTTGAGTTAAGTAAACCCTCTTCATCCTCCCCTTCCGATACCCTCGTGTCCCTCGTGTATCGATTTTGCGCATCCACAATGCGCGCGATTGTGCCCGGCCATGTCGAAAGAAGAGAGAAAGAGAAGAGAGAAGGGGAGAAGGAGAGAAGGAAGGAAAGAGACCGATTGTACACCGCCCGATGCGTATTGAAAAGAAAAGGAAGAAAAGAACGAAGCCTGTTTCTCGTTGCGAAAAACTCGTAAAGCGCGTCGCGTCCGGCCGATTCGTTTCTCTCTTTCTCTCTCATCGTGAAGCCGGAAGACGGGACATCGTGTCGCGACTCGCCACTTGTCGGAGAGAACTCTGCATTTGGAAAAAGAGGGAAAAAATGATTCGCCTCACAAGACACATACCGGCGGCGAGTCCGAAGGGGGGGGGGGGGCGCAGCACGGACTTGGAGCGGCTTTGGAGCGCGCTCGCATTATTCAGCCCGCGGCATAACGCGGTTACCGTCGTCGGCAGCGCGCGACGCTTCGGAATGCGCTGTTGACGCAAATCTGCATACCGTAATTCAATCAGTTCTCATCCGCCGCCGCCGACGTCCTGCCCCCGCATGGCTCTCTGTGCCCGCGCGCCCGTGCTCCTGCTCGCGACCGTACGTGCGTTTAATTAGATCGATCCCCCTTTGCCGAATTCGTCTTGTGGCGCAACCTCAGTCTCACCAAGATGGTAACGATCCATCACGGCGTCGGTAGGTGTTCGCCATTTAACCTGCCTGCCACTAGATCACGAAGACGAAGACGAGCCTGTGAGGCCAGGACGAGAAGAGAGGCGCGGGAGGGGAGGCTGGGTGCCGCGTTGATCAAGATTAATCGTATGCAAATTACGCGAGCATCGGCTAGAGGATTCCGCGAGTTCTTGGGACTTGCACGTCCTGGAAGGAGGGGGGTGGGGTGGGTGGGCAGCAGAGGTACACGAGGTAGAAGGGAGAGCGGCGGAAGACGCGAGGAAGATCGAAGACCGCCTCCTCGTCGAGATCATACTGGGATCCCGGGTAATTGAAAAGACACGGGAAATTCTGTTCGCCGCGGGAGTTCTGCTCCGATGCCTGTCGCTGATAAAGAAGAGCGTGCGGCTCGCGATATCGACTTTTCGCGACGGCTCGGCTCGGCGACGCTCAGCGAGTACGAATTACATTCATAACGGCGTCTAACGTGAGGCTCTCGATACGTGGCTCCGAACTGAACGGGGGGAGGGGAGGAGCTCTTCCGAGATCCCTCGTTGTTCTTCCCCGGCTCGTAACCCCCGAGAGACATTTTCTTCGAGGAGACACGTATTTCTCTCCGCTGTTTCTCTCCACCGTTCCGAAAGTTTAATCCGCGGGAACGCGCACGGTCTCCGGGACGTTTCCTTTCTCTTAATACCGGAATACGTCTCGCATAATAGGGAGAGACGCAAGAAGAGAGGAAGAAGAAAAAGAAGAGGAGTCGCGCTGAATCTCAAGGAGAGGAACGCGCCCTTTCTCCCCTTATAATGTAATTGGCTCCCGACCGCAAGAGTAAGTCTTTTAATTAACGAAGCAGCCTGTTCCCGCGCTACCGGAAAACGCTTAACGTTTATTCCAAACGCGACCCCGTTCGGTCAACTCGCCGTTTACCGAATTCCCATCTCGGAATGGGCTCTCACCGTCAACAATTCGCGCTAAGCCGGCGCGTTTCCGACTCCGAAGGAGGGATTACGCGACTCCAGCGAGAGCTGCAGAAAATTATTTAATCGAGACACTCGCCCCCGCCCCCTTCCCCGGGGGGACCAATCACACAAACAGATTTCGCTCTGTTTACTCACAAACTTCCGTGTGTCTCGGCGGAGCCGGAGAGAACTCGCGGGAAAGACGCTCGTTAAGAATTCCGTTGCTCCGACGAAATTTCACATCGAGTGGACGTGAACAGGGGGGAGAAAGAGAGCGGGAGAGGAACCGGGCGAAAAGAGGAAATGAAAAGAAAGAAATTCGAAAAAATTCGACCGGAGCAGGGGACAAGTCGCGGTCTGCCTAGGTGGTTGTCAGCCAGGCGGCAGCGGCGACGACGACGCCGGCGGCGGCGGCGGCGACGGAGACGGCGGCGGCGGCGGCAGCGGAGACGGCGGCGGCAGAGTGGGGTGAGTCGAATGTATAAAGCCGACACTTAGGTCTGCCCAGAGTGTACACACAGGCAGACGTATGACCGAGCCGCTATGAACACGCACTCTACATAACCATACACACACACACACACACACACACAACACACGAGTCACGTAATGTGACGAGCGTGGTAGATAGCGTAAACGGTGATATACATAGAGGTTCTGGCGGCAGGGGGGTCAGTGTAAAACTGCCTTCTGCCCGTAACGTTTCGAACGTATCCGAGTGTGAAGCATCGTTAGCGTTCGGACTCTCTCGCTGTACGAAGCCGTACATCCTGCCGAGCCACTATCGCGACGGCCCCCGGCGCCCAGAGGGGCCCCTGCATCCCTCACCCTGAAGAACAGCCGCCACCACTCTTTGGGTCTGCCGTTATTTCAGCGGCGGGAGGAGGTGAGTGTGGAGCTACTTGCTGCTGCCGTTGCCGCTGCTGCCGCTGCTGCTGCTGCTAGCTGCGGGAAGCACAACGATCAATTTCGAAGAAAATTCGGTTACTAGTCGTCGTTTTACGTAACGTGGCCGGGCAGGTGAGGCGGATTCAGTTCGTGTTTCGCGTTTGGTAATTGGAGAGCGCGCCGGCGAAACGCGAGAGCTCGTGAAAGATCGATCCGGCGAAGTCAGCTGAGAGCGATTTTGGTAGACCGCGAGGAGAATACGAGCTTACGTGCATCATACGGAAAGAGAGAGAGAGAGAGAGAGAGAGAGAGAGAGAGAGAGAAAGAGAGAGAGAGAGAGAGAGAGAGAGAGAGAGAGAGAGAGAGAGAGAGAGAGAGAGAGAGAGAGAGAGAGCACGTCGGGCTTCCTCGCGTTGGAATTACAAGCCGTACTTGTTAATCGTCGCTTTATCGGGGGCTGCGAGGGGCAAAAATTACGCTCCCTCGTGCAATGGTTTATGTCACGCCGATCGATAGGCTGCACGACCGTGGACGGGAGAGGTGGATTTCGTTCCGCTTTGCCATCGGTCCTCTCTGACGCGCGGTTCCACGGAGCTTCGGCCTCGGAATAAAATCGCACAGCGGACCTCTCGACTCGCAAGGGAGACGCTGTTGATCTTTGTATTTGCTTTATTCTTACGTGACGAATACGAATACGGGGTCGCAGCGAAGAGGAATTATGCGAGTTCGTGTGCGCGCGGGGGAGGGCATCGGTAGAGGTTTATCGGTGGGTATTACCGAACGAAAGTCGACGACTGTGTGTTGGTGGGAGCGCGATTATACATACGTCTCTATGGAAAATCGTATGCCATAAATTTGCCTGGGCTGGCCTGGAGGCCGTGGCGCTACGTGCGAATAAATCAACGCCGGCGGGCAGCTTGCGGCGAAAAAATTCAATCAAACAAACAAACGTGTCATCGAGCAAGTGCGCGCGAAACGAATGACTCGCCGGCCTGGCTTACCGATAGCAGACGATATTTGACGATATTCCGCCGTTGTAATATGACGCTCGGTATTATCAAATTTATTGACCGTCGGGAGAGAGTACAGTGAAAAAGCGCCGATTGGCGATCGACCGGCGGCTCGGCGGTTCAGTGAAATATTTCATTTCCGGAAAAGCGTGCGGCGTGTGCAACTTGAAAATGCGCGTCAGACACGCGGGGACAACAAGGCATTATTTAACGTGTGTAATTTGATAAACAAATTTACGCAAAAATTACTGTCCGGAATACGAATATTCTGACAATTTCACTCTCGACGTCTTCTGCGGTTGCGGCAAACTTATCCCGTCATCATACCTCACAACTTTTGCCCAAAGCTCCCACTTAAATATGTGGTATTGTATAAAACAGAATTAAAAAAAAAAATAATAATAATAATGATAATAAAAAAGCCACAAAAGTCTTTTTACCTTGACTGAGCGATTCACCGTGATGAAAGTACCGTCTCATTTGCCCATCTCCTCATTTCTAACGCAATTGTAATAACTCAGTCCTATCTGCGATCTTTAGCGGAGACCAACGCGGACGCGTTGCTCTCCGTCAAGCGCAATTCCGCCGATGGAAATATCACATCACTTGGAACGATGATGCTTCAATTTCTTTATTCCGCCGAGTCGCGTGCACCGACCTTCATCCTTTGTGACTAATGGATGACCGGTGCGTGTTTTTCCTACGGCCGCAAACGCGATTCCGCGAACGCGTGCAAATGGCGTGCAAACGGCCGGCCAGTTTTAGCGGCGAGTATCGCGCGGCCGCGGACGAATTTACGGGGCCTGCCGCGCGTCGATCGTCGCGCCGTACGTACATACGTAAACTTAAAATAGGCCAGCCTTAATTCGCGGCGAGATCGAGCGGCGATAACCGGCTGGATACACCGGCGCGCTTCCAAACGCGAGATCTCGCGCGAGCGCGGCGACGCGCCAGATGTGATCAATCAGTAAATTGCTATCGTTTCATTTGTCCGGCTGCCGCCGAATAATGTAACATTTAATTGCAAACGCATCCCAATTAAGCCACATTTCATCTAATTGCGCTAGACGTTAAATATCAATTAATTAATGGCACGATTTCGCGTTACCGCGAGAGATTGCACCTGTGGCGGAGTCCCGGCCGCGTCTCCTTCGGTCGCGCGGGTCGCAGCGCGATTCGATTTTCGCACAACAGTAGCCCGCGCGAATTTGCCGTCGGTCCGCAAATATTGATAATCGAAATGAAGTATCGGCGTGACGGTCGAATTTCACTCGCGCTAAAACACCGGCGGCGCAAGCTCTCCGGACGACACAAGCGCGCCGCGCTCTCCAGGTCGGGCAACATCGATTTCGCCAACTCTCACCGAGGTATTTACCGAGGGCGAAGCGCATTTTTCACGCCGTGGCTTTCGTCGAAAACGCAGTTACGCGCGCGCGCTGGAGGTCGAGATCGGGCGCGAAAAACACTGCCAATGAATTTGTTTCATGTTCTCGTAAACGCGTAATCGGGCGCGTTTTACCGCGTCATTCGACCAGATCGCGCTGAAATATCAATTGCGAGACGCGACTTCGGCGCGCTTCCGCGCCGTTTTCGAGCGCAGGCTCACGCAGACGCTCCCCGATCCTGCGCCGTTGTTTACACCCGCCTTCGTTAGCGTCATTTTGCAAAACCGTCTCCCGACGGTCTCGCGCCGCGTTCGTCATCCGTGTCTTACGTTGCCGCCGGAAGAACGCGCGTCTGCGAAGGATTTCGGAGTCGAAGGAGCGAGACGTCGCTACGTGACGTTTCCCGACAGCTATCGCGCCGCGCTCTCGTCCTCGTCCTTCTCGCTCCTGCCGGATCCCGCGAGCCGTCCGCGATAGTTCGCCCCTTCGTGATCTCGAGGGAACGTGCGCGATGCATGTGTCGGCCGGGCGCTTTACACGAGAGAGAAACGAATCTTATTCAATCCGCCGTGATCCTCGCGCTCGACGTGTATTCCTGGATGCTTTTGACAGCGCTGCTCTCTCTCTCTCTCTCTCTCTCTCGCTCTCCCTCGCGAGCGAATCGATTAAATGACGTAACCAGGCGGCTTTCTCAGAACGATATCGATTTTACGACCCGACGCGGCTCAGCCCGATCCTGGTAGGCCTTATCATGGTAATACGTCATACCAGCCCGGTATGATGGTCATAACGCCTTAATAAAAGCGAGATACCGATGGAGGTATCGCGAATTTCTAGCGGTGATGACATTCTCTCTCTCTCTCTCTCTCTCTCTCTCTCTTGCACGCGCGCGCGCAATAATCGTCGAGTGGCCGACGCGACGAGGTAATTTGGCGACGTGCGTAAAATCGCCGCGCGAACGACTATCTCGCCGACAATGTGAACGTCGTGAATAATTTATTAAGAAGCTCGCGGTTACACCGCGCGCCGCGCGTTTGACCACGCGAGTGCGCGCGACTTTTGGCCGAGCGAGCGGGCCGTGGGTTTGCAATTAGCACGAGTAATGTCACGGCTATCGATCCGTCAGGCGCTCCGCCGAGCGTGTTGTAACGACATAGGCCGGCTCTGCGGGAATATACGGGAAGGGCGAGCCCGTATAATTCGCGATATATACCTAAGTGGCAACCAGAAAACAAGCGGGCAAGATCGCCGGTCGAGCGGCGAACTACTCGGCAGTCGGACCTGCGCGCTCGCGTGATTCGCGCTTCGTCGGCTGCGAAAAGTCCGTTCTTCGCGAAAGATCCTTCGCACGACGACGACGACGACGACGACGACGACGACGACGACGACGGGGAACAAAGTATCGATCGCAGCCGACGGGAAGGAGGCAAGGGGAAGAAGGAGGGCTTCCGGTATACGTGTGAGTAAAGTCCTTGGAGTCGCGATATTCCGCGACCGACTGATAGTCCGTGTCTCAGGGAGTCCTTCTCAGGGAGTTGTGCTCTTAGATCTCTACGATCTCGTGGCCGATACGTGGCTGGGTACGCTAGGTACGTTAAAATCGATTCGAGGGCGAATAACTAGCTGCTTGTAAGACATGGAAACTCGCAGGCGCAATCGTACTGCAACGATAAGAACGTCGCAAACGCGGAGGTGCACACCGAAGTGCAAAAGCTGTTGAAGCGCGTGCCAATGGCCGACACGCTCAACTGGCGCGTAATAGCGCGACCTGTTATTAGTAGTAGCCGGCGATGTAGAATATTCGCCTTCAATTCGCTTTCATCAACGCAGCAAGCTCGTCATCGATTTTCCGCGGGCGACTATTTGGGAGCTTGGCGTAGATGATAGAGCGACGCGCATAACCTCGCGGAAGCTAGAATACGTCAGAAAATTAGCGAACCAATGGCGGACGACACGCTGCGTGCCTGCGTTAAAATCGATTCGAGGACGAAAGACTCCGGCTGCTCGTGAGACATGGGAACTCGCAGGCGCAATCGAACGCGACGGAGGAACTGCAGCAATAAGAAAATGTCGCAGACGCGGAGATGTACGCGGAGTTGAAACGCGCGCCAGTGTTCGTTTGCCCTCCGCGATATGTTGAGCCAATTTCGCGTAAATAGCCATGGAGGAAAGTCGCGTTTCTAATAATAAAAGAACAAAGTATCTCTCTCTCTCTCTCTCTCTCTCTGTATATTACAAAGGCAAAGGCCCCGGTACGGTAGCCGCGCCGTTCTCCCGCGTCCCACCGCGAGATACCATCGCGACGGGAAGGAAAAAATGTGGCGAGGTTACGTGGACGCTGATAGGATACTTCTATTGAAGGGAGGAATATGACGGTCTCGCAATATCCTCCTCCCGGACGCCCCCGCCATTTCCTTAACCCGTTGACGAGCATTATGAGTTTCGCCAGCACCACCAGGGCTTCCTCCATTTTACCTGATAATATCGCGTATCGACCGTTGTCGCCCGTTGAGCCTTTGTGCCGAAAGGAGGATGATTAAAGGCCGATGCGGAAGCTACCTGCTGATCACGTACGGTTTTATCGGTACGACGAGCTCGACGAGCGCAGGTCGTAGGGAAACATCGTTTGCGTTTTATTTACTTTGTCGGATCATGCGTGCATGCCAAAGTGTCTTGAGAGAGAGAGAGAGAGAGAGAGAGAGAGAGAGAGAGAGAGAGAGAGAGAGAGAGAGAGAGAGAGAGAGAGAGAGGAGAGAGAGAGAGAGAGAGAGAGAGAGAGAGAGAGAGAGAGAGAGAGAGAGAGAGAGAGAGAGAGGAGAGGAGAGAGGAGGAGAAGAGAGAGAGAGAGAGAGAGAGAGAGACGCGACGGTTTACGTGGCAATTTATGGAAATAGGGAAAAGCAAGGCGCGCGCTCTTCGATGACATGGAGAGGTCCCTCGAGTTTTCTCACCGCGGTGATACCTCTTCTCTCTCGTCCGGTTTGGTCCCAAGAGGAGACTCCGCTCCGCACGTGAGACTTTACTTAATATTTGCCGGCGTGCATAAGAGGAACGATCAACAATGCTCGGCGAATGTGGGACGACGAGGGAGAGAGAGAGAGAGAGAGAGAGAGAGAGAGAGAGAGAGAGAGAGAGAGAGCGGCGACGATAGCACGTCGACAGGGGACGAGAGAAATTGAAAATGCGGGGAGGGACGCGCCGTGTTTTGTTGTCCGTCCGGCGAGATTTCGGTCGCCGATGTTTAACCGAGATATTCCGGGATAAAGCAGCGGGAGGATCGCTGCGCTCTGCATTTTCTCACGAAAGGATCCCCGCCGCCGTCTAGACGCGCATCCCTCACGTATTTCACAGCCCCGGGGGCGTTTGCGGAATTCTTGTTTGCGACGAGGAGGACCCCGCAGGGCGGAGGGCGACGGCGGAGGGTAGAGAAGGTGAAGGCGAGCGAAATTCGCTCGAGACGCGGCCACGGCCGTGTCGAAGACTCGTCGTTGTCGTCCTCCCGCTTCTCCTCCTTGGCCTTCGTCTCGCGGGGGTGGCGGAAAAGTTCGGAATACAGCCCCGAGGTGGCGAGCAACGGCAGCCGAGGGATGATTGATAGCAAAAGAGAGCAGGCACGCGGGCGGCGCGTCTCGCGCCGCACAATGGGGAGCAGAAATATGAGATCGGAATAAAATTCATGGCCGTTGCCAGGGGAGACGTTAGGCCGCGATTGAGATGCAAATAAGAACGAGACACCCGGTAGCGACGACTTCGTGGCGGGCGGCATCGCGGTAACTCGTTCGTTCCGACGCCGTTCGCGGGAGGGAATTTTTTATGAGCTCGCTCGTGAAGTCGCTATCTGCGCCGAAGTTTCGGCGGCTCCGCAGACTTTTCCCAGAGCGTCTCCGTCTCCGCTCTGTTGTCCGCTCGACGGACGGACGCGAACACGCGGAGGGACTCGCGTCGCTATCGCGAGCGGCGCATCTCGATCGGTCGTCCCGCATCCCTCTCGCTAAGAATTTTGCTTCGACAAACGGATCTGTTTGTGCCGACTTCTCCGCGCGCGGTGGAATACGAATCCGCATCGAGTCTGCTCTCGTTGATGAAAAGAGAAAAAAAAGAAAACAGACAGAGATCGATTTGCGCAAAATCGCCTCGGAAGGCTGCACGTGAAATAACTTTGATTTTATGTACCACCGTGTAACGGCGGTCCTAAAGCGCACTCGTGAGTTTCGTATTCCTCTCTCGCTTCTCTTTTACTCTTTTTTTTATTCACTCACGTGTATGTTCTCCGCTTTTTTCTTCTTCAAGTCAGCCTCTGCAGCCGTGAATGGACATCACTATCGTCGGTTGGAGGGGCCGTTGAAGGTGTTCTTCGAGCTGCTGGCGCAGACGCACAGTCTGTAACAGATGAGTGTGAGTGTGTACCGTTTGTTCTCCCCCCTTCCCTCTCTCTCTCTCTCTCTCTCTCTCTCTCTCTCTCTCTCTATCTTTCTGCGAATGTTCACATAATTCCGTTAGTGGCCACGCGCGCGCGCGTTCATTATCTAATTACGGCGCGCGGCCGTTTTCCATGGGATAGCGCACCATTATCCTAATCGCACATCATCCTTCGGCCGTTAATCGCCATTTCGAGGCGTCGTTCGCGGCGCTTTACGAGTCCCGTGTGGCGGATTCGTTTCCGCGAAGCGGATTAACCGCGTGCTTCTGCCGCCGCCGCCGCCGCTTTTCCAACGTTTCCTCATTCACCGTGATTACGTTACGTCGCTTTTCCGCGATTCGTCGCCACCGAGTAAACGCTATTCGCGCCGCTCGTCCTCCCTCTCTCTCTCTCTCTTTCTCTCTCTCTCTCTCTCTCTCTCTCTCTCTCTCTCTCTCTCTCTTCTCTTCGTCGATTACGTGCATCTTTTTCATGAAAATCGCTCGAAAAAAAAGAGGGTGAGACGAACGCGAGGGAGAGAACGCAAAGTGGAACGTGCAGCTTTTTCCGCCTCATTATCACGCGAGACGCGATCGAGTCGAGGCGATTCCGCGGGAAGCGAATTAAGTCCGGTAAAAGCCGGCTCGAGAGAATGTCTCGTTGCTGTTACTGCAGCAGGCTGCTCGCTATAACGGACATATTGCGTTATACCATGGCACCTCTATAGCTCGTGTCTTATTGATCGCGCGGGATGCTCCAAGCACTGTAAGAAACTATATAAATTAATCACACGGAGCCGGAGGACCCTTAAACGGATCACGTCGCTCCCGGCGGTATTACGAATTAAGGATGATTAGGGATATCGGGGGTAGGACAGGCGCCACGCGCGAGGGGGCGCGTCGCCCTCCGCGCAGCCGCCCGTGATTTATTTATTCTTTCGTTCGACGAGCGGCGCGCGAGTGTGTCCTCCGTTGAATCTCAATTCGGAAGCTAGGGCACAAGAAGGTAATGTCGATGAATTAGAGCGAACGATGCAGCTGGCAAACTCATGGCCGGTCCCGCCGCGCGCGCCGGCTCGGCGAGAGATCGAACGATGGGAAAAAATTGGGGCGAATAGCTTTTTCGACCTGGACGCATTGACCCGCGTCGCGTCGTGTGTGTCGTAGACAACGTAGAGCCGCGGTCAACTCGCGTCAAGTCGCGAGGAATTCGCGCGATGCGACGCGAAATGGTAGCGCGCGGGCAGAAAACAAGCGTGTGACACATCATTACGCTCGCCTTGATCCCGGGGTGAAGGAGGGAGGGGGTAGGGTGAAGGCGATTCGGTATGGCGAAGATTTCTGTGCAGCTCGGTTCTGACAGACGACGTTCTCTCAGCCGGCTTAATTCACGATTATGACAAACGACACGGGACACACTTTAATTCATGACGTGACAAATGCGAGCGCGACAGCGCGTCGCAGGCAGACGCGTCGTCTCGCGCCAATAATAATATCGCCGGCGTATCGCGCGGAATCGCGCGGCGCATTTATCAGCCAGCGTTATCTCCTCTTCCCCCATCGCCATCTATGTTGCAGGTTCGATCGGCGGGTGGCCATATGGTGAAGCAGAGGAGGTTCATCGGGAACACCAACAGCCAAATGATCAATATACGAGAACATTTATAGGCACTCGAGAGCACGTGGTGGTGTGTGATTAGTTAGTACGATCCCGATGTAGAAAGGGGGACGATAATATCGACGAGAAAGAGAGTCGTGGGTTTGTACGTTCCCGAGCGGAATCCCCTCGCGGCTTCGCGATCATTTTGCGAATTGCGCGTGATCGCGCGTTGTGTAAAAACGAGAGTTACAGGTTCAAGTCGGCCGCGGCTCGAAGTCCCGGAGGAGGAAGCCGGAGCGGATTCGCGCGGATCTCTCTGGATGCGATCGCTCTCGCGCGAGTCGATTATATCTTGCTTACCTACCGGCCGGATTTGCGCATTGAGGGGGATCTTCTGTTTTGTCATAACGGTGAGTACAACGAGCGAGAGAGAGAGAGAGAGACACTCGACGATTGCTCGGCGAAACCTCTTCGAGGCCTCGTCGTCGTGAATGGCGCGCAAATAAGGTCGGCATTTCGACGGGCTCGCGCGTTTGCGTAACGTTCGCACGGCGCGCGGCACTCACGAGCTTCGCGAGATGAGCGTCGTCGTAGAAACTTCACGAGGTGACGAAGCGCCGAACGATGGAGAAGAGAATAGCCTTCGATCGCGCGCAAGAGCCGCGGTGCTACCGAAGCGCTATTGTTTCGCGCGTGAAGTGTCATCGCGCGATTCTCGCGGCGAGAGCCGTCGAGCGGCGCGGTAGTCGAGTAGATTTAATGCGCCGTTGTGGTGGACTTGGTACTTCAAGTTTGCTCGTGCGTGGAAATTCTTGGAACGGGAGAAGATGGGGATGCGGCGGAGGGGGGGGCTTGATGCGCGGCCGGGTTCTGAAGTTTCGGCCAAAATATTTCGGAACTTAAACGACAGACAGAGAGAGAGAGAGAGAGAGAGAGAGAGAGAGAGAGAGAGAGAGAGAGAGAGAGAGAGAGAGAGAAAGAGACAGAGACCGACGCGGATGGAAATTTAAGTTAGCCTGTCTGAAGCAGCCGCGCGTCGGCGAGATCGGGACGATTCTCTGCGTCGTCGCAGAAACGGGGAATTAAGCCAATTTATAACAATTCAATGCGAATTGCGAAGAGAGACAGCTGTGGATAGTTGCGGTAATCCATCTCGGTAATCGAACGGCAAACAAATCGGTCGAGAATTTAACGCCTGATGCAACAAATGATTTGTCACCACTTCGCGCGCGTTCCTCAAGCAGGCCGCGCGCCGCTCTGCTGTCGCGAATGGTAATTGAGACTGATCGATTATTCAGAGGAGCCCGCGCATTCAGCGCGAAACAAATGATAACGAGTGTAACCTCGTCTCTTCTTTTTTTCCTTTTTCCGCAGATTTTAGATACCAACACGAAGACACGGGAGAGCGGGAGAAGGAAGGGAAGCGTGGGTTAAAAAGGAGTCGAGTGTGATGTAGCCACGTTTATTCAGTCCGCTCATAATTTTCGCGGAGTATTACCGCAGAGATAAAAAGCGAAGAGAGAGAGAGAGAGAGAGAGAGAGAGGGGAAGAGGGAGAAAGGAAAAACTAACAAATTTGCATATCGCAACCGGACAAACACACGGTCGTGTGAGAGCCGGACGGCGCTTTAACTTACGAAATCCGAGCAATTTTCTTCGACTCACGCGCCGAGCCAGGCGGAGCTTTTCATCACAATGGTAAGTGATACATCTCGCAATTCGCGCAGAATCACTCTCGTACGTTTCCTCCGGATTAGACAGTCGCGATTAGCGATTAGCAATTAGCGAGGCAGTTTGCGCGCCTCGGCGTCGTCTCCTGCTGCATGAGCGACAAAGCGGAGTCCCCGACGAGCGCAAAATAATGCCCCGCGTGCCCGTTGCACATAAGATTTCGCTTTCCGCAATCGCCGGTCGAGCCCCGCTCGACTTTGCATAATTCGATATTTCGCAACGATTCGCCGTACATATGCGCGTACGTACAGCCTATTTACATGGTAAGCTGTATTCCGAGTGGCTCCTCAAGTCGATGACCTTCTCCATGGTCAGCAAGTGAACGTCTTACGAATTTCGTCCGGCCGCTCCGGACCACCGCTTGTCGAAACGAATGGAAATTTCCGCTCGATTCGATTCGGAGATCGTCCCGAAAGATTTATACCCGCCGTCTCCGCCACTACCTCCCCCGCCCCCGCCGGGGCTCTATACTCGCGCGCGCGCGCGCGCGCAGAACTGCTTGTCATTCATGTAAATTCCAGGGGGATTACGTTCGCGCAGTTCCTCTCATTAATCAACGTTTCCTGTTGCACTTAGCGGATCAGTTTGCGCGCCGGACGGGCCGTCGCGCAATTCAATTTGTTCGTCGCGTATTTCGAACTCGGAGACTCAGGAGAGAGGCGCGAAAAGCCCGCGGGGCAGCAGGACCATGCGTGATCGCGCGCGTTCTCGATGGTGGAACTTGCTGCGATGGAATCCGACGGTGGCAAGGATGTTATTGCTTGCGCAATGCGTGCGTATCGCCGCGAGACTGACATAGAAAATTAACCTGCGAGATTGATCGGGCCGTGCAGATTAGCGCGCGCGAGAGCACGGAGCAACAGGCAGGCGTGCCTGTTTCGAAGCGCGCGAGCCGGCTCGTTTCCGCGAGTCCTGCGAGGCCGGCGATTTCGCACGCCGCGTTTGTTCGACTGCCGTCGAATGCGAATATACGACGTCGTAAATATGAGACACGCGGAACACGCGGCAGCGTGTTACGGAACGTAAACTTCCGCTCGTCCCCGCTCGTGACGGCTGCTCGGTTTGTGTTATGTGTCAGATCGGAGATAATGCGCCGCCGTAAGCCTCGCCGAGTGAGCCTCGCCTCATGAAACAGCATCTCGCCCGCGGGAAAGCGGACAGTTTGAGCGGCGTCGCGCCTTGAGCGATAAAAGCGCGCTCGCACGAGGAGCGAGAGCGAGCGTTCAGATGAGAAGACCGAGATCGGCGGTCTCGAGTAAACATCCGTCCAACGGAAATTAATATATGCGGGGGAGCGTTTGTGCGAAGCTGTCTGAAGTGTGTTCTTACCGAGACAGCGGGGACTTCATCATCGCGCTAGGAATATCGAGTGGTTTCGCGCAAAAAGCGATGAAACTCCGCCGCTTTCGTAGGAAACGCGAAACCTCCCCTTCTTTCTCTCTCGCCTAGGCGAGCGGATTCTGTGACCGCGAGCTTTCGGCGCGTCGACCACGACCGCGCGTCTGCCAAGAGCAAGGGCAAGGGGGGACCTTCGACCTTCGACTTTTCCCTTCGCGGTTGTCGCACCGGCATACTCTGCAACACACACGCGTTCGGGTTCCGCGTGCGGGGACTCACTTCCGGCTGAATCACTGCTTCTAATCTGAGCGACTGCGGGAATTCCGCTTCCGTTTGCGGGAATTCCTTCTAGAGGTCCCCTCTAGCGCGAGGTGTCTTATCTCGTGCACCGGCAGAACCGTGGCGGCGTGTTCGCCGATAACACCCGTAGCTAGCGATTAATCGACTCTCATTGTTTTCGGCGATCGCTACCTGCATTATGCAAGAAATTTCCCGCCCGCCCGCTGTTGAAGGCACACCGGACAAAGGCGCAGCGCGCGCGCGCGCGCGCGCGCGCAAGTTCGCCATTATTTCGGTGCGAGGTAAATTTTCGGCGAAACCGCGGACTGCCGCGAATTCGGACTCGAGCGCGGATTCCGCACCCGGTGGTGTCGCCGCTCGGACGATCGATCGGAATTCTGCGAGGCGAAAGCGACCGGCGAGTAAGAAAGAAACTCTTCCTCGCTCGTCAAGGTGAGATCGCCGTTATCGCGACTGCCAGTGATCGGGTCAAGAAAAAGCACGCTCTCGTCATCTTTCTTCGTTCACCTCAGCAATGCTCAGCCCGGAGCGTCCAATTATCGCGTAGACGACGTCCATCATCGCGAAGCCGGTTTGAAACGTAACGTGTCGGCGCAGAAGGAAAGACAGAGATGGGGAGAGAGAGAGAGAGAGAGAGAGAGAGAGAGAGAGAGAGAGAAAGAGAGAAGGAGAAAGACCAAAAGTTACGGCAGCATGAGCTTGACCGTGACTAATAAGCGGTCGAGCGGAGCCGACCTTGTGGCACAACAACGGTATTTAATCGCCGGTCGCCAGCATTACGCGCGACTGAACAGCGCCGCGTTTTTCCCGCGACGTTTTTTCAGCCAATTCTTCTGCGAAGATCAATGGGCGAATGCAAGAATGCAGCGAGCAACGGTCGCGGTCTCTCGACGATTCGCTCACAGAATGAGCAAAATGAGCTCGCCTCTCTCTCTCTCTCTCTCTCTCTCTCTCTCTCTCTCTCTCTCTCTCTCTCTCTCTCTTTCTCTCTCCCTCTCATTTACTCTCTCCCTTGTCTCTTCCTCTCTCGGCGTGGCCTTCCAACGCGCCGCGCCAGTTTAGCGCGACCACGTGGAAAGCTCACGTGCGTCAGCGGTTTCCCATATCTCCGGGCCGGTTTGTGTTTTCCGACACGATTAAACGGCCGCAATTTCATTCGAAACTACCGCGGGAGAATAATTAGCGGTAACGCGAGCCACAAAGTGGAGTAACAAAGTGCCGTGTCTCTTAATCGTGCGGCTGTCAAAAAGCGCTGAAGATATCGCGTAGCCGTTCAAGGACTCGATAAGAGCGCGCGACTCGCGCGCGGTCGATCAAGGATGACGCGTCTTCTCGGAGATGTGAATTCTCATTATTGTTCTTTCTCTTCCGTCTTTCCTCATGCTCGTACTCGACTCGTGGAACCGGTTCGCCGAGCGCGTCAAGGACCCCGCTCGGTGCGTGTAATTAACAGCTGTCGATCAAGCGTCACGACGTCCGATCTCATTAGAAGCGGATGGGGGACGCGGCGGCGACTGAATCACGTCGCCGTTTGCGTCCAACAAAGGGCAGCGCCGGTCCTCCGCGGCGGTGGGATCTTTGTTGCGCTCTTCCGATGTTTCTCCTGGCGCGAGAAAGAGACTCGTTTCCTTTGGCGCGAGACAAAGAACATGGCACGCTAATTCCCCGCTCTCGACGTCATAATCCGATATGGGCCGCGATGAGCAACCGGCCGGGTAGCCTTGACTACGGCCGCCCCGAATTGGACTCGAGCTTCTTTCCCGCCAGAGAACAATGCGCCCCCAGGAGAGAGAAACGCGCTCCGTCCCGCTTGGCCGCCTTAATCGGGCATTCGCGGCACGTCGAGGCGTCGTGATTTCATATCGCGCATTAGGGCGCGCGTCTCAACTGGATTAAAGTGCATTCGGGTTAAGCCGAGCGCAATGTTTCGCGTGGCGTGTACTGGCCCGCCGCTCTCGGACTGGATGAGAAAAAGAGAGAGAGAGAGAGAGAGAGAGGGGGGGATAGCTGTCCGCGAAGTTTATTGTCGGCTTCGAGTTCGTTACAGCAGGTTGAGCTCGCACGGGGAGGAGCCATCGATCTCGCGGATATACAGATCTGCTGATGAAGCCGAACGGTCGTGCGAAATCGACCGTTGTCGTTTCCGTCAGCGACGACGACGACATCGATTCTTATCTCGACGCCAATGGCCATGTCGAAGTCACGTAGACGCGCCGGGGAGCTTTCGCGGGCGGCCGTTATTCGTAGGTACCGGGACACCCGCGAGCCGGTGCGACAATTCGCGTTGTTGCAATCGGAGCGGCTGCTGATAGGCCGAGTAACGAACTCGAACGTTCGTCGCCGCTGCGCGAATATGTTCCCCGTGTGTACGATTAATCGAGATAATTGCGACTTGCGCTGCGGTGAACGCGCCGCGCCGGTGTGTATTTGTAATCGCCGAGTCAATTACTCAGGCAGACGGGAACGTTCCCGACGACATCGACGACGACGGCGCATTCTCTCAAGATTGTCGTGCCCGTGCTCTCTTTTTCCATTGCGACGTGTACGCTCGCCGAGACAAGACATTACCGGCCGGTTGCTTATACGCGATCGTCTCCGTAAGCTGGCAATCTCGTGCTTTTTATCGCGTGCTCCTGCAGCGTTTCGCAGTCGCAAGCACGGGGAGAAGCGCGCGCGTGGCAGGACTTTGCCGCTGCATGTTTTCCCGGAGAATCAGGAAAAGAGAAAGAGGCAGACACACACACACGGGAAGAGATATCTTGTGCCCGCGCAAGCTTTCCTCCTCGCGCACGGCGGTTCCGTCGGCGTTTACGTTCTTGCGATCATCCGTTTCCATTTCCTTCATTTTCTCCCGCATTACTCGGACCAGCGAGAATTTAAACGAGGATGAAACGCGCACGTTCAAAGGGAAGGAAGGCGAAATTTTCCCCGCTCTTTCCGCTCACGGGCGCGCGCGCGCGCGCGCGCGCTTCCGGAGGCCGGATTTTCTCTTTGGTCCTTCAGGCGCCACGAAGGGTCGGCGACCCTTTCTGTGCGACGCCGCGCGCATCCTGCTGACGACTAGTGACCGTCGCTTAATGAGTCGCCGGCACGATTGCGTTTTGAAGACTCACGAGCGGAGCAAACGGCGAAACCGAGCGGAATTCTCCCGGGGCGAGGAGTCAGCGCGTCGCGGACGCAACATCGCGTGTGGACGTCGAGACGAGAATCCGTCGTGCGATTGTTGTTGCATCCTTGCATCGCAGCGCCGTCGAGTCTTGCGTGCGCGCGAGTTCTCCGGATCGCCACGCGAGCCCGCGAAGTAGGGTTTCCGGTCGCGACGAAAATAA